GCTCTACTCTCTACGATCAAATACACTTTCACAAATCCATACAGTTCAAACCAAGGCTGAGCAACGCAGAAATATTTTCCAAGCAACAGATGCAGATACAGCAAGCTGTTCATGAAATCCTACACCGTGAAAAAGTGCAACCGAGGGAACTGGCAATCTGGGGATCTGACCAATCGGCAGTGCTTGATCTCCCTCAGTCGCATGTTGTTCCACTCCTTGCTGGGGCAGTCCCGAGACCCAACATATGTCAGAAAGTGAAGGGAAAGTGGAAGGGAGACATCTTGGAACAAATAGCAGAATATCATCAAAACATCCCAATATCTCAACCTCAGCCACTTTAGTAGCAGAAAGATGAAAATAAAAATTATCCGCACCCAGTTCGAAACAAGCTCACATAGCTTATCTTCCCCTGTCAGCAGGCCCTCAACCACATCCCAGCCTCAGGCTTGTAGTTGGCGGTGAAGGTTGGTCCAAACCACTTGGGTCGCTTGCTGCTCATGGGGGCAGTTGGGTTCCAGCCTCAGATTGGCAATGAGATCCCGTCTCACATGTGCAGCTGTTCCAAAAATATAGAGAATGCATCCTTCAAGGATCACCAGATGAACATCCAGAGTACCGGGGGTAAAATGCTGCAGCTTTCCACACCATTTGGCAATGTTTGGGTCCCAAACCCAAATCTCCTGGCTGCACACCTTCCTTAGCTTCTGAAATGCTGAGACGATTGGAAGGACTGTTGGAAGATACTGAAGTGATTCAGCCAAAAGTAGAATTAATTTTGAAAGTTGGTTGGCTTATCATCTAATAAATGTATCTTTCTGCAAAGATTAGATATATACATATCCATATTATATATATATTATAAACAAAAGGTCCTGATATGTCCTGATTTATGCCAGGTACAAACCATCAATGGGCAGCTCTTCTGCACTTGGCAACCTGGCACTGTACTTGGTGATGACATTCCTCAGGCATCGTTGAGCATGGAGGTCGGGTCGGTTTCTGCGGTCTTGTCTTGTTACAAAAAAAAAAATGGTGCTACCCATAAACCAAACCAAACGACAACAAGGAATCGCTGTATGTGCAACATATGATAGTTGTTACAGTAATCATGTCATATTTGGGATATTTAGGTGAGAAACCCTCATACGTTGATATCTTAAAACTTTTAATATGATTCATATGAGTTTGTCTGCAAAAATCCACAGGATCATCATCATTTTCCCAGATGTTCCCCATTGAAATTGCCATAAGTTATGGTGGTTAGTCATCAGTTTTCCCATAGTTTTCCCATCGTTCTCCCATAATTTTCCAACATGTTCCCATTGTTTTCCCATGGGTTTTCCCAGAGTTTTTCCATGGTTTTCCCATCTGTTTCCCCAGATTTTCCCCATCTCCACAGGTGAAATCACCGAGGCGCTCATATCTCCACAGTTCAGACAGGGCAATCACCACCAGGATCTGCAACCAGCCGATGATGGGCACCTGGTGCAAAGCTCATCAAGTTCGACCCAAGGGGATCTTTTTTGAGGCTTCTGACAGCCACTTGTTCTCAGTGTTCCATGCCATTTTGGTGGCTCAGCAGTGCCTGGGTTGCAGCCTTTAGGGGATCCGCGGAATCCGTGGGATAGCGAGTGATGAAAGGCTCAAACCTCAGCCGGGATCATCAAATAATTTACAGTAATAATGATAGAGAATGATAGATAGTGATAGAGAATGATAGATCATAATTGACTATTTCGGAGTTCCAAAAAAATGGCACGTTTGCCAACCGCTGTGCAAACTTGAACAAACTTTTGGTCTCGTCTTGCCAGGGCCCCCGTCTTGGCACCGGAGGTCTGGACCGTGTAGCCAAGGGTCTCAGTGTGAAATCAACGAGGCAGAAGTGGCTTGGAACTTCTGAGCTTGCCTGAGCCTACCCTCTGGTAATTGAACAAATTTAACATAGCCAGCTATTAAAACTCACCATGTTTAGTAGGTATATCAACTATGAATGGCCATTGTCAATAGCTATGTTAGTTTACCAGAGCCTAAGGTGCCTGTTTGCTGGCTTCGTAAGATATGCATTCCACGGCCGATTTGATGATCTGATGATCCGTACTCCGCCAACTCGTACCCTCTTGGAGCTCCAAACAGCAAGCATGCAGACACGGCCGTGCGCCAGCTCGGCTTCACGGTACCTGTCAGGTGAGGATCTTTTCACGGAGATGGACATGATGTAATGTCCTTTCTGAATTTCTGAAGGCTTACTGTACCCGGCAACATAAGTCCCATGTCGCATTTATATAAGAACTCCATTTAGGTGCCCCGAAAAGATTTATGAACCCTGATGAGCTTATCTGTTCCATCTGTACTAAATCAGTTGGGGGTGCTGTGTTGAAGCTGTGCAGGGATAAGATTGTTGGAGGAACTACACAATAGCAACGTGTAAGAAGAGAATCCAAGATGCATGTGCTGCTATGCTAATCTATTCTGGAAGCCATTCACAGAAGCAGTATGGAGAAAGCACAAGTCTTAACAAATGATTTGGAGGACAAGAAATATTGTCATGTCACTAGGGGGGCCTTTATGCAACCATCTCTCTGACCAACTCGCACAGCAAGATACTCCCTAGAATCTGTCTTTGTAAGTTTGCACCAAGAGAGTCACGGTTTGGGTCGATTCAAAACCCAGCACTATCTGTGTCATTGGCTTGTAAGAACTTGTAGGTTTCCGACAAAATGATCTAACGGTTTTAGAGGTTTCCTAAGTCATAGGGGTACCCCCCAGTTATCATCCATATGGATCATCCGTTTTTCCATAGGAATTTCCACGAAATATACCATCCAGCTATTGCCAAGGCACCATGGGAGCAATCGCTGATTCTTGGCCTCAGAAGTCGTCCCCAAATTCATTGCTGGGTGGTGTCAGTTGGGATCATCACAAAAAGGAACAGGAAATTAAAAAAAGGAAAAAAACATAATAGATGTGTGTGTGTGTACATGTATACATATAATATACATATAATATATATATACACATATACGTATAGATACATACATATAGAGAGAGAGAGAGACTTATGTGTGTATATATATATAATTATATATATAATTATATATAATTATATATATAATATATATATACCATGTATAACTGTATAACACTAAGCCGAGTCATCATATCACATCGTCAGTGGTATCTTTTGGATGTCACCTGGATCCGCCAAGGTACAAAGCCCGCGGGGTCGAAGCCTGCATCGCCCACGTAGGGACCGAAGATGTCGTTGGTGAGGCCCTTTCTTTATGGCAGGTGCCGGGATCGTGAACCGAGAGAGCGAGAAACCATAGGAAAACCATAGGAAAATGGAGGTTTTAATGGGAAAACCATAGGAAAACCATAGGAAAATGGAGGTTTACCCTCTGGTAAACTAACATAACTGTGGAAAGATCCACCATTTTTAATGGGAAAATCCACTATTTTCTATGGTTATTTTCAATAGCTACGTTAAATTACCAGAGGGTATTCACTCTCCTTATGTTTGAAGCGTGTTGGGAAACGGAACGAGATGAAGTGAAAGAGGTTGGAGTGAATAATTGACCGGAGGAACCCCAACATTCCCTTCCCTACACCTTCAACATCAGAAACACAAAAGGGAACGAATGGGAATGTTGGGGCAAGAAATGATAAGAGATGTATCAAACCACCTGTTCAGTGGTCCAATGGTCATGCTCCTCGTGTCTCTACCTGACTCTACCTCGTTCTGTCGGTTCACGCTTCGCTTCACCTCTATCACTCGGCGCGGATCAATAGATTGGTTTAAGAGAAATTGTACAGGAATACAGGTGTGTTTCTCATCAATTTTTGGAGTTTCCAGTAGATATTTCCTTCCAATGCTGGAAAAGAAGTGGAATACCGAATACATCCGAATACCCCAATCATAGATGAATATAATATAGACTAATATAGATGCTTGTCCCATTTGCTCATGTATCATGAATTTGCCAAGCTGTAAAAACCATGCTGTTCCAGCCTCAGGCACAGGCGCCCAAGGCAGGGCCTCAGAGTTGCCCGCACGCCTCAGTCGCCAATCAGAGGTCACTCATATTAGTCATATTGGCTAAGGATATTTTGATATCACCAATCAGTAACCAATCAGTCAACTAACATCCACTCATATCAGTCAAGTCACCAATCCTAATCATATTTTGTCATCACGGTTTACAATGACTACAATACCAATCATATAAAGTAAACAGAGATAAACGAGATAATAAACGCATGAAAATTACTCCGGCACCTCAGATAGCACTGGTGTGAGTGACGTGTCTTGCCAAAAGATTGCCTTACACTGGACAGCAACCCTGGAGACAGGTGCTGACAAATGTATCACATTTCTCCCTTACAGCAAAAGGAACCACTTGATGGGGCAAAAGCGAAATGGAGAGGCCCTCCGTCCCTCCGTCCCAATCCGTCCGAAAATCTCAAACAAGAGACATGGCCACTCGGTTGGCACTCTCCTGCGGGCAATTCCCCCAAGACACGGAAACAAATCCGATCTGCTGTCGGCCAGAACGGGGAGCCCGAATTGCTGTCCTCCTGGGCATAGCCACCGATGAATGGGTTCAAGTTGCCTGGATCAATGTGGCGCCATTCTGCGATGCATCCAGCGACTCGGAAGAAAGTAGCGTTCTGAAAACGACTCACCTCCACCCAAAGTGTTTGACAAATGTTCCAGGATTAATTAATTGTGTCGTTTAATTCCAGATGAAAAATGATGGAAACCAAAACATCCCACCTGTGGTGAACTGCTCCACGAGGGATTGTCCAGTCGCACCATTTTGTGCCACAATCGCCGCCATCGCCATCATGGCCTCGAAGTCATCTAATGGAATTCTTCAGCGGGACTCTAATTTTGTACTTCCCCAAAAATACAGATCTTCAATGTACCCTCTGGTTATTTAACATAGCCATGGAAAATGACCCATTTATAGATGGTTTACCTATTGAAAATGCTGATTTTCCATGGCTATGTTAAATAACCAGATGGTAACATATGTAGCTGTGACATCTGACCATGGCACATATTGATGCGATCCTCTGTTCGCCGCTGAATCGTGGCTTACATGACCTCTGAGAAAACCACCAAACGTCCATTGTTGATCTCAGCCAACAACTTCTTCTGCTTCTCCTGACTCAACATATGTGTCTTTGTTCATCCTTATCACCCCAGTATCCTCGTGTGTCACATGGTGGGTGTGCCCCGATGTTGCTAAAAACTTTGATCAAACATCTCAAAACTGCAAAACCCAATCAAGTTTATGCAAATGCTGAAGGGGTTTCATCTTCGTCACTGCTGGGTAAGCTACTTCACTACGTCACTGAACTGGTCAGTGCAACCGATGCCTCTGGGGAGAGCTTGTTGATCTGGCCCCAGAACGGTGGGTAGCCGTAGTTGGTAGGGAACGCCAAATTCTTGGCCTGTCAGTTAGGATCCACTGCAAAGCTTTAAAAATGTAGGCAGTGCATTGCAGTCAAATTCACTACAACTTGTTCTCAATAAGAACTTATTCATCAGAGGGCCAAGTCCAGGGTCTATATATGGGTATGGATCAATACCTATACATACCATTTTTAGGGGGATGAACATCCATTTAAAAGCTATTTTGATGTTCACCAGGGGGATAGGGTTTTGACCCATCCCCATATGAGTCTATATCTAGGTTGTTGGTGACAAGTTCCTTCATTCGTGGCTTGGTGCTTGGCCTCACAAGATCCCCAGCCTCAATAGCCCCAGCCAGGGCAAAAATCTGGAGCCATCCGGCAGCGGGCACCTTGTAGATGGCCTGGCATCAAACTGGGGAAGCCACGAAAATGGGATGAAACATGATGAAACGTAGAGATTATGACCATCCTGAAGTGAAAAATCAACCATGTTTTGGGATGTTTTGGGATGATTCCCCCTTACGAAAATGAACATTTATGAACCATCCAGGTGACTCCAATCGATTCATCGAGGTGACGAAACGATCTCCGCCTCGATGGTGCAAGGAACGTCGGAAAACTTCCTGGCCGGTAGCCATTGAAGTCCCACAAAGGAACATGTATATATATATAATTATATATACATATGTTGGAATGGTGTTGGATACAACATTGCCCCTTTGTCCCTTTGTCAACCATATAATGACATAATTTATCATAACAGTATATAATGGCAACCCTTGAGGTATCAATGCCAGAAACATCCTGCCATATCTTGCCATCAAGTAACAAGTCCATGGAGGGTGAAAGGTAGCCACTGAAGCGGCCGAAGAGGTCTGGCACGATCATGCCGATGGTCGCGACCATGCCTCGAAAACCACGGACTATTGGGACTATTGGGATGATCCAAGGGGAATCGCCAGAGGAAATAGCTACTAACCAAGGACTAACCAAGGATCAAATTCTAGGTCCAACTGTGGAAGTTGCTCAGTGTTTTGACCACCTGAGCTCATATCGTCTCAGGCTTCAGGGCCTCCGAGCATCACTATCAAACACAATTACTGAACTGTGTTGGTCATCCGTCCAAAAACCTGGGCATCATGTATCCCATTTCTTTCTGGGACTCACAGCTCATAAGCGTACTAACTATGACGACGGTATTAATGTGTATGAATACAGTATATATTGGTCGCCCAACAACTGAAACGCACTTCTCTGCGCGACAAATCCCACTCCTTTAATGTTTTTACACCAACAAGAACCAACTGTTCGTAGGTCTATACTGTCTATACTCATAGTCGTTGCGCAAAGACTTCCTTACCATACAAAAAATCTGATTCAGGTGCAACCAAGACACAGATCCTGCCGTGCTTCAGCTCCAGCTCACGGTTGCGGCGGAACTTCTCCTCATCCTTCATGTCATTCATCCGAGGCTTCTGTTGAGGGTCGAATACAGAATATTAGTATAGAGATGTATACAGTATACTAATAATGCAGTATTCTTAGATATCCTATCACAGATCCCTCAAACAAAATTCTAAAAATGACCCCTTCAGCTTTTCGAAGCGCCTGGAAGGCCATCATGCCGAAGGGGTCCCAGTAGCCCAAAGGAGGGCAGGCACCGAGCTCCTGCACCGGGATCACTCGGGCAGAAGACCCTGAAGAACCACATCGTCGTTGTTTGATCGCCGTTCCTATTTGATCCAGGTCCAAGTTTGGAGATGTTTGGAATATTTTGGAATATGTTCAAATGTGTTGCAATATGATTTCAACTTTTGAAGGTCCATTGAACGGTCTGAACTCAACAAACAAATTTTGGCGTGGCTCCTTGGATGGGTCGAACTGCGCAAAGAAGCCCTGGCCGTCGTTGAAGGGAGAGATGTGACCGGAGGTCAGCTGCTCCACTGGCGACTGGCCCGTGAGGCCGTTCCTGAACCAAGCAGCATAAGGGGAGAGGAGCTCAAACAACTACTGCGACATGACTATGGATGAAGATTTGTTCTTTTTCTGTGCATGTTCTATGCCACACATGAATTCGCGCATCATTCCTCAATGGTCCAATTCTATAGACTTTTAGCTTGCCTACAGGGCAGAAACGGATGATACGCGCTTCTTGTGCAAATGGGGCACGGCCAACACTCACCAAGTGGCAACAGGTAACAGGTCCTAATTCTTTTGGAGAGTGCAGTTTACATACAGGTTTTTAATGTTCCTGAATGTTACAACAAGTTCTCGTTGTTTGGAGACCATATTCTCGTTTTTCAAGTCTCAGTTCAATTTTCCAAAATAGAGACCTATCAAAGACTCTATATACTATTGACTCTTCGCTTCCGTAAATTTTGATCGTAGCCCAAATGGGTGGACTGCAACTGGTCGCCGCTTGGGGTCCCAGACTGGATGAGCATAGCGGTCATGGCGACCATGGCCAAACGGCCGTTGTTCAGCTCGGTAGTCAGCTTCAGCTTTCGCTCAGCAGGGTCCTGTGTTGTGCAGGCAGTAGCTGCAGTCCAGAGCAAGGGTTGATTTCAACAGCATCAACTCAGTCTGGAAGAATTGGGAAGTCTTCGGAAAAATCAGCTCAACAACTCCTGGATTTTCCTGCCCCAGTAGCCGGTGCCGAAGTTGCCGGGCTCACCTCAGGCCAAATTTAACCATGGATTGCTGTGTCTCCTGCAGAAGACACCCAAAGAACCTGCTAGGATCAAGCAGTTGCTTCCCATCTTGTGATTTTTTCCAATCTTCGAGACTATTGCAGCCAAGCGGCCGTACTTGCCATAAGCGAAGCCACCAAGGGACTGATCCTGGAACTTCAAAACTCATAAAGAGAAACAACTGCAGTAACTGCGATGCAACTCCGACATCTAAAAATCAACAAGTCGGTCAAAAGTTGACGTGAGCTGGTTCAATTTCCCGTCCGAGTTTTGGCGCCTTGAAGAGCTGAGTCTCAATGAGACCTGCCACCAGCAGGACCTGCAACCAGCCCTCCAAAGGCACCTGAGAAGCCAAAGCGGATCTGCCAGGACATCTTTCAAACACTAGGACAACTTTGCAATTCCACTCATTTTCCAAGCTGACCCTGACGCACCTTGCTGATGGCCGCGATGCCAGAAGGCACGTCTGCGAACTTCCTTGGCGAATCCATCGCCCAAGATCGGGAAGTTCTGGGAAGATTGGATTCCAACTAATCTGGTAAACCCAATCTGTAAACCATCCCTATGTTCACCATAAATGGGTGCTATAAACCATCCCCGAATGGTATGTTTGTGATTGGATTGCCAACAATATTTTAAGATACAAGTTTCATTGAGACCTCAAAAACTATTTTGAAGGGATGGAGGAACGACAATCACATCAATGGCCAATCTGTGGATTTCTTGGGATTCACTGAATGAAATAGTATCTTTAAAATGTGCATACTGGCTGTACCCAATTGATAGTCGTTTCTTTCCATCTTGCTGGTTGTTCAAACAATCAAAAATACTTTCTGTCTCACTTGCGGTGGCTGTCGCAACCAGAAATTCAGCGAATCTGCTGACGCAACAATCGAAGTTCGCTACTAAATTACTAAATGAACATGTTCGTGGTAACATTGAGATCCCCTTTGGTTTTGAGGTGATCTAGGACAATATCTCATCCAAGCATCAAGTCCTGCGATGGTGACAAGTAGCCATCGAATTTGCCGAACCTCAGCAAGTTGTAGGAGGGCATGTCGAATGAATGGGCAGGCCTTTCTCGGAATGTATACGCATCGGTTGTCAAACGTTTGGTTCATGTACGAAGTCTGAAACTGGAATCCTGCTGTAGCTGGAATGTGATTCTGTTCAAGATCATTGTGTTCAATGTTCGAAACCCATGAATTGACTTGATTAGAAGCAGCCACTGATGAAGATAGTCACATTACCCCATGCAACTAAATTGACACAGTCTAAGGCAGCAGCACATCGGGCCAGAGCATACCTCGGAGATAGTCTCTTTGTCAATCAAAACTGCTGGCCGCGGCTTTAGACACTCCGCATGCCGGGCACTGAATCACTTTCTGCAGGTGCATCCTCCAAATGCCCCTGTTCATGAAATATGTTAATTGTTTCCCCTCTTGCTCAGCAAGAGATGTGTGAAAATCAGATGGCAGACTGAAGTCTTGTTACCAGATAAAGTCCAGTGACTCGCTTTCCAGCGGGTTCCAAACGCTGGGCACCTCTCTATTGAGAAAAAGAGCTCTGGAGTGATAGCAGAAACTTTAGATTATTTTATCCGTTATCAATGAGAACACATCTTCTTATTCCGATATCTTGACACTGTCCAGCAGTCTTGGGTGGCTCCAACATCCTCCTCCTCATCCTCATCATCATCATCATCACCACCTTCTTCTTCATCTTGGTTTCAAAAACCCCTCAAATTTGCCATGCAACAAGAAGACACAAGTGCTTCACCATTTCCAACAAACCGCGTCCAAGTCGCCGATGGTGGCGAACATGCAGATCCTGCCGTGCTTCAGTTCCACCGCCCTTCGTCGGTCAAAGTCCTCCTTGGTGCAGTCGCCACCGCAGTAGCCTGAGGATCGGCAGAGTCGGAAAACCCCGACAGATGGCGATAGGTGAACTATGGTGAACTATGGTGAACTATGGTGAACTATGGTGAACTATGGTGAACTTGGTACACCCCAAAAATGGAGATATTGGCTATTCCTGGCTGTTGGTTGGATGTTCCAGAAGAAAATGAACTAAATCGGGCAGTTTGATTCGTGTCCTATGGCCTGAAATTTCACTGAGACTCAAACGGAAAGATTGGGATTGAAAAGTATTGGGATTATATACACATATATATATATATACAAAATTCTCAAAAGTCTTGGGATTGAAAGCATCAGCCAGTTGAAATCGCAGCCAGCCATCAGCCAAGGATCCGATGGGATCCCAGAAGAGGAGTGGGTCGCAGGCGCCGATTTCCTGGTTCGGAAACATTTGGGAACATTTGGTGGGTGGATCAAAATACACAAAGCCCCAACTGTGGATGTCAAGTTGGATGCTCAATACTGAAAAAGGCGACTGTAGAAAAGCTAGAAACCTGGAAAATATGTAGGAAACACCATCTATAGCATCCTGGAAACACACGTGTCTATCTTTTTTGGAGGTTACTATACATGATCAACACATCTGCAGGGCAATGTGGCCCTGTCGCACCTTGGAGGCATCATAGGCACAACGAACCACTGAGCTCGAGCTCCTAGCATGTAAGAAACCAAGGAAGCCACAATCAAAAAGCCGCAGTATGTGATGTTTAAATATTCTGTTTAAATCTGATTTGAAAAGAAGAAAACAATGAAAAGTATACTAATAAAATCATCATCGTGACAATCAACCATCATCATCATCATCATCATCATCATCACCACCACCACTACCATCATCATCATCATCGTCGTCGTCGTCGACGTCGTCATCATGATAATGAATAATAACAGTAATTATATTGATAATAGTAATAATAAAAGTAACAGAAGTAATAGTCATTATCATGCTAATAATTAATAGTAATCATTGCAATAATAGTAATAATCATAAGAATATATAATAGTAACAATCATAAGAATAACAGTGCGAATAAAAACGATGATATCCACCCCTGCACCTGCCGCCCCTCCGGAACCTGCTGGGTCGCGCCAAGGACATCGCACCCAAAATGCTCACCACACTGGCTGCACCCGCCGCGCCGAGGATGCTGCCTACGGTGAATCATCAGATTTGTCCCCCATGGTTTCCACCATTTCATGGGGCAAATATCCCAATTTAATGTGAAAAATTGGATACATATGCTACCCATGAATGGGATGTGTAGCAACTAATTGGCAGTGTTCCCCATGTTCAAACATACCCTTTTTTTGTACCCTGGCGGTTAAGGATTGTGACACTAAAATAGTCTACGTGGCAAGGTAGATAACTAGTAAAAAAGTTGTACTTGAATACAGTATCTCAAAATATCTCAATCTGAATTTCAAAAAAAAAGAGACATCAGACATCTTCCTCCTCGGCATCCCTGATGTTCCCAGCTGCACCTGTAGACTTCTGCTCCACCTGTGGAGCTGCCCCCCTCAGAGTTTGCCTGCCAGCTGATTGAGTGACCAGAAACCCATCATGTCAGAAGTGTTTTTCAAAGGTTGAGTATCTATAGTGGTAATTATAAATAATTGTAGCAATACTAGCTATAGTGATAATGTGGTATAGCTATGTATAGCTATAGCATTGCCCCCATATCCCCCGAAACTCCAAAGGCTTTGGTGGCTCCCAGGATCGTCGCCTGGTCTGGGTGCCCTGTGGCGCCACAAAGGCAGAAGCTGCCATCAAAGCTGCAGCGCCAGTGGCGGCGCAAGAGATCTTAGACATGGCAGGCATGGTGCACCTCAGGACCCCCAGGGACCCACACCTGGTGGCCACCATTCCACCGCTGGATGAACTGTGGAACAAAGAAATTGCGCAGATTCTGAACACTGAAATACACTATGATGTTACGGGGCTTCAAGGTTCCCTCAAGTTGGCACCTTAGGTTGGCAAAGAACAGCCTGAGCCCCAATTTCCGTATCTTTCCCGCCCTCTGGTAGCTGGGTGTCCCCTGCAGCACAAATGCGGTGACTGGTCGAATCAAAAAAAGGGACGGTCGCGCGGTACCGTGCTAATTACACAGCCAAAAGAGGTTGCATCAGTCACTTGACAAGGAAGAGACCCTTCAAAAAGCATCAAAAAGCACTCTCGAACCCATCCTCAACATTTGTTGTTCTGATTGCTTCCTGCAAGCTTCTTTGGGGGGTCCACATCTTTTTGTCCATCTGGTTCATCCTTAAAATGGCTATATTTGCCTTAGAGGTCGCCGCCTTTCAAAATCCCGAGTTTGCTCAAATCACACTCGACCAACTATGGATTTGGCATAGGTCAGTGGGGCCATTTGCAAGACATCTCTTCAGACATGCCCAGAATCAGTCAAATTCGCTCCGCACCAGCGCCCCATCTTTTCCGACCACTAGAACCACCGCACCGGTTTTGCGATCCGAGGAAAAACTGACTCGTTTGCGATCGGTGAGTCTTTTCTTCATCCAGATGATCAACATGTTTTGTCCATTTTTGTGGCACAGCTGCGGCTCCTTGGAGTTTAGTATGGCATTTGTTCATGGTTTGGGAAAAAAACAGCCAGGAAGCTGCCTGTCATTCTGCCAGTTTTTCCGCCTATCATCAGCACTTCAGAGACCTTTTGGGATGAAGTCACCCACCTCAGAACTTCTGGCTATCTCTGACTGGTCGGGGTAGCTGCACGTCATTATATCTTCATACCATTTGCCAAACATAGACCCTGCCAGTTAGGGGTTGGAAGCTTGGTTCCCACTAAAGATTGGTTATGTTCTATGTTACAATGCTCATTTACCAGATGGTATGTTGGACATAATAAATATATATATATATAAATAAACACGACAATGATGGATGTCCTCCATCTGGGCTCTGGACGGTGGACTGGAACTCGGCTTGGGTGAAGTTGGGGATCAGCGAAGGACCCTGACCTGGGTGTTGATGGCTGTGGGTCTTAGTACTGTTTGATCCCCAAAAACCATTGATTTATACTAGATTCTACTAGATGAATTTACCTCACTAGGTATCGCAAATGGAGGTGTGAAATCGGAGCCGAAACGGAAGTGTGAAATCAAGTCACCTGTTGAATTTCGGCACTTTGTCAGGAATGATCAACAGCACCTCTGTTCCAAGGGGACACCGTTCTGCTCTGTTGCTACACTGCTACACAGCGCACCTGTCGATGCGTTGGTGAGCACCATGAAGAAAAAGCCCACCATTGCCTGAAAGGATGTGCAAAGGTTGTTCAGTCTATGAAAACCAAAGTGGCTTGGCCGTCGGCACTGTCTTGGCTTGCAAAGAACATTTCAAGTCCTGCAACTCCCACCCTCTCATTAAGTTATGTTGCGGATGTCCGACTGGTTGCCGTCCCACCAGCTTGGTGCTTCAATCTGTCTGGGATACCCCCACTAATCGGCAGTGCTTGATCTCCCTCAAGCGCATGTTGTTCCACTCCTGGCCCCAACAGCACCCACGGTTTATCATGTGTACCAGTGACTCAACACGATATCAGTCTCACGATATCAACCCCTCCCGACCTCTGGCTTGTAGTTGGCGGTGAAGGTTGGTCCAAACCACTTGGGTCGCTTGCTGCTCATGGGGGCAGTTGGATTCCAGCCTCAGATTCCAAGACTTGACACTAAGCCATGGACGACATGGACGACATGGACCATGGATGCGCTGGACCGCTTGATCTCTACCAAAAATTCATCTGTCAATTTGCTGCTTCGAAATATCTGATGAAGTTCACACTCGCTCTAGTGTGCATTGCTTAGCAAGCTGCCTTTATGCTAGAATCTCGGTGGGAGAATCATCAACAATGAATCCCACAGAAAACCTAACCATAAAGACCATCGCGATTCATGATGTGACCGGTGATTTGTGGTTGTGGTTGGTGGTTGATTTATGTGTTTTTTTGGCCCAATCATAAAGCTAACAACGATAAAGATCACGCCAGGCTTAGGCCCCATACCCAAGTCTCCCGGTTGCACACCTTCCTCAGCCAAAGTCCAGGGTCCTAATGTCAATCCAGCCTGGAAGCATTTTTTCTGATTGTTTTTGGATTGACCTGTTTTCTTTTACCTTGCCCAAAAACAGTTTCGGCTCCACCTTGCACTTCCTGGCACTTCCTGGCACTCCCTAAGCCACCCTACACTGTACTTGGTGATGACATTCCTGAGGCAGGAAAAACATAGAAATCCTCCGTGGTATTCCTATCCGGCCTGCGGTCAACATGACTCACCAATTTCCAAGGTCAGTTCCGGTTGTTTCAGTGGTTCGGGTCAAAAAATTGGGTCTCGATGATAGTTCTTTTCCTATGGGGAGAAGAATGCGCTCAGTGTAAAAACCATTGCTTGATCACATAGGTTCAGCCCATTGATATGTTGGAACCTCCACGTATCACATGTCAATGTTGGTCAATAATGATGATTTGTATGTAATGTGTGTCATAGTATTGTGTAAAAAGAATGTGTTCCAGACTGTACGACTGGCGCTGTACCAGGAGCAGATCCCTGGCCAAGACTCTCATATCTCCACAGTTCAGACAGGGCAATCACCACCAGGATCTGCAACCAGCCAATGATAGGGACCTGGCACAGGGGCGTCGAGACAGAATGATCAAGAATGAATGGGACAGCACCAGCAAAATATGCGGATGTTGACAATAAGCTGTATTTTGAATATTGGATATTGTACAATTGTATACTATATCTTGCGGATTAAAAAACAGTTTGCATTTACTTCCAAAACCGTGCAGCATGCGTATGTATAGATACATACATACATACATACATACATACAGACAGACAGACAGACAGACATACAGACATACATACATACATACATTACATACATACATACATACATACATACATACAGACAGACAGACAAACAAACAAACAAACAAACACACATACACACATACACACATACACACATACATACATACATACATACATACATACATACATACTTACATACATTACATACATTACATACATTACATACATTACATACATTACATACATTACATACATTACATACATTACATACTTACATACTTACATACATACATACATACATACATACATTCATTACATACATTCATTACATACATTCATTACATACATACATTACATACATACATTACATACATACATACATACATACATACATACATACATACATCCATACATGCATACATCCATGCAGACATACATAGACATACATAGACATACATATGCATACATAGACATACTTAGACATACATAGACATACATAGACATACATAGACATACATAGACATACATAGACATACATAGACATACATAGACACGCATAGACATACATAGACATACATAGACATACATAGACATACATAGACATACATAGACATACATAGACATACATGACATACATAGACATACATAGACATACATAGACATACATAGACATACATACATACATACACGCATAGACATAGACATACATAGACATACATACCTGCATGTTTACATACTTACATACCTACATACTTACATACATACATACATTACATACATTACATACATTACATACATACATTACAATACATTACATACATACATTACATACATACATACATTACATTACATTACATTACATTACATTACATTACATAACATACATACATACATTACATTACATTACGTTACGTTACGTTACGTTACATTACATTACATACATACATTACATACATTACATACATACATTACATTACATTACATACATTACATACATTACATTCATTACATGCATTACATACAGTACATACATTACATACATTACATACATTACATACAAAACCGACATAACAGACATAACAATCATAACAGGCATAACAGGCATAAAATACAAAACAGACATAACATACATAACATACATACCATACATAGCCATACATACGATACATACGATACATACCATACATACCATACATACCATACATACCATACATACCATACATACCATACATACCATTCATACCATACATACATACATACATACATACATACATTACATACATACATACATACATATACATACATTTACACATACATAGACATACATACACATAGACATAGACATAGACATAGACATATACATATATACATACATACACGCATACATATACATAGACATACATACATACACATACATACATACATACACATACATACATACATACATACACATACGTATACATACATACATACATACATACATGCATGCATGCATACATACATGCATACATACATTACATACATACATACATACATACATACATACATACATACATACAAACATACATACATACATACATACATACCATTACATTACATTACATTACATTACATTACATTACATTACATTACATTACATTACATACATACATACATATACATACATTTACACATACATAGACATACATACATACATACATACACACAGACATACATACATACATTACATTACATTACATTACATTACATTACATTACATTACATTACATACATACATACATAAATACATACATACATACATTTACATATACATATACATATACATATACATATACATACATACACATACGTACACATACGTACACATACATACATACATAACATAACATTACATTACATTACATTACATTACATTCATACATACATACATACATTACATACATTACATACATACATATACATATACATACATACACATACGTACACATACATACATACATACATGCATGCATGCATGCACGCATGCATGCATACATGCATACATACATACATACACACACACTCACACATACATACATACATACATACAAACATACACACATACACACATACATACATACATACATTACATTACATTACATTACATTACATTAGATACATACATACATACATACATTACATTACATTACATTACATTACATTACATTACATTACATTACATACATACATTGCATACATACATTGCATACATACATTGCATACATACATTACATACATACATACATACATACATACATACATACATACATACATACATACATACATACATACATACATACATACATACATACATACATACATACATACATACATACATACATACATACATACATACATACATACATACTACATACATACATACATACATACATACATACATACATACATACATACATACATACATACACTACATACACTACATACACTACATACACTACATACACTACATACATACATACATACATACATACATACATACATACATACATACATACATACATACATACATACATACATACATACATACATACATACATACATACATACATACATACATACATAGCATACATAGCATACATACATTACATGCATACATAAATACATACATACATACTTACATACATACATACATTACATACATAGATACATACATACATTACATACAAACATACATACATTAATTACTTACATTAATTATATTAATTACATTACATTACATTACATTACATTACATTACATTACATTACATTACATTACATACATACATACACACATTAGAAATGTTTCAAAATATAAATGCAGTATGTATAATGTATGTTTAATTAGATATCATATGTACATGTCATAATATCTTTGTATACCCGGCACCTTGACAAGACGGTGCCCAACCGACTAGTTAACTAGTTAAATGATTCTCCAGCATATGTCTTCCCAGCACGGCGCCTGGGTTGCAGCCTTCAGGGGATCCGCTGAATCGGTGGGATAACGAGTGATGAAAGGCTCAAACCTCAGTGGGGTTGGTTTTAGCAGAAAACATGTAGGAAATTCGGGTGACATGATCAGAAATGATCCACATCTATGTCCAATTCTTCCCTGCTACATTTGTCCGTGAAACCAATTCTGAGAACTGGGATCTGCACCTATCCGCCCCAACCAAAACCACCCCAACTTCGCTCCATTGCAACCTGCTGGGGCCCAGTCTTCGCACCGGAGGTCTGGACAGTGTAGCCCAGAGTCTCAGAGAAAAGCGACCGGGTCGCTGGCAGCTGCGTGATACTGGTGCTACTCTTTATGCTTGGCGGCCAAAAACGTGCAGCTTTTGGGTGTATCCATTTTCGATGTATCCGAACCGTCAAGCATTGGTTTATCTGCAGACAGGGCACCCCACTCCGTCCCATGGTTTCTTGTATCAGTGTCCCGCTCAAAAAGGCAATTGTTGGTGTCTCCCCTATTTTTTGGTAGCGTAGTTAATGAATCAAACCATGGGATACAAGACCATCCTAGATGTTAGTGTCTCCCATGTCAAATATAATGAATCCCATGAAAATGTTGTATCCTCATTTTTTGGCACAAATCTTGGGTGCCCTGTGGGTACCTACTTCCCCAGGGATCCTTACAGCAAGCATGCACACGCGGCCATGTGCAAGCTCAGCCTCCCTGTACCTGTGGGCGTGTTGGAAAATGGAAAAATACTAAATAAAACTTGCTGTTTAAGGGCGATTAAATGAAAAAGGTTACTATTTCCGCTATTTCATGCTATTAAGTCTATTAAGTTTTAATGCTATTCAATGCTGTTGAATGCTTGCTGACAAGAATGATGGTATACCACGGGATGGAATGGGGTGCCCTATTTCAGATTTCAGACAAACCCAAGTCATCAAGACCACAACTATCAACAAACCTGACAAGTCTGACCGGTCACATAGTATCGGTTGGGAAATAGTGCACCTGTCACACCCAACAGTATGGATATTGTTCCTGTAAGTCAATGTGAGCACAGTTTTTGAACCCTTCCATTGGTGCAGAGTGTCTGGAACCCTCAGCCCCATCGCACCATGGGAGCAATCGCTGATTCTTTGCCTGCACAGATCAGGCTGAAATCAGCCGGACGGGCATGGCATTCTGCAGTTTGAGAATCTAACAACTGTCTTATTTCAACCCTACTATCGGTCGTTTTTTCTTCCGAATTTATTTGATGAAGTATACCCAAAGGGTTATTCCCATCATATTCCCATTACGTCCCAATGATATGTCTATAATTCCCTGTCGTTGTTGGTTAAATACCCTTAAATCCCAATTTTTGATCGTTCCATCAAATCCCTGTTGTTGGTAATATGACTATTGCTGATGATTATACATATTCCCATTAAATATCCTACTGTTGATAGTTGTTGGTTAAACCCCCCATGTTGTCAGGGTCTTCCCCCATCGCCATCCCCTCCCTCCATGGCTGAAAACACCAAGCCGCAAAGCCCGCAGGGTCGAAGCCAGCATCGCCCACGTAAGGCCCGAAGATGTCGTTGGTGAGGCCCTGTTTTTTGGGGGACAACGAAAAATGGCTGATGACATGAGGATATCATACATTTGCATACATATGCAATATTTCAGATAGATTGATATAGATAGATGGATGGATAGATACGGATGTGAATATGGATATGGACAATGATATGATATGGATGTGGATATAGATATAGATATTGATATCGATGTAGTTGTGGATTTAGATATAGATATATGTAGTGGGCGCTTGGTCTTCAGACGATAATGGTTTTATGCACATGCTGGAGGTTTTCCAGTGGAGTGGGACTGGGTTGGGACATCAAACTTCATGTGCACTGGCGCACGCTACACATTCTTTACAACAACTTTGACAAAATATTTCGGAGGTGTGTTTTTTATTGGGTGTGTATATTGTATGTATGCGTGTATGTATATATATATACATGGTACCGGCCTGCAACCCCACACCTCGCCCCGTCATGGTCATGGTTCCCCACCCCGCCCCTGGAATGGGGGGGTCTCTTGTATGGATGTATGCATGCATGCATGCATGTATGTGTGTAGGTAGGTAGGTCGGTAGGTAGGTAGGTAGGTAGGTAGGCAGGGAGGTAGGTAGGTAGGTATGTAGGTATGTAGGTATGTATGTATGTAGGTATGCAGGTCTGCAGGTATGTATGTATGTCTGTCTGTCTGTCTGTCTGTATGTCTGTATGTATGTATGTGTCTATGCAGGTATGTGTGCATATAAGTATGTAAGTATGTATGTAGGTAGGCAGGTATGTATGTAGGTAATGAGGTACATAAGTATGTAGGTCTGCAGGTATGTAGGTATGTATGTATGTAGGTTTGTACGTATATAACTATGTAGGTCTGCAGGTATGTAGGCATGTATGTGTGTATGTGTGTATGTGTGCGTATGTGTGTGTGGGGCTGTGTATATGTGTGTGTATGTATGTATGTATGTATGCATGCATGCATGCATGCATGCATGCATGCATGCATGCATGTAGGCAGGTAGGTAGGTAGGGATGTGCATGGGCAGGTAGGTATGTATATGGGTAGGTAGGTATGTATGTATATGGGTAAGTATGTATGTAGGTATGTAGGTATGTAGGTATGTGGGTATGTAGGCATGTAGGTATGTAGGTATGTAGGCATGTAGGTATGTGTGTATGTGTGTGCGTCTGTCTGTCTGTCTGTCTGTCTGTCTGTCTGTCTGTCTGTCTGTCTGTCTGTCTGTCTGTCTGTCTGTCTGTCTGTCTGTCTGTCTGTCTGTCTGTCTGTCTGTCTGTCTGTCTGTCTGTCTGTCTGTACGTATGTACATATGTGTCTATGTGCGTAGGTAGGTAGGTAGCTAGCTAGCTAGCTAGCTGGCCAGGTAGCTAGGTAGCTAGGTAGCTAGGTAGCTAGGTAGCTAGGTAGCTAGGTAGCTAGGGAGCTAGGGAGCTAGGGAGCTAGGTAGCTAGGTAGCTAGGTAGCTAGGTATGTATATGATGTATATGGGTAGGTCCTTATGTATATGGGTAGGTCTGTATGTATATGGGTAGGTCTGTATGTATATTATATATGGGTAGGTCTGTATGTATATGGGTAGGTGTGGGTATGTAGGTATGTATGTAGGTACGTAGGTGCGTAGGTAAAGTAGGTACAGTGCGTATTTATGTGTGTATATATGTATGCATGCATGCATGCATGCATGTATGTATGCATGCATGTATGGATGGATGGATGGATGGATGTAGGTATGTGTGTATGTAAGTATGGAGGTAGGTAGGTATGTGTGTAGGTATGTGGGTATGTAGGTTGGTCGGTAGGTTGGTATGTATGTATGTTAGTTTGTAGGTATGTAGGTATGTAGGTAGGTATGTATGTATGTATATGCTTGCACAGATGTTGGACGCCTCCCTCTTACTTGCGCAGACCCTTGCTGCTACTTTATAGGATCCTTTCTGGTACATGCACAGACAGTTAATGTTCCGCTACACGACCTTCTATTGTACGCGCGCAGACAGTTAGTTGATGCAACGTTATAAGGAGTTGATCTTCTCTTGCACTTGCACAGACACTTGGTGCTACATTAATAGACCTTCTCTTGTTCTTGCACAGACACTTGAAGTTACAAAATCTTCTCTTGTACTTGCACACTTGCGCAGAGGCTTGGGCTTGGCGCTACGTTAAAAGATCTTCCCTCGTACATGCACAGACACTTGATTCTACGTTACAGGGTGCTGGGCTACCGGGGAGGGGAGACCACCATCTGGGGGGGGTAGCCGGGGGGTAGCCGGCCTGGGACCATACCATCAGGGGGGGTACCGGGCCGCAGACCGGGGCCATATATACATTACATGGTCCAGGCCAGCAACCCGTCTCTATCCCCCCACATCATGGTCATGGTCCTGCATGTACACTGTATGTACGCTGTTTGCAGGGGGCTCTATGCAAGGTATAGTTTGCACAACCCACCACCCCTGTGGGATGGGTGGGGGCTAGGTAGTATGTCACTAGCATGTAAAGCAAACAGTAGGTATGTGACTACAATGCTCCATGGCCCCCCTATGGGATGGGCAGGTGTTCTAGGCGTACCATGTAGATAGCGTGTAGGTAGCACATGGCTTGCACGTATGTATGGCATATGAGATCTTGACAGTAGCTAGTATATGGCCACGATGAAAGAACTTTATGGGCAGTAATACGGTGTAAATAGAGTGATGTAGGTTGTAGCTTATCCCCATGCCCCCCCTGTGGGATGGGTGGGGTGCTATAGATCATGTAGATAGCATTTAGGCAGTACGTAGCCAGCACGCATGTATAGCACATGAGATCTTGATAGTAGCTAGTATATGGCTGCTATGAAGGTACTTGATTGGCAGTAATCCGCGGGCCTGCTGGCGTGTCTTGTGGATCTTGCTTGTTCGTATTTGTACTGTCTGTTTTGTCTTTGTCTTGTCTAGACTTTCCCCTTGGCACGGATTTTTGCCTCGTCTAACTTGAACCCACCCCCCCTCCCCACCTAGCTCTTCTTCGTTTCGTTTTCATCTTTCCTTACGTCGTGGTGGGCTCGACTCTGCCCACGGCTCGCTCAACACCGGCTTGGTTTTGCACATCTTGGTGTCATTTCGATGGTTGTTTCCGTTCTTTTGTTGTGTTTGCCATCGGTTTGCTCCGTCGCTTCTTATATCCAATACTTGATCCACTGGTTTTTGTGCCGAACACCTTTTACACGCATAATCTTTCTAAATATGGCCTTTTCCAAAGCCTTTCTCAATATGGCCTTCCAAAACCCTGGTTTACACACATGCTTTGGTTTAAACTTAAACTGTGCTTTGAACAAAACCAATGTTTTTGCGTCCAAACCATCTTTTACACAAAGAGCTGTTTTACACAAAAACTGTGTTATCCACAAACACCATGTTTTACACAAAAACCATATTCTTGCTGGGCCTGTGCAAGGGCTGTTTGCAGCCTACAGGATAACTCTTTCCATGGTGGCCGGCGGAACACGCCGAAGACGGTTAAATACTTTGTAAATAGATGTAAATAGCGTGATGCAGGGTGTAGCCTTACCCCTGTGGGATGGGTGGTGTGTTTAGAGGTATCATATAGATAATGTATAAGTAGTCCGTGGCCAGCACGTATATATAGCACATGAGATCTTGATAGTAGCTAGCATATGGCTTCTATAAAGGTGCTTTATTGGCAGTAAGTGATGAAGAGTGTAGCTTACCCCCACGCCTCCCCTGTGGGATGGGTGGGGTGCTATAGATAGTGCATAGGTAGCACGTGGCCAGCACGTATGTATAGCACATGCGATCTTGATCGTAGCTAGTATATGGCTGCTATAAAGGTACTTTATGGGCAGCAATACGTTGTAAATAGACTGTATGGGCATATAGGCAGTAGTGAACACTGCATGGAGGTATCCCGCCCAAGTTGGGCCCAACCTGGGCCAACATTGTCAACTCAATGCGGTATGCCGAAAGCGCGCGCGTTTTTACTTGTATTTACAACGATTTTGGGCGTTGATGCGGTTCGGGCTGGGCCATGTGTTCCCCAGGTCGGGCCTGTCTTGGGCCCAAGTTCGGCGCCAGATGCGACCCCACACAGGACCATGTTAAACCCAACTTGCGGGCAAACGTGCCCAAGTTGCGCCACATTGGACCCCAGTTGGGCTCAAGTTGGGACCAACTTGGCGCCAGCTGGCCCGAGTTCGGCGGCTCGTGTTCTGCCCGACTTGGGCCAAGTACGGCCAAGTTTCACCCCACGAGCCCGCTTCTTTCATCTCTGGGTGCGGGGGGTACTCGCCGCGAAGCGACTCAAACAAACCATCCAGTTTTTGGGGATCCCCCATGACTATGGAAACCCCCAATTATCATGGGGATTAGTGATTAGTTAGTTTTATTGAATGGAGATAGGGATAAGACTAGTTATTGATAACCATCCATTTCATGGAAACCCCCACACATGGCAATGGAAAATCTACCATTTATTGATGTTTTTTCCATGAAAATCTCCATTTCCACTTGCCAAGTTTGGTTACCGGATGGTAACGAGCCTAGTTTTGCTATGGTCCATGCCTCACCACCCCCATCACGTCACAGTCACGACGGCCTCAGGCACTGGCGCCCAGGGCAGAGCCTCAGAGTTGCCACCCGCGCGCCTCAGGCTTTTTTTCCAGTCAATTTGGCGGGTCCAATGGAATGCTCCATGGATAAATGGGGATTATAATATGGGAACATAGATAAATATAGATAATTGGATAACTATTTGTAATTACGACGTTTATCTATAAATAGCTATAAATGGGGATGAAATAGTGAAATTGCTGTTTATAATGTGGTAAAGCTAATGCCATGAACCATCCCATTCACCAAATGGCCAAAATCTCAGGTTCCATGGATCTAGAATGTTGGCCCATGCCCATGTTGCTTGACTTTGACCTTACCATAAAAACACTCCGTAACTTGACGCATCAAAGATGGGGAGACCACCTACCTAACAATACAAAATGGGGAATTCGACCAGCATGAAGTCCATCTAAATAACTAGGGTTCAACAGCAAAAACTACAGTAAATGGATGTACGGAGGCTGACTGGAATGCCATCAATTTCAAAAAAGTATCTGTGCACTTGTCCTGCACGGCAGGAAAACAACCTAATGTGACACTTTGAAAATACAAATATCATGCGCCTTGCTCTTCACAATGCTTCCTAGGAATGCTTTAGACGCCAGAGGCACAATCATTGCACCCATTGTGCCAGTGGATCACCCCTCCCACTCTTAACAGATGGCAAGTGTCATGGCCACCTTGTTTGCTCTGTCCTTTCATCCAAGCACAAGCACCAAATGTTCGAGAAAATTGCAACTTTATTGCTTTCGCAGGCTCTACTAAATCCGCTCTGGATACATCTTCATCCCTGGCATCAAACAGTTACAATTCAATGGTGTTTCACTTACCACAAAACCTGCTCCCTCGTGTCTCATGCTCATCATATCCTCCTGGGCATAGCCGCCAATGAATGGGTTCAAGTTGCCTGACACAGCGGCTTGCAGCAAAGCTTAGAAGATGAAAGAAAGGATAAGTCTGCCCTGATAAGTCGATCGTGACATTAATAGATACTCCAATGTTTACTTATCGAAGTCCTACCTTTTTGCCAGCTATCCTGTCCCAATCAGCGATTTCTTGCCTGTGGTGAACTGCTCCACAAGGGATTGTCCAGTGGCCCCATTCTGTGCCACAATGGCCGCCATGGCCATCATAGCCTCAGCGTATCCATTGATGCTCGAGGCATGGAAAGTTCAGCCAACAACGCTACGAGGCAGCGGCCAAACGTCCGTTGTTGATTTCGGCCAACAACTTTTTCTGCTTCTCCTCCGCAACATCAGGTCTTGTGACGTTCAAAAAAATGCGTGCGCGTATGTATGTATCTAATGTATGTAATGTATGTATGTATGTATGTATGTATTGTAATGTAATGTAATGTAATGTAATGTAATGTAATGGAATGGAATGGAATGGAATGGAATGGAATGGAATGGAATGGAATGTATGTATGTAGGTAGGTAGGTACGTACGTACGTACGTATGTATGTAGGTAGGTATGTATGTATGTATGCATGGATGGATGGATGGACGGACGGACGGATGGATGGATGGACGGACGGACGGACGGATGGATGGAGGTAGGTAGGTAGGTATGTATGTATATATATATCATGAATATCATATAATATATACATATATTGATACATATATATATATCACACAGCTGCTGCAATCTTTTCCCGCTTGTGGCAAGTTGTCCCAAGCGCTGATACATCAGCGATAACGATAGAAAAAGAGGTTGCGACACTCCAGGTACCAGTCGTCCAATGCAGCTGCAACTCACACCAGAAAATCTAATGCCTGGAAAAATTGTCAACCTCCATCTCTTCATTGCTTTGACTTGTCAACCAGAAAAGAATGCAACAGCGGTCCAGCAGTATCTGCAAAAAGTTTGACTACCGCACGGTCTTCGGGCGGCATCTGAGCTAGGAGTGATTGAGCAGCTACCTCTTGGATGTAATGTTCAACTGTCTTCAATTGGGCCCATCTACCCCTCCATTGAATCAAGCTAAGGTCCTCACTTTCAAGGTACAACGCTGTTGCACCACTTCCGCGCAACACGGCAGGAGTGGCCCCGCGAGAAGGCATAGAAACTGAAATTCCAAGTCTGCCGAGGACGTGGTCCCAACGCCGTCGATAAGCCGACGTGCCACCAGCAAATAAAGATGCATTAGGAGCAAGAGCACCAAACACCTTAGTCACATATGCAAGGACGCAGGGATCGTCGATCTTGCAGTGTTGCTTCCTGGCAAAACGAGCCGTTTTAGGATTCCTGATATGCACATAGAATGCAGCTGTCTCATTCAAAGTGTCATCGGGCAGTAAAAGGTCAGACCTGAGAAGGGAAATGAACCCGGCCGGATGTAACATCCCAAGGAAGCCAATCAAGGTGATTCCCAACCATCTGTACCACTTCCAAATCAGGCATAGGCAGCTCACTGCTCGCATGATTGGAGCAGAAAGAACCGGCCTGCAATGGCCCGGTTCGTACTGCTGCCACTTTCTGTCGACCTGCCAGGCAGAACTGAAAAAGGGCCGCAAATGTGGAAACGTGTCCTGCATGGCTGTGATGGTATACACAAATTTGTACCGAGGAAAACCTCCAGCAAAAAGGTGCAATCCATAAGCTCGCAAAGCGAGCGGACCAGCTGTATAATCCCATCCAATGCTTTGCAAGGTCAGTGCAAACTCGGCAAAACCATTTGGCAAACTCATCCAAACATAGCTGCATGCGCTTGGACGTCGCCGTAGCAAATCCCACATCCATGGACAGCTGGCCCCGAGGGGTCCGAGGCTTTGTTTGAAAATCAGGTCCGGGATTGCGCTCAATATCCCCAGCCAAAAGCAGAAGGAAACGCAACCATCTGGCTGCCAGCTTCGTGCACTTTGCAGACTCTAGGATTCTATCAAACCGGTCAAAACCACCGGAGCGGAGGTCACAAAGCCAGGTTGGAATCTCCTTGGTTGGTGCAGGCACAGGACGGTTTCGCGACGGTGCGTCGCTTCTGTTCTTACCGGATGCAATGTGAAATCCCCCAGGGTAAAGGCAACCGCCCAAAACATAACCTAAAGAACCTTGCAAAACTCTGCAGATAGTCCGGCTACTGGACCTGCCTTTAGAAGTAGCTCCTAGTGTTGCACGGGAATCAAGTAGACTTAAGATTCTGTTATTAGGGTGGTTTTTGGCACAGTGCTTTCGGAGGGTTTTATGAACCCGGCATTCAAGAACATTTATATGGTTTCGTTTCTTGAAACGGTACCTCAGCAATTCTCTAAAAGGCAAGGAATCCGCAAGTTCCTCGATCCACTCAGGATCCTCATGGAAAGGTCTCGGATCTGCTGCCGGAAGGTTGGATAAGTTTCTAGGCAGATCGGGGCGGATGCCAATTCTGCGAAAGGACAAAACTTTGGCTGAAATTGGAACAATCGGAACGGAATCATGACGAGCAGCAATAGCTCCCGATGCAATTCGGGCGCACAGCAGCTTCGGATACGAGGCCGAGAATGCAGAAACATGTTCGCCAGCTTTTGGCCAGCGGCCGTAAACCTCATCCGGAGAGGGGCGACATCGCGCCGCAAAATCAGCAACTGAAGCATGAGTGAAAGTACCCTCACTTACAAAGTGATCCGCTGAAGAACTGCACCTACAGGATTGTTCAAGTCCAAGCATCCAAGGTTTATTATGTAGCCATTTAGATGGTTTTTTGAAAGGAGAACCATAAGCACAAAAACACAAGTGGGTTATGATGCTCCACGAAACACCATCCGTTGAAACACATCCAGGTAAAACATGACAGACGAGCCAGGCTGTTCTACGCTGAAGAAACCGCCAGCCAGCATCACTAGGTTCATCAGGAAGGCGGTCCTGAGTGCCAGCAGGGTGTGCTCACGTGTCAACGGATCCCACATGTCAAACCCAGCAGGTTGCTGCTTTGATCTTAATCTGGGCCTTCTAAGAGTTCCATACGTTTTACAAGGTGTTCCTGCATGCCAGTCTGAAATGACACCTCGCGCAGCCAAACTGGCTGCTTGGTGAAAAGTGCTATCATCCAGCAAGTCACCAAACTGCATTCTGCGACCATCAACATCAAAGCCATCATGAACACGAAAACCAACGGCTTCGTGAGCCAATGACCAGTTGCCCTCGCCTGGGAACAACTCAATGCAGTCGAACAGAATGCCTTCCGAAAGTGAACAAGGAATCTTTAAGACAACATCTTCCCGGTCAGAAGGTTGAATGGAAGGAATGGGTTCTTCAAAAGATTCGCCTAAGGATGATAACACACTGGCAGCTGGGGTAAGCAGCTGTGTATAGTAACCCCGCTGTTCACTGTGACGCCACAACTCTTGAACAACTGACTCACATTCGGGTGACTGGCATATGCCTGCTCCGTCAGGGCTGGCATCTGTGCAAAAAATGAATGGTGCATAGCCGACACGCAAATCACTCATGCAAACCGGTCCCAAACAACTGAGTGCTAAAAGCTCATTCCGAGTCTCTCTACTCAGGGAGAAAATTTGGTTCTGCGGCCGCTCAATGCCGTCAGTGAAGGCATGAGAGACCACCGCCAAAACAGCTCTACGAAACATCAGCACATGAATCCAGCAGCCGAGCAAACTCGCAAGAAGTCGGCGGCTGGCTGTTCCTCGTCTGGCGACAAGGACTGTGCACATCATCAAAACTGAGATACGGTGGCGTGGTGCCGAAACGAACCCTAATGTCCCATCAACTTCAGCCCCGAGAAAAACGCCCTGAGATACTTCCCGCTGCTTCTTTTTGGGGTGCTGGACAAGCTTAACAGACTGGTAAGCCCTTTCAGCTCCCAGAAACACAGCGGTGTCACGTAAGGGGACCCGGTTACGAAATTGAGAATCAGTTACAACTTGAATGCCAATATGATCGTCAATTGAAAGCCATTCCATGAAATCAGATCTGGGAAAAGGGTGGCGGTAGCACACCCGTTCGCTGTCTAGCATGCTGCCAGCTAGGAATCTCAGCACGTTACAATGCGCTTGTTGCGCTATCTCAACTGCCCAGCTGTCGCCCATTGCCAGGGCGCTCAACGCAAGGACGCATGGCCCATAGTGCTTTGAAGAGTCAAAACAAGACAAATGCTTCAACTCAGCTACATCAAACAACTTACCAATGCAGTTCCGTTTCGCTCTGGCTGTTGGAACCCTGACAGTATAGTACATCTCTGCAAGATCATCTGCGGATATCCGAAGCCTACACACTGGTTTGAGGTGTATGAGCGAAAACATGGAACCTGGCGCAAGTTGCTTTGTGTAATGCGAAAAGGACGGCATCCGGCTATTCACAGTTTGGGGATTGAGGATCAAACGATCGTACTGATCATCTTTTGGCACTGCAAACAATCCAACAGCTTCATCCCAGTTAATTTCATCCAACCGAAAAATTCGACATGCCCCCTTAGAATCCCATTTGCATGCAAGACCCAAAAGCTCCTGTTTAGAACAATGCACTCTACCCCGAGGTTGTTCAGGCCACATGTGAGAGGGCAATCTAACTCTAGCGGGATCAACAAACGCATCTTTAACTATGGGATCAACCAAGTAAGGAGTGGGATCAAAATTGGGGCTATGTTCCCACTTGATTCTGCTGGAAATGACAGGCTTCGCAACAGACTTTGGCATACACGTCACACCAAGCGAACACCCTGCATCCGGGGGACTACAAGGGGAAGGACTAAGTGGATTAAGATCACAACTGGAGGCCATATTATGCTGATCCACGGAAGTGGGCTTGGAAGAATATGGGTCCAATTTACTTGCAAGGTCAAAAACTAATTCATCGAGGTCCACTTCCTGGTTATCAGGCAGTTCCTGACAAGCACGCAGCAGGTTGCTGAGGATTTCACAACTGCGTCCCAAGCTTTGTGACGAGATCGGACCCGCCTGTACAAAGTGGTCAACAAGCCGTTCGAGCCTATTAATCATCGCCCACTGCTCTTCAGTTAAGTCAAACCCAATGCATGCCTGCGGTGGGGGACTAGTCGGGTGCCCGAGAGTCTCCCAGTTGAGGGTGGCAACAACAAGCTGGAGCAATGAGTGACGAAGCTTCAAACGTTTCCTAAGCTTGCGCCTTCGGGGCGACAGTCGTGTTGAGCCCGTCCACTCCCAGGTTGGTAAGGGACATGGCCACAAATCGGAGCATGCTGGAGCTCCGTGCACGGTGCGGGAGTGCGGCTGTTGCAGCGAAAGCTTGAAAAATCTACCCAGGCCAACATGCACAGCTTCTGCACTGAAAGCAAAACGTTCCAAAAAACTTAAAAAACTTACGGGTGAGTCAGAAGGGCTGAACTGCGGCATTTCTTCATTCAGCTTAGACTGTACATTCGAGGCCTGACAAAAGTGAGATTGGGCTGCTGCAGGGCTAAAGCTCCTAGGACTACAAACATTCCCCCGGGGGCTATCAACCAATTCAGCAGCTTCACAAAAAGGCGACGAGGAAAAATCAGTCACTCCTGACTTCAGTTCCGGCTTCATGACGGGGCTGCAGAATCGCTCGTCTCGTCCTTCGCCTTGCCACGGCCTTTCTTTGGCTTCCAGGGCTTGCGAGGACCTTTTGGAGCGTCTTCGTCTGCAGGGTCGTCCTTGGACGGTTTGTCGGCGGACTTGGTGTTCTTCAGTCTGCCCTCCAGATAGTCCAAATCCTTCAGGTAGGCTATGTTGCCGGCGACCCACGGAGCCGAGGCGAGCTTGGCATAGGGAGTCAGCCCTATGCGGCGGCGATTCATAGTGATTGTTTGCAAATTGGGGTCCGGCATGGCAGCTAGGAGCCAGCCGAATTGACATCGGCCCTGGTCCAACGCGATCTGCTCCACCATCATCAAACCCCGTGCAAACAAGCCCATTGAGAACTCGTTCTTTGCTTCGCAGCTCATCTGCCAAGCCACGGCCATGTACTGAGCCAAGTAGGTCAGCTGTCGCTGATCTCCCAAGGGCATCCGCTTCTCCACGTAGCTTCGCATCAAGCAGCTGTTCACCTGATCGGCCGGGAGGCCCAGATCTACGGCAGCATTGGAAGCTATGGATCTTCCGGTGCCCTTCACATCTTCCATAGTCCGCAGGTAGGCATCCCTGGCAACGCATCCCTTGACTCCGCTTTGCGAGCTGCCTCCTTCGCTGCCCAGGGCGGCGGAAACTGGATCTCTGGTCGGCGGCGCCAACTTCTGCATCAAAGCCGCGGCTTGCTTCATCTGGAGCGCCAACAGCTGGTGCAGGGGATCCGACGAGGCATTGAGCACCTGAGATACCTCGTCCTCGGCTTCAACCTCCGCCTCCGCATGAGCGAAGGCTTGCTGAGCGGCTGGATTCTCGCCTGCCAGAGCGTCTGTGCGAGCAAGCCGACCAGGAGGAGGCCCGGCTAAGGAGCGAAGGCGCTCCAAAGTTCCTGGTGGGACGGCCCCAACGGTGCCAGGGGCAAACAGCACTGATCTTCCGGCTGCATGGAGTCGCGGCTCCAGGTCTACCACTGGAGCTAGGCCACCAGAGGGCGCCGCTTGCTGCGACTCCAGCTGGGCAATGCGCGCCTGCAACTGCTGAACAACTTCTGGGCTGACATTGGACTGAGCGGGCGAAGGTGCCTCTGCGTGCATCTCCGGCTCTTCGGCAGTGAAATATTCCAGCAAAACTTCGTCCGCTGCGGCCAACTCGCTGATCCAGAGCTCTGCGGCTTGGTGAGCTCCTCGCATGGAGGGACGGGCAATTGAGTCCTGGGCCATCATCCGCAACAGACCGGCCGCGGCGTTGCCGCGCTAGGCCGGAGTGCGCACAAAGTGAGCCGCACACTCGGCGGGCATGTCCACCAACACCATCTGTCCTGAACCAAACCTTCTTCCTCGAGCATCTTCCAGAGGAACATCTACTTCCTTTTGAACCACCAAACTGTCTCCATCGCCATCCACTAACTGTTCCAGAATAGCCAAGACTTCTTCCAAAGCAGGTAGCAGAACCATGAAACCTGAAGCACGACATCGAACTAGGTGAGCTAGGACACGCACTTCGGCGCCTTCCAAACTTCCTACCAAAACTGCAGTGGGCAAAATGCGAGAAGTGCCCACCTGTCGGATCCTCTCACAGATACCTTCAAAACTCAAGGGGCCAGCGTCAGCTCTGGCGGCCATCGTCGAAACTGGCAACCTCGCAAAAACACTTCGCCCTCAATCAGAGTGGGAAAGCCGTGAGACACACTGCCCTCCTCCAGTGAATCACCTTGGATCAGCTGGTCGTGATATATTTGAAAATCTCTGGTGTAAAAACCACCGGGAAACTGGCGGCACCTCGCAACAATGTACACAGTGTTCTTGATGCGCCTGTTGAAGCCAGGGGAGATCACTTGCTTGTCAAACAAACCTTGGAGAACACGATGGGCTGCAAGACCAGCGCGGTAGGCACGAGCTAGCCGAGCCCGTGGAGTCCAAACCAGATCTGTGTGCAGCAAATCACGATGAGAGCAAAATTGATCCAAATAAGGTGGCAGAGCTTGATCTAATTCAGCAGCTGAGGTGGTGTGAAACAGTTGGAATACAAAATCCTCCGAATGTTCAATCACAGCCCACTCAACCACGGGGGATTCAGAATCTCAACACCAGCAACCGCTCGACCTGCAATCAGATCAGAGGGAAATCCAGGACCTGAAACGACCGGAACACCCGGAAGCTCCGGAGGAAGTGCAGGTTCAACCGCACCAGCAGTGTTCAGGTCAGATTCGGGCTCCCCGGGAGGCCCGGGCACGCTTGTTTGGAAAAGGGTGGTCACAAAGTCGTACACAGAGGAAAGGATCCCACTCATGCACTGTGATATTCCTTGAACCTAGAGCGGAGTTCCACTCGCCCCCTAGCAGCTGGCAGTTCGTACCAAATAGCGCAGGCTGAAGTCACACAATGCCAAATCCGGATGCGGCACTTGGAAGACAGCAGGCAAGCTGACACAAGCGCCCCGCAGCAGAAACAAAAGGCACCGATAAATATGGCTCCAAGCAAAATGCCAGACAAAGAACAACTAGGCTGACTAGGGGGAAACCACCAGCGGAGCTCTCTAATAGCTTCGAGTGCCGAGGTCCACAGGACGGCACTCATGAGCCAAAGGAACTGAGCTGTAGGCCACAGCTATGATTCCACCTGACAAGTGATGGGCACATATATATACACATACATGTACATACGGACCCCACCATCACTTTAGACTAGCTGTGCTTGTGCAGAACACCGTGTTCAGCATCTGGGTTTGGGTTTAGCCGAGACTACAGGTGGTCCATCATTTTCCCCATTTGGGCACCCAGTTGGATCTTCCCGGCCTCAGGGGAAAGCTTGTTGATCTGGCCCCAGAACGGTGGGTATCCGTAGTTGGTGGGGAAAGCCAAGTTTTTCGCCTGCAAATGATGGAGGCTGATGGCGTGAGTGGGTAAAAAGACTTCAGTGATTTGGTCTGCCTCAATGGCGCCAGCCAGGGCAAAGATCTGGAGCCATCCTGCAACAGGCACCTTGTAGATGGCCTGGCCGCAGATGAACAAGTCACATTATAGGTGAGGTATTGATACTCAACCTGGGTTTTGTTAGAAAATGGGGCTACACCCAATTTCATGGCTTAGGGCCTCATTTCCCCACAGTGTTTATGACCATTTGATGCCACTGGGGGTATACCCTAATCTCAGACAAACCCATACTTGTACATGATATGGAGGTTTCCTAAAATGGCATGGTGACTTGGTGATCCCCCATTTCAAGAAACTCACATATCTTACTTGTCAGCGGGAACAACTAGTTCCAGCTCCAGCTGCCCTCGCCTCGATGGTGCAAGGGATGTCTGAGAACTTCCTTAGCCCATGAAGATTCGATCATGACCAAATTCATGATCATGAAAATTGGAAAATATTCCACTAGACAAAATGATTCCAAACAAAGTACACTATAATATAACAATTATATATATATATTCTTTAATATTCAGAATAACAGTATTAAAAAAAGTGCATCTTTTTAATGTATCATCATCACCACCCGCCACCGAGCGTCAAGTCCATGGAGGGTGAAAGGTAGCCGCCAAATCGGCCGAAGAGGTCTGGCACGATCATGCCAATGGCGGCAACCATGCCTGAGTGAACGAGAGAAACAGAGCATCCGCATGGGTTTGTCCACAAAGTAGGATACTGCAAATAATCCAAGGGTTGATCATCATTGTCACAACTATAAAATGTGGGAAACAAATGCCATTTTCGGATATCCCCGGGATATCCCCCAATTTGAGACCAACATGTTCAACCGAAACGGTGAGCCGTGTGCCAGCAAGATTCAGATCCTGCCGTGCTTCAGCTCCAGCTCACGGTTGCGGCGGAACTTCTCCTCGTCCTGGAACGCATTCCCTTTGAAAACTTTGCCCGCAATCAGATGCTTACTATTTTAATTGACCGTGCTTAGTCTCTCAAAAGAAAATGGAATGATGTTTACTATTGAAATGAAATTATCTTTGCATATCTTTACTACTTATTACGGCAAATAGATATACAAATGGTATGAAATGCATCACAAGACTGCTGAATGCACCTGGAAAGCCATCATGCCGAAGGGATCCCAGTAGCCCAAAGGTGGGCAGGCACCCAGCTCCTAGCATCACAAGCTCAACCAGTAACCATTGGCATCTTCAGTGATTTATACTATAGAAATTTGTACTGCCACAATCATTGGTGATTTATACTGACTCCACTTCCTTGGGTGGGAATCCAGAAACAGCCGCTTCGATGGAAAATTCTGGCCGCAAAACCAACAGGGGCAGACATTTTCGTTGCGCAAGTCACTGCCACTGCTGCCACTGCTGCGCATGAGCTCCTTGGATGGGTCGAACTGCGCAAAGAAGCCCTGGCCGTCGTTGAAGGGAGAGATGTGACCGGAGGTCAGCTGCTCCACTGGCGACTGGCCCGTGAGGCCGTTCCTGAACCAAGCAGCATAAGGGGAGAGGAGCTCAAACAACTACTGCGACATGACTATGGATGAAGATTTGTTCTTTTTCTGTGCATGTTCTATGCCACAAATGAATTCGCGAATCATTCCTCACTGGTCCAATTCTATAGACTTTGAGCTTGCCTACAGGGCAGAAACGGATGATACGCGCTTCTTGTGCAAATGGGGCATGGCCAACACTCACTAAGTGGCAACAGGTAACAGGTCCTAATTCTTTTGGAGAGTGCAGTTTACATACAGGTTCTTAATGGTCCTGAATGTTGCAACATGTTCTCGTTGTTTGGAGACCATATTCTCGTTTTTCAAGTCTCAGTTCAATTTTCCAAAAATAGAGACCTCTCAAAGACTATATACTCTTCATTACTCTTCACTTCGGTAAATTTTGATCGTAGCCCAAATGGGTGGACTGCAACTGGTCGCCGCTTGGGGTCCCAGACTGGATGAGCATAGCGGTCATGGCGACCATGGCCAAACGGCCGTTGTTCAGCTCGGTAGTCAGCTTCAGCTTTCGCTCAGCAGGGTCCTGTGTTGTGCAGGCAGTAGCTGCAGTCCAGAGCAAGGGTTGATTTGAACAGCATCAACTCAGTCTGGAAGAATTGGGAAGTCTTCGGAAAAATCAGCTCAACAACTCCTGGATTTTCCTGCCCCAGTAGCCGGTGCCGAAGTTGCCGGGCTCACCTCAGGCCAAATTTAACCATACATTGCTGTGTCTCCTGCAGAAGGATCAAGCAGTTGCTTCCCATCTTGTGATTTCTTTCCAATCTTCGAGACTATTGCAGCCAAGCGGCCGTACTTGCCATAAGCGAAGCCACCAAGGGACTGATCCTGGAACTTCAAAACTCATAAAGAGAAACAACTGCAGTAACTGCGCTGCAACTCCGACATCTAAAAATCAACAAGTCGGTCAAAAGTTGGCGTGAGCTGGTTCAATTTCCCGTCCGAGTTTTGGCGCCTTGAAGAGCTGAGTCTCAATGAGACCTGCCACCAGCAGGACCTGCAACCAGCCCTCCAAAGGCACCTGTCACTGTGCAGAGATTATGACTGCACCTCTCCCCTTCTCCCATCCTTACTGGTGCCGTTTCACCATGGGTCTAGATTGGTCCAGGGTGTCCTTGTTGGGAAAGCTGGGAAAAAGGGCAAGGCACTGTGATATACTATCTACCATCCTTCACATTCCTTCACCTCAATGGGGTTACCTGTCTATGAATCAACCAACCAGTGGGGAAAAGCGCGTCTACGAAATTGGCAGCGGCGCCAAAGTCATCAAGCCGCAGGACGCCTTGCTGATTGCTGCAAGGCCAGATGGCACATCTGCGAACTTCCTTGGCAACTGCGAATGGGCAGTGCAAAAATTCATGGTCGGGTTCCAAGGGGCAGCCATCAAGCTCCGAAAGGCCAACCACCGTCTCGAGTTGCGCTAGCTTTGAGATCAAGAAAAAATAATGTGCCTATGATTTAAGCCAACATAACACATCCTATCGAATACATTTGAATCCTATCTGGTTCCAAGACTTTGGCACTTTGCACACATGCGAGCCGAAGCAATCGACCGGCACTTTACCGGACGATACGTTGCTATTCTGCCCAAGCATCAAGTCTTGCGATGGAGACAGGTAGCCATCGAATTTGCCAAACCTGGGCTTGGTATGTCAAGCCCCAACTCCAACCATGTCCAACCAAGATAAGAAATGGTGAGGATGTCATGTGGCTAAAACAATAATAAACCACCCATTTGGGAATGGTTGATTGATACCACCATTATTTAGTTTGATTAGCCAAGACAGCCAAGGCGAGGTGGCCCAAGACCAATCTCTGAGGTCGCAGCACATCTGGCCACAGCATACCTAAGAGCCAACCACTGCCATCGTTTTTTCCAGATTGATATGATGCCAAACGAATTGCTTTAGTATTGGGTCCCTTTTCTGCCAATTTGGAAGAAATAGTCAATGATCGTAAATGATCCAGACTCAATCTGCATCAAAAATCCCTCAAACTTGCCATGCAACAAGAAAGACACAAGTGCTTCACCATTTCCAACAGACTGCGTCCAAGTCGCCGATGGTGGCGAACATGCAGATCCTGCCGTGCTTCAGTTCCACGGCCCTTCGTCGGTCAAAGTCCTCCTTGGTGCAGTCGCCACCGCAGTAGCCTCAGGCAAGCTGCGCAGCCGTTGCCCTGGAACATCAACAGCAAAAAACTCCTTGCCAAACGAAGGATGTCTGATTTTCCAAATCGGCTTACCAAAATCCAGCCGAATGCAAGTTGGATTGATAACAGTTGTCTCGGAATGGCTGACAAAGTTTGGAAGAACATATTCCATGCGCTTGGACTAAAAGATATATGCTTGAAAGTAGCACAAAGCCAACAACAACAAAAATGGTAATGTTGATGAGAATAAACAGACAAACATATGTAAATCTATAATAATCTATAATAATCTATAATTATAATAATCTATAATAATCTATAATTATAATAATCTATAATAATCTATAATAATCTATAATAATCTATAATAATCTATAATAATCTATAATAATCTATAATAATCTATAATAATCTATAATAATCTATAATAATCTATAATAATCTATAATAATCTATAATAATCTATAATCATCTATAATAATCTATAATAATCTATAATAATCTATAATAATCTATAATAATCTATAATAATCTATAATAATCTATAATAATCTATAATTATAATAATCTATAATAATCTATAATAATCTATAATAATCTATAATAATCTATAATAATCTATAATAATCTATAATAATCTATAATAATCTATAATAATCTATAATAAATAAATCTATAATAATCTATAATTATAATAATCTATAATAATCTATAATAATCTATAATAATCTATAATAATCTATAATAATCTATAATAATCTATAATAATCTATAATAATCTATAATAATCTATAATAATCTATAATAATCTATAATAATCTATAAATCTATAATAATCTATAATAATCTATAATAATCTATAATAATCTATAATAATCTATAATAATCTATAATAATCTATAATAATCTATAATTATAATAATCTATAATAATCTATAATAATCTATAATAATCTATAATAATCTATAATTATAATAATCTATAATTATAATAATCTATAATAATCTATAATAATCTATAATAATCTATAATAATCTATAATAATCTATAATAATCTATAATTATAATAATCTATAATAATCTATAATAATCTATAATAATCTATAATAATCTATAATAATCTATAATAATCTATAATAATCTAATAATTATAATAATCTATAATAATCTATAATAATCTATAATAATCTATAATAATCTATAATAATCTATAATAATCTATAATAATCTATAATTATAATAATCTATAACAACGATGCATCTTTTTAGCCGGCTTCCACAACAGCTTTCGTTTCCATACGGCCCTGTAAAGCCCAGGATCCGATGGGATCCCAGAAGAGGAGGGGGTCGCAGGCACCAATCTCCTGCATGCTGCGGAGGCGCTTGGGTGGTTGGTAACGTGGAACCCCCATCCATCCAGAGGTCCAGAAACATCCCAAAGACTGAACGGTGAAAAATAGTGAATCACTGTGGTCCAAGTGCTTAAGCCCTCAAAATCGTGAACAAATACAGACTTAGAGTGACAGTTTCAATGTTTTGTGTAGGACATTTATATCGGAAATTTAGGAAAGGCGTGCCAGTTACTGCCTTGAACAGTTCTCACCTGCCTTTTCCTACCAGTTTATTTATCGCGAATGCAGGCTCTTTTTTTAGGTGATCAAGAAAGCCCCGTCGATCGGGTTTGAGTCACTATCATGTGAGCTCTTGAAGTCAGACCAATTTTGAAATATATTCATCAACAAACCAGCAGTCAGGTAGGCCCAGGTACGCAAAGAGCCTGTAATTACTACCACGTTTTCTGTCAAAGAATCAAGAACTCCAACAGGTACGTAGTGTTGCACTTATCAAATCAAATGTAGCCAAAATGTATATGAATATGATTGAATATATGGGTGTGTCTGAAAATAGTGTACCCCTAAACCCAATGGTTAATGATCATTATCCCTATTAAATGGCTATAATTGGGAATATACCCCATTTTCAGACAAACCCACATCATAGATCAAAACCCCAAGGCGCCGCCACACCTTGGAGGCATCGTAGGCGCAACGCACCACTGAGCTCCTGCTGGGTCGCGCCAAGGACATCGCACCCAAAAGGCTTGCCACACTGGCGACACCCGCCGCGCCGAGGATGGTGCTACCTGAGCCATCAACATGTCAGGTTTGTCATTAAAATTGAGTATAGATACCCCCCAGAGTTGACAACTATCTCAATGTTTATCTCCCTAAAGTTGATGATTTCAATGATTTCTAACTTTTGTTCCCCCAAAAGTTGATGACATTTCTGATGTTATCCAAAAAATGATAATTTCTGATTTTTATCACTCCAAAGTTGATGATGTCTCAATGTTTATCCCTAAGGTTGATGAGTTCTGAGGTTTATCCCCCCAAGTTGATGGTTCTTCAATGTTTATTCCCCTAGACTTGATGATTTCTCATCTCTATCCCTCAAAGTTGATGATGGTTTATCAATGTTTATATTTTATAGTCTATAGTAATGTTCATTATTTGCCCTATGAAAATTGCCAGAACCTGAGGGCAAATCCACCATGTTCAGAGACCACTGAGACCACCAAGATCTGCACCTGTGGACTTCTGCTCCACCTGTGGGGCTGCGCCCCTCAGAGTTTGCCTGTCAAGGAAAACAACCACTACAGTTGGAATGGGAAATTCTGATGGAATGAGCAAAACAACCACTTTGGGTCCAATGCGCAAATGACGGCCACAGACCAAGCGGTTTTCGCCTGGTCTGGGTGCCCTGTGGGGCCACGAAAGCAGAAGCTGCCATCAAAGCCACAGCGCCAGTGGCGGCGCAAGAGATCTTGGACATGGCAGGCATGGTGTACCTGAGACCCAGCTTGGGTACCAAACAGGATCGGTCATCTTGAAGGCCCTCAACATTCCACCGAGAGGAGTGAGGAACGCGATTGGGCAAGGGAATCAATATTTTCTAATTTTGAATACACCCATGTTCCTTAGGAAGCTTCGCAAACCTCATCACTCAGATTCAATCTTAGGTGGCTTGCCACGAGTTGAACTTGTTGAGTTGGATTGAAGCGGAGCAGTGTGCAAATCAACAAACAGGGCTACATTCACCGCTGGGACTCCCGCAGCGATGCGGTGATTGGTCGAATCAAAAAAAATACGGTCGCGCGGTACCGTGCTGAGCCCAGTGGCAGCGATGGGACCACACAGCTGGTCAAGCCCATAGCTGCCATAGCTTCGACCTTGTGAGTCTACTGATCACTGATGACTAACAGTGACTAACATGAAAACGAAATGAAGTCAGTGAAGTCAGTTCTTGGAAGCAGCTCTCGCAGCTTCGAGCTCCTTTTTTCATGGCTGCTCACGGCTTCACATCGTCCCCACTCAGTCTGCCTTCCTGACGCAGGACTGTGGGAGCGAAAAAGAAGGAAGACTTGCAACCAAAAACCAGGTGCGGTATCAGGCTACCCAGCAATGGTAACCAAAAAGGCCTCTCTCCCAATCCTCTGGAAGCCCCTGATGAAGGTTGGTAGATCCCCCCGTTACATCCCTGAACACTGACATGGCGGGTCACGTTGGTGTCGGGGAACGCGAGTCGGAGAACAGATGTTGGTGTCGGGGAATAGCAATGTTGGTGTCGGGGAACAGCAATGTTGGTGTCGGGGAACATGTATGTTGGTGTCGGCCGACGAGCATTCATGTCAGGCTACATCCACTTTGCGCACTTTCTGCACTTCACGCACTTTGTGCACTTTACGCACTGTTTATGCACTTTTTGCGTGCTTTTTACGCACTTTATCCAGTTTAGGCACTTTGTGCACTGTTCGCACTTTGACATGGCGCGCATGCATAGACGCATTTTTTGACGCACTTTTTACGCACTTTTTACGCACTTTTTGCGCACTTTTTACGCTCTTCTTGTGCACTTTTTACGCACTTTGCGCAATTTACCCAGTTTACTCGCACTTTACGCACGTTTTACGCACTTTTTACGCACTTTTCACGCACTTTTTGCACACTTTTTACGCGCTTTACCCAGTTTAGACACGCGCATGCATAGACGCATTTTTGACGCACTTTTTACGCACTTTTTACGCACTTTTTGCGCACTTTTTACGCACTTTTTGCGCACGTTTCACGCACCTTTTACGCACGCACTTTTTACGCACTTTTTACTTTTTACGCACTTTTTACGCACTTTTACGCACTTTTTGCGCACTTTTTACGCGCTTTACCCAGTTTAGACACGCGCATGCATAGACGCATTTTTTGACGCACTTTTTACGCACTTTTTACGCACTTTTTGCGCACTTTTTACGCACTTTTTGCGCACGTTTCACGCACCTTTTACGCGCGCACTTTTTACGCACTTTTTACTTTTTACGCACTTTTTACTTTTTGCGCACTTTTTACGCACTTTTTACTTTTTACGCACTTTTTACGCGCTTTACCCAATTTAGACACGCGCATGCATAGACGCATTTTTTGACGCACTTTTTACGCACTTTTTGCGCACTTTTTACGCACTTTTTGCGCACGTTTCACGCACCTTTTACGCACGCACTTTTTACGCACTTTTTACTTTTTACGCACTTTTTGATTGGAGAAATCAATTGCATGTTGGGCTTTGAAAGGGAAACTTAAACAATGAATTGGAGTCGAGACAGGAACTCTTCGGAAGAGAAAACTATGCATCGAGAAATACTATTGCATGTTGGGCTTGGGGGGGAAATTTAAACAATGAATTGGAGTCGTGACAAGAACTTTTCGGAAGAGAAAGCTGTGCATGGAGAAATCTATTGCATGTTGAGCTTTGGGGGGGGAAGTTTAAACAATGAATTGGAATCGTGGCAAGAACTCTTCAGCAGAGAAAGCTGTGAATGGGGGGGGGAAATTTAAACAATGAGTTGGAGTCGAGACAAGAACTCTTCGGAAGAGAAAACTGTGCATCGAGAAATTCTATTGCATGTTGGGCTTTGGGGGGGAAATTTAAACAATGAATTGGACTCGAAACAATAACTCTTCGGAAGAGAAAGCTGTGAATGGAAAAATCTGTTGCATGTTCAGCTTTGGGGGGGAAGTTTAAACAATGAATTGGAGTCGAAACAAGAAGTTTTCGGAAGAGAAAGCTGTGAATGGAGAAATCTATTGCATCTTGAGCTTTGGGGGGGGAAATTTAAACAATGAATTGGAATCGAGACAAGAACTCTTGGGAAGAGAAGGCTGTGAATGGAGAAATCAATTGCATGTTGAGCTTTGGGGGGAAATTTAAACAATGAATTGGAGTCGAGACACGAACTCTTCAGCAGAGAAAGGTGTGAATCGAGAAATACTATTGCATGTTGGGCTTTGGGGGAATTTAAACAATGAATTGGAGTCGAAACAAGAACTCTTCGGAAGAGAAAGCTGTGAATGGAGAAATCTATTGCATGTTCAGCTTTGGGGGGGAAGTTTAAACAATGAATTGGAATTGTGACAAGAACTCTTCAGCAGAGAAAGCTGTGAATCCAGAAATACTATTGCATGTTGGGCTTGGGTTTGGGGGGGAAATTTAAATAATGAATTGGAATCGTGGGAAGAGAAAGCTGTGAATCGAGAAATACTATTGCATGTTGGGCTTGGGTGGGATTTTAAACAATGAATTGGAGTCGAGACAACCACTTTGTACGCACTTTCTACGCACGTTACGCACTTTGTACGCACTTTGTACGCACTTTGTATGCACTTTGTGCACTTTGCGTGGCGCGGACTCTTTACGCACTTTTGACGCACTTTGCGCACTGTACCCAAGTTTACGCACTTTGTGCACTGTTCGCATTGACATGGCGCGCGCTGTATAGACACACTTTTTACGCACTTTTTACGCACTTTTTGCGCACTTTTTACATGTCGCGGACTTTATATACGCACTTTTTACGCACTTTACCCAGTTTACTCGCACTTTTCGCACTTTTTACGCACTTTTTACGCACTTTTTACGCACTTTTTGCGCACTTTTTGCGCACTTTACGCACTTCAACCAGTTTGCGCACTTTACGCACTTTGCGCACTATACGCAGCACTCTTTGTGCAATTATAACGCACTTTTTACGCACTTTTTGCGCACTTTTTACGCACTTTGCACACTTTACCCAGTTTACTCGCACTTTACGCACTTTTACGCACTTTTTACGTACTTTTTGCGCACTTTGCGCACTTTACCGCAGTTTAGACACCTTGTGCACTGTTCGCACTTTGACATGGCGCGCACTGTATAGACGCATTTTTTACGCGCTTATTACGCACTTTTTACACACTTTTTGCACACTTTTTGCGCACTTTGCACACTTTACCCAGTTTACTCGCACTTTTCGCACTTTTTACGCACTTTTTGCATCTTTTTACGCACTTTTTGCGCACTTTTTACGCACTTTGCGCACTTTACCCAGTTTAGGCACTTTGTGCATCTTTGTGCACTGTTCGCACTTTGACATGGCGCGCACCGTATAGACGCATTTTTCACGCACTTTTTACGCACTTTTTGCGCACTTTGCACACTTTACCCAGTTTACTCGCACTTTTCGCACTTTTTACACCTTTTTACTCAGTAGACTCATTTTTGCGCACTTTTCAAGCACTTTACGCACTTTGCGCACTTTGACATGGCGCGCACCGTATAGACGCATTTTTCACGCACTTTTTACGCACTTTTTACGCATTTTTCACGCACTTTTTACGCACTTTTTACGCACTTTTTACGCACTTTTTACGCACTTTTTGCGCACTTTGCACACTTTACCCAGTTTACTCGCACTTTTCGCACTTTTTACGCCTTTTTACTCATTTTTGCGCACTTTTCAAGCACTTTACGCACTTTGCGCACTTTGACATGGCGCGCACCGTATAGACGCATTTTTCACGCACTTTTTACGCACTTTTTGCGCACTTTTTACGCACTTTGCACACTTTACCCAGTTTACTCACACTTTTCGCACTTTTTACGCCTTTTTACTCATTTTTGCGCGCTTTTCAAGCACTTTACGCACTTTGCACACTTTGACATGGCGCGCACCGTATAGACGCATTTTTCACGCACTTTTTACGCACTTTTTACGCACTTTTTGCGCACTTTTTACGCACTTTGCACACTTTACCCAGTTTACTCACACTTTTCGCACTTTTTGCGCCTTTTTACTCATTTTTGCGCACTTTTCAAGCACTTTACGCACTTTGCGCACTTTGATATGGCGCGCACCGTATAGACGCATTTTTCACGCACTTTTTACGCACTTTTTACATACTTTTTGCGCAGTTTTTACGCAGTTTACCCAGTTTAGGCACTTTGTGCACTGTTCGCACACGCTGCGCACCTTACTATGTGCACTGTACGCATATGTTCCCTGACTCCGACGTATTGTTCCCTGACTCCGACGTATTGTTCCCTGACTCCGACGTTCCTGTTCCCTGACACCGACGTTCCTGTTCTCTGACTCATGTTCCCTGACACGGTCGTGTGTTCCCTGACACCGTCTACGTTGCTGACATGGCTAGCCATGTCTGGCAGAAAATCATCCTCCGGACCCCAACTTAAGGTTCCCATATTATGACTTTGTCTGAAATGAGGTACCCCATCCCCTGTTAAAATAGACATTTTGAGAGGTAAATCATGGTAAATCCACCATTTTCAGACACGCCCAAGGTTTAGAAGGTGGGCGAACCCGAGTCGCGGAAGCATCAATGCCTTCGGAAGGAGCATCCTTCCGTGAGTCGAGCCAGACCACCAGTAGGCTGGCACAGCATCATCTCAGCCAGGGGACGGCGCTCACAATGAAAAGGATGATAATTTGATGATAATTATTTTCACAATAACGCACGTTTGAAAGAATGAAAATTCTTTGGAATTCTGAAACCCTGTAAATAATAGTAAATAGATAGGGACTTTGACTTTGACTCATCAATGTTTGGCGCCTTTCGAGCTTTACGCTGCTTTGCAGTTTGATTTCTCAGGATCCCACATTGCAATTTCCACACAAGACCACGGTCTGGGCATGGCTGAAGACGGTGGTGATCTGAGCTGAGCTGAGGTATTGAGCTGGAGGGGCAACCTTTCAGCCTGAGTGGTTTTGCCAGTCATCTCAGCATGCTCTGTTTGGAGTCAAATGGTTTTGTCCCAAAGCGGTCTATCCATGGCGAAACGGCGCCAGGATGCATTGCTTCGACCAAACCTGTTGCGAGTTTCCCCTTCAACTTTGCACGAGGTCAATATGTGAGACCCGACGGGTCAGCAGGGCCGGGGTCCTACTTTTTTGCAATGCCAAAAACCATCCAATCTATGTGTCTATATATATATATAATGATGTCAGATATTTTTTTTGTATGACTGTATGTATATATTGAATTTCAGTATCCTCTTCAAAAATTAGACCATCCAATACTTGGGGTCCCAAAGTTTTACTAAGGTTTACCCATTCACGTAGCCGCCCGCCTGCAGACAACCTGGGCACTTCACGTCCATGAAGAAGCCTTGCAGATTCTGTCGAAGGCCGTTGGAGGCACAGGAACAAACCAAAAGCCGTGAAACTGAGGTCAGCTTAAAAAAATGCGGTGAAACACTTTAGTATGTTATAACATAATATCATATATGTATGTATATTAGTATATGCATATATGTATATATATACGTATATATATCAGGTTATCAATCACTTACGAACTGGAATGCACATCAGGGTCGTTCCCAACTGTATATGGTGTTTACCACATGGTGTGAATGCTATCTTGGACCGTTCCACGCACCAAGAAACTGTTCGGAGACTGGATCATGCGCTTCAGCTTGTGCTTGCACTGGCACAGTGGAGACACCAACGAAGATGGATGCAAAGGAGAGTGGTATTGCGGTAAATCCAATGATCAGCCACAAAACGAGATGGCCTATACAACCCATCTGCGGTTAGATTGTTTTGCCTTCTCCTCCTTGGCATCGGGGTTCAAGAGGTCGATATCCATGTCTGTCGGTCACTGAAGCGCTGTGCCTCAACGCATGGCACATGGTGCCACAGGGTGCGATAAAACATGGAAAATGACCGATGATTGACAGGAAAATCATCTGTACATGGATTATATGAATGGATATACATGGAATAAATACACACTTTATGATGATATGATTATGCAACTGTGAAGGGGCATACATGGGTAAAATGGATATCAACAGGTACAAATTGCTGAACTAAGGATGTCATGACTCCAGGCTGAGCAGCTGAGCACCTCACCGTGAGATTCGCCAGCCGCTGTGTCCGGAGCCGAAATAGCGGTTCAGTCATGGACTGATGAATATATGATAATATTATAATGATTATATATATATACATACACGGATTGCATTAATATCAGGAATCAATCAAGCAATCAATGCACAGATATGCACAGATATGCACAGATCAGGTGATGTCCGTATGCATCAATCTGATCAAACAGACTTTGATCTTGTCGAGAACTCCCTGATAGATGATCAAGGTCATCTGCCTGACCCGGAGTACTAGCGCTGCTGCAAACGTTTTGCATGGGATCTCGGAGTCTCGAGGCTCATTGCCCAAGCATCTTTGGCTTCACAAGACCTCAAGGGATGCAGGGGATAACGGGATATCCAAACAATTTTTGAGCGTAATAAAATGGGGGATGCCCCACAGCAACATTGCAAAATATCACAAGCAAAAAAATGGTGAACTATGGGATTTTGTGGATTCCAAATTTCCAGACAAGTCTTCTGTACCTGCTAGATTCTGCTAGTCCACCGCGCCTGAGATCTTCCAAGCACCTCTCCCAGCCACGAGCACGGAGAAACCTTCAAGCGCTTGCCGCATGTTCTTAGGGAAGGATATGGTGGCTGTCCTAAATTGGGAACCAGGTCACCAGCAGTTTTTGGCTATTCTGGCAATGAAACCACAAATTCTGGGGCATGCAGTTTTGACCCATGAGACTTGAAACAGGCGTCATATGCGTTCATGTGTACAGGATGGGGGTTTCATATCACCAGTTCCTGGCCTGGCGTTGCGTTCAGAGACAAACTCTCCAACTGCTTCAACATCTTCCTGCAAGGCCAAACATGACCCCGGCCATGTAGGCCCACGCATCTCTCTACACTTCATGAATTGAGGACTAGCCCGAGGATTTCTGGCGGTGACTATGGATTCACAGCCTCCTTCATCTCGCGGCGCAGTGGAAACGATGCCAAAGCGGCTGAAACCTCCTGCAGTTTCACCAGGAAATGGCTCATTTGTAGTTTCAGAATGGCTCAACCCAGGCTTGGTTAAAGCTTTCCAGAACGGCCAAATGGCGAAAGTTCAAAACCCGAAGCAGCGAGTTCAACCTGCGCTCCTTCTCCCGCAGGAGATGAAACGCGGGTGCTGGTGCCCGGCCAACGAAATCCGCTGCATCATTGGGGCCCGCCTGGGGAGCCAGGTATGTCGCTTGATGGTTTTCAACAAATCCAACAGAGGAGAGGGGAGGAAAGGGTTGATGGGAACCAGGGAACCACTGGTGGCACACCAACCATGAATCTGGTAGGAAATTGATGAAATTGGCTTGAGAAATTGACAATTTGGCTCGGCTTTTTGTGGGCTCCTTTGAAGACTCCCAGGGCTGAAACGTGGCATGTGTCCCAAGCACCCCTGCAGAATCTGCGAACCGAAAGTCGGGATGAAAAGTGGCAAGTTGCACCTGCAACTCAGCAGATCAAAGTCATTTTACTGAAACCCAAATCGATGATTTTTGGTCAACCGGTGATTCCAAAAGATTCCAAAAGACTCCCAGATTTTGAGTGTCTAGATATTGGGCAAAGGCACAAAGCCAATAGAGAGGATCACAAGACTCGAGTTCCAATTGTTGAAGAAGTCCTCGTTCTGGGGGTCGAAAGAAGTCTATTGCACGGCAAGGCTTCAGAGATGGGCCTTGCCATTCAGCTCCAGTTCTTCAAATGCCTCCTCCAGCCATGCACACAAGTGCAGGTAGACCTGCCGCGGGAAAGAGGGTGTGGACATTGCAGGAGTGGAACACCGACAACTTTGTGTCCTACATCTCCCAAAATTCCGATTGCACTTCTCAGATGGTCTTCCATGCTTTTTCAAGAGCTCCATGCCCATCCATTTCCATCGATTTCCCGTGAATCAATCATCCACACCTCAAAGTCTTGCAAAGACCCACATTTTGGTGCCACCAATAAAGTAGTGGCCGCCGTGGGCGATGTCCCAAGGCCAGCCAACAGCTGGGCATGCGCCAGCACAGCTGCTGCCACCTCCTCCTGAAGCTGTGACTAATCTAAGACCTGAAAATTAGATCTAGATGCGCAGATATACGTAATGATACAGATAGAGATATAGAAATGATATAGAGATATAAAAATGAATAAATAGATCGGTACAGTCAGTGTATCAGTGTATACTGTATAATGTGGTATACTGTGATGAGTGGGCATGATCAACGGCATGCTTCATCTGATGCAAGGTTCTGGATGCAGCGCCAGCTTTTTCAGCAACGGCTCCTCGCTCTCCTCATCCAACGTGACCACGGCCAGGCTGCCACGCCTTGCAGAGGCAAATCAAATGAAGGGGATGTAGATGATCCAGTCTTCAGGAATCTTAGGAATCTTAGGAATGTGTGTTTGCTTTGATGTTGGAAACTAAAAACCATATTGATAGATTTCCAAAGTGGGGATGTTCCTCGTCTTGAGACACAGCTAGCTTCCAAAAAAGCTAGCAACTTCGTAGACCGGAACCAACAACCCGTGGCAAAACCAATGGCAAACCCACCTCAACGCCTCCTCTGCCCATGGGCAAAGCCCATGGCGCACCACCACGCGTCTCACCCATTGAGCGACTGCTTTGGCCTGCACCAAGATGCCAAAATCAGTGGTTCCCCAATGGTTTCCCATTGGCTTCTCCATCGCCTTTCTGTCACTTTCAGGCTGATGGTTTCCACAATGCTATGAGCCCGCAGAACCTTTGTAACAGATGCCAGTCGAGTTGGACGCACAACTTTGGTGCGGCCTTGCGGTGATAAAGTTTCATCCCACAAGAAGATTGTGAAAAGCGGCTCGGCATTCCACAGGTGCCAGAAACCTACAGATATTTGCAGGTTTCAACACTACCTCTAGGAATCTGCACAGAGTGGTTCAGCGCGCTCAATCTGCTCATGCGTTAGGTTGCCTTCTCCTTTGTCTCCTTTCTCCGCGCCTCAAGTAGAAAGGCGCCTGGATGTGCCTGATATTCAAATATGCCCAATTTTTCTGTAGGCAATGGGAAAATGGCAGGATTATCCTCTTGAAGTGGGTATTCAGATACTGCCGATTGTACACGAAGGTCACATGTTGGTTTAGAAATTCAATGGAATATATCCTGAGAATATGGGTATGGAATGGTATGGAGGGGTTTTACATGGCTTGTTCCTCCTGGGTTTGTGTGTGTAAACCATTGCCACTGGTGTTGTTGAGAGATGTTGAGACGAAACACCGAGTTCAATCCCGAAGCAAAGTCTTGCTGTTGGAGCATTCTGCCAGAACAGGCAAACAGCACCTGTACCGAACACCAACATGCACTCAGTTTCCATTTCCAGCAACTGCGTCTCACTTCACTAGAGATCCAGTCAAGGCACACGGCACTCGGCCAAGAGCAGGCCCAAAGCGATGCAAATAATTCCAAGTTGTCTGAAGCTATCGAAGGACTTCCCAGGAAAAAGGAGATACCTGAGCAGCTGGACGGGTCGAGGCCCAACTGTCAGTGCTGGTAGCATCCATTCCATTGCGCTCCAGGGCTTTGCAGTACTCTTCCCGCATGGTGAGGACTACTAAAGATCGGGAAGCAAAAAGGGGAAACGAAGAAAAAACAATGAATGACATCCAACAGCGGAGTGGACAAAATGATCAACATGTAAATTGATCCACTTGCGCAATGGAAGTTAAGTCTTCCCATGCTTCCACCACTCAAGAAATCAAGCAGGGTCAGCATTCCTGTCGCACAGTTTTTTTCAAAGGCAGTGGCTGCTTGAGGGTCACTCCTCATCTTGAAACACTTCAGCTTGCTCATCCCACTCTCGAAGCCTTTGTTCCACTTCAGAGTTGTTTAGAGACAAGACCTCCGACAAACCTCGGCCTTCGTTTTTTGGAGGTAGATTCAGGGCCTTCAAATATTTAGTCCCTTTCCAGGTTGGCAAATTCTCTTCCATCTGCTCCAATGTCTCTTCATCACGCTCCAGTAAATGGTGCAACCAACCGATCATGGTATAGCACCCGTTGCCAGCTGTCACCACCTGTGCGCCACCACAGAACTCTCCAGTTGGCCGGAGCTGTTCCTTCAGCATAGCATTTCGTCGCAGTTTCAGGGCCACGGGGCTTTGCCGATCGCCTGAAAACTCCTCGCGGGTGCACGTGCAACACCAGGAGACAAAGAAAACACCTCACTACCGAACACACAGTCCTGCCAATTTTTAGGGAGGACTGCAGAAATAGAGAAGAGAAGAGTAAAAATGTCAAGGGTCACAGCCATAAAAAAGAAAAAAAGCCTTGGAACTAGATCCATTCTTCCATATTCGCCATATATTCGCCATATTCTTCCATGTTCGAATAGAACAATTCTCCAGTTCGTCCCCTTGCCATCTCCTGGATGTTGGTGACGTTGCTGAAGCTCAGGCCCCGTGACTGCAGGGCCCTCCTCATCAGGAAGCTGTTGGCCAAGACGCTGGCAGCCGGGCGCAACGGTGGAAAGGCCGGGTCCAGGACGAAGAGCGCCACGAAGTCACGCGACGCTTCCCGGGCACTGGTGTTCACCATGCGGAGGACCCGGTGGGCCATTTGATAGTTGGAAAAGACCAAGAGGGTCCCCTTACCTGAAAAAACACGGGGAATGACGTTGGACAAAGAACAACTGTTTGAAATATGTTCAAATAGCTTTAGAGCCTGCTTCGTGAGAGAATACATTCATATAGTAGATGGTGGTGCTGCCTTATGAAGAATGACCACCCTATGGTTGGTTCCCAAATGATTCAGTGTTCCTAGCGGTTCTCACCCAATGATTTGTGGCAGGACATGGCAGGACTGTTCAGAAAAGAAAGCGCTCGAAAGTTCACCAACAGGTCAAGAGCTGCAAATGGGCACACGGCAATTCGTCACCCTCCTCTCCTCCTCACGCAAAGCGGCACGCAGGCTGTGGCGCCCAAATTCTTCAAAGTTGTTGCTGCAATCCCCAATGCCCAGAATGTCCATGGGCTCGCGTCCACAAAATTCCATATCACCTCCTTTCAACTCCTCATCCACATTGTAGTAATACAGAACAACAGCTGCCACGTGTTCACGGTGTCCATCCACATGCCAAAGGCCCACGTATTCGGAATCCGAGCCATCACTTCTTCGTCCGGGAACAATGATGCGTTGAGCTTTGAAGACAACCTGCAATCAGCACGGCCACGGTATATCCAAACATAATGCGATTTGAGGCGTCCCTTCCGGTCATGAAATTATAATACCTTCCCCATTCAAATTACGATAACAATACAATTATTGTGTAGTGCAAATGCCCCCCTTCCGGACAAACTCATATAATTACTCCATGTTCTTGTTATCAAATATACCAGTAGTGCCGCACAAGGCGGCGGCGGAAGTTTCAAAAATAGGAAACCTATAGGAGACGTTGGTTGTTGTGAATCACGGATGGCAGAGCGAATCCACTGATTGACCGAAAGGTGGTTGGAGTTGTGTTTGCTGGAATGGTTGCAATGGTTGCAGTGGTCACCTCACCCACAACTGCTGGATGTAGTGTGATGTACTGCAACTGTAGTTGTAGTTGTAGCGTAGTGGAGTTGTAGCTGTGGTGTAATGTAATTAGTGTAGTGTAGTTGCAGTCATGTAGTTGTAGCTGTAGTTTTTTTTGTAGTTGTAGTTGTAGTTGTTGTAGTTGTAGTTGTTGTGTGGTTGTAGTTGTTGTGTAGTAGGAGTAGGAGTAGGAGTAGGAGTAGGAGTAGGAGTAGGAGTAGGAGTAGTAGTAGTAGTAGTACTAGTAGTACTAGTAGTACTAGTAGTACTAGTAGTACTAGTAGTTGTTGTTGTTGTAGTTGTAGTTGTAGTTGTAGTTGTTGTTGTTGTTGTAGTTGTTGTAGTTGTTGTAGTTGTACTTGTTGTACTTGTTGTTTTTGCTGTAGTAGTAGTAGTAGTAGTAGTAGTAGTTGTTGTTGTTGTTGTTGTTGTAGCTGTAGTTGTTGTAGTTGTAGTTCTAGTTGTAGTTCTAGTTGTAGTTGTTGTGTAGTTGTAGTTGTAGTTGTAGTTGTAGTTGTAGTTGTAGTTGTAGTAGTAGTAGTAGTAGCAGTAGTTGTTGTTGTTGTTGTTGCTGTTGTTGTTGTTGTTGCTGTTGTTGTTGTTGTAGTTGTAGTTCTAGTTCTAGTTGTAGTTGTAGTTGTTGTGTAGTTGTTGTAGTTGTAGTTGTTGTAGTTGTAGATGTTGTGGTTGGTGTTGTTGTTGTTGTTGTTGCTGTTGCTGTTGCTGTTGCTGTTGTCGTCGAAGTTAGGGTAGTTAAGTTAGTGAAGTTAGTTAAGTTGATCAGTGTCTACTTTTTCGACATCTTCACGTCAAAAAAGGCTCAAAACCCTCAGTTTTTTACACTTTTAACTTCGAAATGTGCTTCGCGCCACAACGGCGTGCACTTTTTCGACACTTTTTCGACATCTGAACCTCCAAAAGTGGTCCGAGACCGTCAGTTTTTGACACTTTTGACTTGGAAATGTGCTTCGCGCCACAACGGCGTGCACTTTTTTGACATCTCAACTTCCAAAAGTGGTCCGACTTGCTGAGGCTGTACATTTTGACTTGGCGCTTCGCGCCACAATGGCGTGCACTTTTTCGACATCTCAACTTCCAAAAGTGGTCCGACACTGGTGTGCTTTGTACATTTTGACTTGGAAATGTGCTTCGCGCCACAACGGCGTGCACTTTTTCGACATCTCAACTTCCAAAAGTGGTCCGAAATGGTGTGCTTTGTACATTTTGACTTGGAATGTGCTTCGCACCACAACGGCGTGCACTTTTTCGACATCTCAACTTTCCAAAAGTGGCCGAACCATGTGGTGTTTTGTACATTTTGACTTGGAAATGTGCTTCGCGCCACAACGGCGTGCAATTTTTCATCTCTCGTCTGGCCAGCTGGCTCCGCACCCGCCGCTTTAGCAAGCCTACTTTTCGACCCTCCGGAGCCACAAATCATTGGAAAAACACAGTGTTTCGCGACTTTCCTACCTTTTCGCGCATCTGCATCTTCTTTCTTCTTACTCTTTCTCCTCTGATCTTCTCTCTTCTAATCTTCCTCTTCTCTCTGCCTCTGCCCTGCTCTGCTTTTCATCTGTCCATATTGTCGGAAGTTTGACTTCTAAACTTCCTTCGATAATATATGCATAATAATTTATAGATAGATAGATATATATATATATATATAATTATATATATATCCTATATCCTCATCAAATACCCCCACTCTGCCATCATTCCCCTTGCTTACCGCCCTCCCATTAAGCCATGGCTAGCCATGGCCTGCAAGCGTCGTTCCTGCAACAGCAGTTGCGGCCGCCTGAGCTTGGCCAGCAACGGCAGGGCGGCCTTCAGCACTGGCAAGGCGACGTCCTGGATGGCGCTGACGAATGGGGATGACGGGGATATCATGGGATGTTAATAATTGTATCACCATTAACAAAAGGAATATAACTAACCAACAATAGGGATAATATAACCATCAACAACAGGAATTTAGTGGGATTTCATGGGGATTTCATCGTGATACAATGCGATGTAAACATCAACAATAGGCATTTAATGGGATTTAATGATGCTATATAATGGGATATACAATCGACTAAAACTGTTTGGGTCTGCCTGAAAATGGTCTCTACCCCCCAAACGGCCAATTCAATTTGGAAATGATAATTAAGCATCAATTTGGAGGAACCCTGTTTTCACACAAACCCATTATGGGATCATTACGGGATAAATATATAGTATTTAGTGGGGATAAACCATCATAAGACATCATATTTCATGAGAGCACGTTTGGAATTTCACTGCCTCTTCTTTTTTGGAGCAAGTCTGAGGAAAACATGGTGATGATATCATCACCAATTCAGGTTTATGAAAGTGGATGTGTATAAAATTGTATAAATGTATGCATAAATACACCCTGATATATGGGATTTCTTGTGATCACCTCCTTCCATGGGGATGTTTTGTAATGGCATTGTGGAATCCACAAAACGATGCTGCAAGAAAAGCGAATCCAAACAGGTAGGTGAGTCCAAGCAGAAGAGTGCAGAAATGTCAGACTGCAAGTGAGTTGAGAGTACCAGGAATATGATGAAACACCTCACAAAAATGATGCAATATGTGAAGGTCTGGTCAAACTGCCGAACCATTTCTGACGGAACTATACTAGTATAACTTTCCCAACGTTTCATTCAAGCTCCTGCGCCAAGTGAGGTTCAGCATGACTGAGTGGCCCACCCAGCAACTTCGGTGAGCCGTCCGCTGAAATGTCAAAGTCACATGGAATCCAAACTGGACCGGTCGGTGTCTCCTTGGATCTGTCATCTGTCAGAGCTACTGTTCATAGAACCATTCCTGCCTTACACAATGCAAGATTGCTGATTTGGGGCCTTTCCATGGAATGAAGCCTGGGTATGCGTCCCCAGAAATCTTATCTGGAAGGCGGGAATGGGCGTTGTCCTTTCGAAAACCCTTTCGATATCTGGTACCAATGCGCGAAAATCATTTTGATTGTGTTGCTTGGAACTTGCTGGGCCACAATAGTCCAATCTTTCGACAGCAAACTGTGTGTGTGTCTGTGTGATACTGACGAGTACAAACAACCAAAAGCACAATTAAAGCACAAGGCAGGTCTCCGTCACGAATTGGTTTGGGTCCACAATCATCTGATATCGCGGGATTGGCCTTCTTCCAAGAGAGCTTCAAAACAGAAACCGTCTAAGTCGAAGGTGAAATGCAGAACCACAATTTCAATCACTCAAAGAGGTCTGCACGGCAAACTAACTGACATGAACTCACCACACGCATCCCTGCCTATCATTGGTTAAAGCCGCATGCTGGTCCAAGAGTTTCTGTATCTGCGGAAGGTCGCAGTGAGTGCTCCAAACGTCTGAGCGCCGTCCACCCCAGCGCCGGGTGCCACTGGGCAGCTTCCAAACAGGCGCCGGAGGAAAATAACCAATGGCCTGTAACACATCGCCTTGGCAAATCTGGCAAAATCAAAATGGTATGGGATTGATTTTTTTGGGATTATGTTATGTTGGTCATTGTTGGTCATTTAATCATCCCAACCCCAACCCCAACCTGATCTGAGGTGATAGGATACCACCTGCTGTTTGGTGTAGATGAGCCAACAGTGTTCTTCACCGGTCACGTAGCGCCGTTGCTCAGCAATGGTTTGAATGCATCCATCCTGCCGAGGGGAGAATCTGCCAAAACGATGCACTCACTATCATGCTCAACAGCTGAACAAAAATATATAACAATTGTAACAAATTATATATCTATATGTATAATGTATAATATTATACCAGCAGTGCCGCACAAGGCGGTGGCGGAAATTTCAAAAATAGGAAACCTATAGGAGAGCTTGGTTGTTGTGACTCACGGGTGGCAGAGCGAATCCACTGATGGACCGACAGGTGGTTGGAGCTGTGTTTTTTGGAATGGTTGCAATGGTTGCAGTGGTCACCTTACCACAACTGCTGGATGCAGTGTGGTGTAGCGCAGTTGTAGTTGTAGTTGCAGTTGTAGCTGTAGTTTTAACGTAGCTGTACTGTGGTGTAACTAGTGCATTTGCAAGCGCAGTTGCAGTTGTAGTCATTGTGTGGTGTAATTAGTGTAGCGTAGTGCGCTGTAATGTCGTGCAGTGTTGTGTAGTGTAGTGTGGTATAGTGTAGTGTGGTCTAGCGTAAGGTAGTGTAGTTGTAGTTGTAGCGTAGCGCGGTGTAATTAGTGTAGTGTAGTGTACTGTACTGTAGCGTAGTCTCATGTAGTGTTAGTTGTAGTTGTAGTTGCAATTGCAGCTGCAGTTGTGGTTGTAGCTGTAGCGTCATGCAATGTAATCAATGTAGCGTTGTGTTGTGTAATGTAGTGTGGTTGTAGTTGTAGTTGTGTTTGTAGTTGTAGTGTGCTGCAGTGTAATTAGTGTAGTGTAGCTGTAATTGTAGCTGCAGTTGTGGTAGTAGTTGTTGTTGTGGTTGTTAATGTAATTGGCCTAGTGTAGTGTACTTAGATGTAATTAGATGTAATTAGATGTAATTAGATGTAATTAGATGTAATTAGTGTAGTGTAGTGTTGTGTAGTGTAAGGTAGTGTAGTTGTAGTTGTAGTGTAGTGCAGTGGAATTAGTGTAGTGTCGTGTCGTGTAGTGTAGTATGCAGTGTAGCGTAGTGTAATGTGATGTAATGTAGTGGTAGTTGTAGTTATAGCTGCAGTTGCAGCTGCAACTGTAGCTGTAGCGTTATGCAATGTAATCAGTGTAGCATAGTGTTGTGTAATGTAGTGTGGTTGTAGTTGTAGTTGCATTTGTAGTTGTAGCGTGCTGCAGTGTAATTAGCGTAGCGTAGTGTAGCTGTAATTGTAGTTGTAGTTGTGGTAGTAGCTGTTGTTGTTGTTGTTGTTAGTGTAATTCGGGTAGTGTAGTGTAATTAGATGTAATTAAAATAGTGTAGTGTAATTAATGTAGTGTAATGTAGCGTAGTATATTTGCATTTGTAGCTGTAGCCGTAGTGTAGTGTAGTGTAGTGTAGTGTAGTGTAGTGTAGTGTAGTGTAGTGTAGCAGTTGTGGTTGTAGTTGTAATTGTCTATCTATCTATCTATCTACCTATCTATCTATCTGTCTATCTATCTGTTTGCCTGCCTGTCTGTCTGTCTGTCTACCTGCAAGCTTGAAAACGCAGCAATTCTGCGAGACTTCCTCAATTTTTTTTAACTTGACAACGTCCAAAACGAAGCAATTCTGCGAGACTTCCTCAATGCTTGAACTTGACAACATCCAAAACGAAGCAATTCTGCGAGACTTCCTCAAGTTCTGAACTTCACAACATCAAAAACAAAACAATTCTGCGAGACTTCCTTCAAAAATGGAAATTTAAGTGCAGAGCTGACGGCCTCGTACCAATGCGTTTTGCAATTTTTCCACTCCACCTGTCTAAAATACAGCGCCTGCCAGATCTGATGCTCCAAAACCCAACCCCTCTCAGAAAATCAGTGCCCTCACCTCCTAACATCTCTGATGAACATGTCTCTTGTACTGCGCCTGCCACAGAAAATGCATCTTTGCAAATCCTCTTCAAGTGTCCCGCGCCTGCCTTCGTTTTTGGAAATGCTACAAAACCCACACGTTTTGATCACTTTTGGCAAGGTGCACAATCCCTTGCGCCTGCCACGCAAAACGACATCTAAACGTCCAACAGTGCTCCGTGCCCCTCAGCTTTCTGCACTTTTGACTTCGAAATGTGCTTCGCGCCACAACGGCGTGCACTTTTTCAACATCTCAACTTCCAAAAGTGGTCCGGAGCTGGTGTGTTGTGTACATTTTGACTTGGACATGTGCTTCGCGCCACAACGGCGTGCACTTTTTCGACATCTCAACTTCCAAAAGTGCTCCGAGGCTGAGGTGTTTTGTACATTTTGACTTCGAAATGTGCTTCGCGCCACGCACTTTTTCGACATCTCAACTTCCAAAAGTGTGTTTTGTACATTTGACTTGGAAATGTGCTTCGCGCCACAACAGCGTGCACTTTTTCAACACCTCAACTTCCAAAAGTGCTCCGAGGCTGTGGTGCTTTGTACATTTTGACTTAGAAATGTGCTTCGCGCCACAATGGCGTGCACTTTTTCGACATCTCAACGTCCAAAAGTGCTCTGAACCCGTCAGTTTTTAACACTTCTGACTTGGAAATGTGCTTCTCGCCACAACGGCGTGCAATTTTTCATCTCTCATCTGGCCAGCTGGCTCCGCACCCGCCGCTTTAGCGAGCCTACTTTTGGACCCTCCGGAGGCACAAATCATTGGAAAAACACAGTGTTTGGCGACTTTCCTACTTTTTCGCGCACCTGCATCTTCTTTCTTCCGACTCTTTCTCTTCTCTGATCCTCTTTCTTCCCTTTTCTCTGATTCTTCGCACCTCTGCTTTTCCATCTGTCCATGTTGTCAGAAGTTTGACTTCTAAACTTCCTTCGATAATCATAGCATATATAATATATAATTATGTAGCAAACATTAAAAGGCTGTGCGACCATGATCGGTCCTGAGGAAAGTCCGCCAAATTAATTTGGACCATGCCTTCACCCAGCATCGGTTCAGGGTCAGCCTGGCCGGAAAAAATTCAAGGCCCAAGGCACAGCAATTGTTTGTCATGTATTACTAAATTATTACTATTAACTGATTACTAACTTTTAACCATTCAGCATTAAAGGATGTTCAAGGTGTCTAATTTTGACTCATATCCAAATCTGTTGGACTTAAAGGGCATGTTGCTTTGGCCCTTGTCAAATTTCGATTTAGAAACAGCTACAAATTGTTTATAATCCATCCGGGTACCAGTTAATATACCATCTAAGATATCTAAGTGACCAAGCAAATTGAAACTTCCATTAGTGACCCAAGCCTCGATTCTACTCCCAACACCATGCAAGTAACCTCCCCCAAGAAAGTAACCACAATAGAGGAGAAGCCGTGAGAAGCCCTCGAAGTGAGTGAAACTCCTGGCCTGGTTCCGCCGGCAAACAATGGGCCGAAGATCCTCATCCAGAGCTTCCCGCAGCGTAAGAATGCAGCTCCAACCAATCCCAGCTGCACCAACCAGCTCTTGAGCGCCTGTGCCGTGCAATCACAACTGGTCGTGTCAACGGAAAAAAAGGTTGACTCTGGGTCGTTGAATTGGAGATAGCAATTCATCTTTTTTGAAGCTGACAGCCCCATTTCATCAACTCGTGTTTACTGAAGCACGGTACTACGTTACCTTTCTTTTGCTGTCGAAAACCAGTGAAAATGAGTCAACGTGGCCAAGTGGGCGAGTTCAATTGTAAGACTGTATGGGCATGTCTCTCATAAGAGACCTGTGATCCAGAGCACCAGAGCACACTTGCCTTCCCACAAAGTCAAAGAGGTCTGGGCGACACCCAAAGTGTCAGCTGCCAGTTCTATCAAAGTCGCAGCTGTCAGCGACTCAGGCATCCGAGACTTGGGGATTTGGAAAATCTCCGTTCCAGCCAAAGTTGTCGCCAGCACACCTTCATCTGAAACTGCCAGACTCGTAACTTGATATCTTGTCGGCGCTTGCGGCAAGACCTTTGAGAGTGAGGATGGAGAGTCTCCATCCTCGTCTTGAGCCTCTTGAAGCTTCGCCAGCTCCTCCTCAGTAAAGGCCGTCATCCGCTCCCGAAGCGCATCCCTGTACTGTGATCCTTCAGTCATGACCTGACTGTTTTGACCCCAGAAATCGTGCAGTCTTGAGCTTTTACGGCAAAGGTCCGAACAAAAGCTCCAGGATGTTCATCCTAATCTTCCCACGACCAGGTGTTGATTCAGTCATGATTCATTTTGAGTTTGCCTAACGCGACTATTGAGTGTTTGTCCAAATCTCAGAATAGTATAGAATAGTCCAGCTCTTTGGATTGAAAGCACTTGAGTTTCTGATGTGCTTCTGATGCGCTGCTTGGGTGAAGAAACCGATTCCAGATGATTCCAGCATAACATCTGCAGAAGCTTGCAGCAACCTTTCTTTTTCTGCAAGTCGCAAGCCCCAAGCTTGCTTTGCAACGCTTCTACCTCAATGGAAGCTTGCGTGGCACGCGAGGCTTCCCTGGGCCTGTACACAAAAGAGTGTAAGAAAGAACCGAATTGGGAAGTGAAACCAACAGGTCTATACAAATTGGAGCGGGGCTTTAGGCTCCGGAATCACTGCCGCTATCGTTTCTTTCACACACCACCAACTGATCCGCCCCATTCCTCCTCTGGCATGCACTCTTCACAGTAGAGTGGTCCATTGCAAATCTTCTCTTCCCCTTCCATGTGGAAACCCCACTGACAAACAACACCACATTCACAGGTGATCTTGTCTCCATGGGACCTAGAATTCAAGCGCCGAGGTCCCTGCGGTGTCTCCTCCGGTTTCTCTGCTACTCCACCTTTCCCAGCACTTCCCCTCAAGCTAGGGCGGGCTGCAACATTGCTTGCTCCTGAACTTTTGATCAATCCTGAGGCATTGTTCAATCCAGAGGTGTTGCTAGGCATGTGAAGCATGGTGCCATTTGCCTCTGGCTTCGCTGGAGGAACTTCATGAGGTGCAGAAGCATCACTAGCGTTCGAAGCAACGGAATGGCTTGGATGGCCTGGATGGCCTGACGCGTTGCTTGTGTTGCCCATGGTCGGAGAAAGTGGACCAGGCTTCGTTGGTACTGGAGGAACTTGAGCAGGTTCAAGTGGAGGTCCCACTGGAGCTCCCATGGGAGGCTTGGGAATGACTGGAGGGAGAGGTTCAAGGGGAGGTCTCGCCACAGCTACTTCTGCAGGGGTGCATTCAAAGCTGCTTTCGCAAATCTCATCTGGACCGCTGCGGCTGAATCCATGTCGGCAAAGCACTCCCCAAGTGCAAGTGATGACATTCCCTTCACTGAAACTGGCACCAGTGCTGTCACTCCATGCCTCGCTCACAAGGAATGGGGGCTGAGCAGCAACAAATGCCATCAGACACATGTGCACAAACGGAAAGCCAGCCATCGCGCAAGTTGAAGATCTTTGAAGGATGGGCTACTAACTACACCAACTAAATACCTTGCTCAAGCCAGAATTCAAAGAGACACGACTCTGCCATGACATCAGCCACAACATGCAACACCGCGGAAGAAGAACATTCGCAGAAAAAAAAAGTGGACTTCAGTTCTGAGACAAGGATACTGTACAAAATCTTTGCCCAACAAAAGCCATCTCTGATTTGTATTCGCAGACCAGTGGTCTCTTTGGCACCTTCCTGGTTTGGCACCTCATCTAGTCATATATGCCCTGCTTCAGTTTGCCTTCAGAACTCGGTGGAATTCCCAGCAATCTCATACCCCAAAGCTTCCCTGTCAAGCAACGACAAGAGCAAAGATGCACTCTTTCGCAAGGTCGCAATGCCAACTGCAAAGACTGAGCCAGCTCGAGCTACCAGATCAGTGTAACAAAGCACACTGCCTGCCGTGTGGCAAGAAAAACGCATGGCAGCATTCTCTTTCAACACGGATGTTGCAACACCCCAGGCTAATTCCACCATTGTGTACACCCAAAATCCTTCCTGGGCGGCCTTCAGATCAGCAAAAACAATTGCCTGCCAGGGAGAGGCCGATGCCCAAAATCAGGAGCCACAGGTCCGGTCTTGAGCCTGGCACGGGCCTTTCGTGGCTCCAAAAAACTCGGGGGCTTCTCGCATTAGATTCGTCCATCCCGATTTAGCCGAGTACAAGAGCAACTAAAACACAGCCCAACTACTCACAATATCCCCATAGTCCTTGGTGAATCTGCCTCCATGTTGGAGGGTAAAATCACTGGTGAAATCACCAACAACCAGTGACAACGGCAACGCGGCAACACCGTCGAAAAAGAAAAGGCACAAAACAGGAGGGATGCTGAACCAGAAGAGGTCCCTACGTACTTTTCACAGAGATTTATGTTTGAGAGAAAGAGTACCAGGATCAGCTTCAGCGCGACTTCAGACCCCTGAGAGTTGTGGTAGTTGTGGTTGGTCATGTTGTCAACTGCGAAATGCAGCAAGGCCAAACTCATCGCACCTGCATATTCCACAACGCTGGAGGCTTCGCCACTTAAAGCAACGCTGATGACACCTGCGCCAGGTCGAACCCATGGACATCCTGCTGGCGGTTTCAACAACCCATATTATAAACATGTCTAAACATGTCTATAGATATGCATGAGGGATCATGAATCACAGTAGGGATAGCAAGTATAAGTGAAACACATACTCTAAACATCTTTAAACCACCGACCTGGATCATGCGATGGTATTTCTTGCTACCAAACGTCCAGTCCAAGCTGTGGCCGCGCATCTACAGCTGCATCCTCACTGCGCCCACCACGGCCCCTCCTGCTACGGCTCCCACAGCGTTGGTTCGGGCCATCAATTCTGAAGGGGTTGTATCTCGCAGCAAGCGCTGCTGCACATTGGGAACCTCGTATTCAGCGCAAGTGCAAAGGGTGGCATTGCGTGATTGGTCCGCAGAAGATACCAAGAAGCCAGTAATGTAGCAATGTAGAAGTGGAACTTAGATGTTCTTGTAGTTTTCACTTGCAACATGCGGAGCTGAGTGGAACTGCCACAATTGCAGCGGAGAGGCCAAGCCGTCAAACACACACGAGAGGCCCAAGGCGCACATGCCTTAGCACCCCTGGCGCATCTGGTATCTATCTTGGGTATCTACCTTGGAGATCTTTGGAGTAGATTGCAAGATTGGAGGATTGTTTTTTTTTTTGCTGGTCCATTTTTTGTGGTGTTTACGATGCAAAATCCTCCATTGCTTGTTCTCGATCAGCCTCTGCTATGCAGAAACCAAGCTACCCAGTGCCACTTGTGACGAAGTTGTGCTCACGCTGGCCTTTGGGCTGTAAGAAAAGAAGGCAGTTCCAGCCTGGGTTGAAAACACATTGCTGCTGCCACTCACAGTACGGTACCACAAGAGATTATATATTGTATATAAATACATCATATATATATATATACGGTACTATTGGCTGTAGTATATATAATATATACATATCTATGATACGGTACCACAAGAGATTATACATATATACGGTACTCACAGTACATCCCCAAAGAAAACATCAAGAGAATCTGGCCAGTGCAAAGCTGGCGGAGTCTGTTCGAAGCTTGAAAGCCTGTCATGCAAGCCTGGAGCCGCATGATTGTGACAGTCAGTTTCTGTCAGGTATCGAAACAAATATTGATATGAAATAGTATAAATCAATACAAACCACAAGCTGGTATTGAGTTTGCCAGCTGAGATACACATAGCAGGATAGCAGCAATATAGTCCACTGCCTGCGGGCGCGGTCATTGCAGAGTCTTCAACAGGGTTCTTTGCATGTCGTCTCCCCGAACATCATTGTTGGGGGGTAATCAGCATTTGATCATCGAAAAATGATCCTTCATCTCATCATCAAAACGTGGAAGTTTCAGAATTTAAATCCCCTACAGTACAATAATCTAGAATCAGAATTATTGATTGAATAGCTATTGTTGATTTATATTGTTTATCTCTCCACTAAATGCCCATTAAAAACGGGAACATAGAGACCCTGTAACCAACAGCTGTCCTGAAAGTACCTGGAGTTGCCCAGAAGCCCTGAGATCAACATCGTTGGCATCCTGAGACGAACAGTGGCGAAATGCCAACGTTGGAGTGCTTAACCAATAGTAGGCTTAACCAATAGGTATTTAACCAGACATTATTCTCTATGAATTTGGGTTTTAACGGACTTAAATTAAATGTTAAGACCCAAACTAGATGACGGTTTTGAGCGGAAAATTGGGATTTACACCAAATCTATCGCTCTTTTAATGATGATCAACCAATGTATTTGGGGGGCGCCCTATTTCTGGACAACCCCATAAGACATAGCATACGGTCACCAGCACGGAAAGAACTTGTGTTTTTTCTTAAGACAAGCTCGGTCCAAGACGCTTGCTCGGTCTACGTGCCAAATGATTCGGATACATTCTACTGCTTGTCTGCAGTGTTTTACATGACCTGTATCGATAAACATAGACTCATATCTGACATTTCATGATATAGTATCCATCTTTAGCCCGGCAATCAAGTGCAAACTATGCATGCCATTGTTCTCTTTAGATGGCTGCAGAATTATCACCAGAAAACTGACGATATCAAGCTTCAACTTGCTGGACTTGGCAACGATCTTCAAGGAAAACTCCACGTAGTGGGTCGAATATTGCGATAGGCTATTTGATAAGAACCTTAGTCTTTGCACCAATTCAACTCCTGACTTGGATTAAGGTTGTAGGAGATTTTTGCACCCAAGGTGACAAACACGTTGACAACCACGCCCATGAACAGAAATGGATCAGTCACAGGGTGTTAATTGAACCTTGGCGTTGATGCGCATGCTTGAAAGGATATGTCAGTCACCAAAGCAGTGCTAACAGATCCAAGTCACACCATTGCGGAGATGGCTACAAACCTCGGAAAATCGCGGGCGACCATAATGGGAATGGCAAGCATGCAAATGTTGCCATTGGAAAAATGGCATGTCGATACAAAGAAAGATGCGCTAGCCGCACCTCTCTATGTCAAGATTGGGATCACCCCCGGTCTTCAGAGAACTACTGTATCGTCCTTTTGGGGACTGCCATGACGACAGCATAGCTCCAAGTAGCGGCCACCAGCTTCGTTGTGAGAGAGCCGTAGAACGTCGCAGGAGTGGCACCAGAGCACAAAGTCCGAATTGCACGGCAACGCTCCACAGGGTGATGCCTGATATCCAGCATTTTCAGTTGATTTTCGTACCCCAAGAAATTGGAGGACTTCCCTGGGTGTTCGAATGCCATCTTAAATTCCTCGAGGTGCCCATGTAAGACAGTGAAGGTTAAAATCGGGAACTGGTTGTTGTGACACCAAATTTCACTTTCAGTATTTCTTCCATTCCTCTATTCTCACGCCTAGAGACCAAATCCCCCATGTTTAAGGTGACACGTATTTCTACAACCTTGTAGACGTTGAGATTTTTGTTGTCACCGCACATGGATAGTATAGGTGGGGGGGTACGGGTGGAGTGGGGTACGCAGTGCTAATAACGCGTGCCATGTACGCTTGCGGAACTACGCGTCAGTGCTACGTTGATGTAACGTTCTTGCACGCTTGCACATCTACGCAGTGCTACGTTGATGTAACGTTCTTGCACGCTTGCACATCTACGCAGTGCTACGTTGATGTAACGTTCTTGCACGCTTGCACATCTACGCAGTGCTACATTGATGTAACGTTCTTCCACGCTTGCGAAACTACATCATGCTACGTTGATGTAACGTTCTTGCACGCTTGCGGAACTACGTCATGCTACGTTGATGTAAGTTTCTTGCACGCTTGCACTAAGACGAAAGTTGCAGGAACCCAACAAATTGATCGTTGTTGGAACCACCTCAAAAATTTTTGCCCCAGTCAGATGAAGAACCGCACTGGCCCAACCATCAATGCTAGAATCTGGGATAGAATCTATCAGTGGATCTATCGTCACAACATGTCTAAGTGAGACATGACATGACGACCACATGCGAGATGGAAAAAAAAGGCTCTTGAAACTTTCGTCGTCTGATGTAGAAATTGGCCATTGAAAAAATGACAAAACGTGAGGCGTTTTGGCACATGGATGTCAAAAACACACGGTTGTGTAAATCCGTGTTACCATGTTTAAGCGTTGCCAACTATTCCAGGGATTGCTTCCATCTCAAGCTGATGTTGTGAATCCTCAACTAAACCAACAACCCATTTTTCTGGTAATTCGTGTCCTTAGCTTCTCATGTACAAGGCATATCAACCATCCCCTGGCTTTAAAAACAACATCAATGGCCAGGTTGCACGATGCCAAGCCGAGCCACTCTTGGGAACCCCTGGTATGGTCACCAGGGCTTCGTTCAACGCTTCAAAGGTCACATGACACGCGAAAAAACCAACCACCAACAGCCACAGCGGAGCCATGCAGAGCCATGCGGAGCCATGCAGACCGCGGACTCAAGCCATACAGCAGAAGTACACCAGGTGGTTTTGTCATGGACGGCAGACACTTTTCCACACTCTGCCAATGCTTTGCCTCGTCCTGATCCCACGGCGGAAATATGCGGAAATTGTTGCGACACTCGAAATGCGAAATGGCGCAGCTCCCATCCCCTGGCCTGCTCACTGTCGGAGCTCCCCTGGAGGCTTCAGCACCGTGGACCAGGCGAACGTCAAACGAAGCTTGCCTGGAGACCTTTCCTACGTTTTCCTCCGTTTTTCTTCCAACAAGTCAAATGCTCATAGATGCACAGTAGGTGTCGTATCGTTTGTTGCCACTGGAGCGAGGATGAAGAATCATCAACAGGTTTTCCCAAGCGCAGGATTTCATCTGAAGTTTCATCCTTCGCTTGGCCTGCAACTGTTCTGCCCAGGGTCGCCAAGGCTCCAGCTGACCTGTCATCTGCAGAATTAAATCCTCATCAGAGGGTCGCTTTGGTCGCTTTATGCTGTGTTTGGATATCGTACAAATATGCTTTGCCTGGCTGTTCGGTTCCCATCTTTGGATATATTCTTGCTTCAATTTTCTCGGTCTGGGGATTTGGCTGCACTTACTTTGCCAACCTCCAGGATTGGAGAAGCAAAGCCAGCGAAAGGGTGCCTGAAAGATAGATCAAATGACCAGACCAACTTCAAAGGACGCGTGGTGACCAAGAACCACGAACCCAACATCCAAAACTGTGTCTGGTAAGAGAAGGATGTAAAAGACATCCTCCAACCTAAAAGCCTAGAAAATCTGGACCCGGAAAAGGATACTGATTCCACACAAACAGGCATATCCTGTGTACATGTGAATGCGGCGCACTCCCTCTCTGCAATTCTTCTCACATAAAAAAAATGGTAGAAAATGGAATGAACGATGTTTTCAAGAAATAGACGACTTGTATTACATAGCCCAATAAAATGCAATCGGAAGAACAAATAGTGGGATGGACAATGCTAGGCTCACCAACAGGCCTGCATGGCAAGTAGACTCAAAAGGCATCGCCAAAGAACCTGCACGGATTGGAAAAGAATGTACCGGTTAAAGGTGGAAATTCTGCTGGGAGTTCTCCATGGCTTGATCCATATGATCCATACCCAAAACAAATCCGGAGTTCATTTCCACGAGAATTTGATGGCCTAGGAACCGAAGATGCTTTTTGTGGAAAGAAACACTTCCCAAAATGGCATGACAAATCTATGGATTTTATGGCCTCTGTTTTACAGCACTTCATGCCAAGTTGGGCCAAGGTGGTTCCTAGTTGCACTGATCCTTGGATGCAGAGTTGCTGTTCACTTCGTGGAAGATTGACTGTCTTGACCTTGCATCTAGCATTGTGAAGCATCGAATCGAGTCACTCAACATCTGATAGGTTTTGCTTTGCCGTTGTAAATGATGTGTAGCAGTGCGCATGCTTGCACTGCTTGTGCTATCCTGCCAAAAAGCCAAACCACCTCCAACTCTACAGTGTGACCATTGCCATGTTATCAGTCACATGCAAATGCAGTGACTCTGCAGTCAGGCCATTCAACGTTTCTGCTGCCTATGGTACAAGGCGCTTTCTGGCTTAATTCCCTAACCTATCGAGCATGCTTTGTTGGTATCCCCATAAAACAGTACTGTACTGTTACACGTTTCTATTCAAGGTCCTGAAGCATTGCTAACATCACTGGTAACAAAACAGTCCAGGCAAGATCCAGGTCCAACATTGCGCACTTTTTGATCCGCAGGTCCCTATTCAGAAGCTCGGTGGGTACGGATCAAAATTGACCTCCAGGCTGTGATGGTGAGTGCAACAACCATGAAGATCCATAAAGTGGGTTGTGGGTCTTCAATTTCGATCCATACCCAGCCAATAGTCTGGTCGTTTCACCCGGCCCGTTGGAGTACGGGCTTCCTTGGGCTTGATGAACCGTTGACCAACTTGCAACTACTTCGTTAACACCGGGCCAGCCACACGGAGAGCTTTCAACACGAAACAGCCCTGCTAAGTTGGCCAAGCAGGCCAAGAAGAGTCAAAAGAAGCCCACAAAACACGAACATCTGTACCCAATGCCCCAACAGCTTCAAAGCTAGGAACACCTATCGGCCTATCGAGAATACTCACATGCTGGTGCGTCCTGCTTGGCCAAATTCCTCCGCAATTCAAACAGCAAACTTACCAAGGGTCCCACCTGCAACTAAGATGCTGGCATAGAATGTGACAAGCGAACAGAGGAGATCTTTCAAAGGTTCGATTTCAATACAATTACTCACTGCAATAGCAGGTGTTTCAGGTCTGCAAATGGATGGTAACCGATCCCTTCAGCACACTTGACTTACAGATACTTACAGTAGGTATTACAACAAGACCTCATGGCCAGTTTCCGCTCCCAGTGCAGCGCAGATCTGGGGATTGGACCTGCTATCACAGTCATGCAGCGCTACATTTTAAGCGCTCAGCCATACTTGTCACGATACCTTCAGCGTTGACACATGCCATGCGCTGAAGAGTTTGTCTGTCAAAGCACCGTAGAGCAGAATCGAAGAGCATCATTTGATTATATTTGGAGTACTAGAAGCTACTAGCGTGCGCTTCAAAGTACGAGTACGACAGAATTAAAGATGAGACGCAAATTCCCAAGATAACTTGCGGTAACATGCATCGCATTCCTGTGAACCAACTTGTGGCCGCATTGAAATAAAGGAATTTGAAGCAAGACCATGCGGCTGGCCCAATTACCTGTTGCAAGGGTGCCCTTTGCCCAGGAGCTTGATAATAGAAAGATGAGCACCCTGTCATCTTGTCACCAAACCCCATTGGGTGCCCCATCTTTGCAAGCATGGCATCTCTCTCACGTCCAAGGCGATCAAACTCCTAGGCAAATCTGATCAGCAGTAAATGCCACTATGGAGGTTGGAACCATTGGAAATGGTATGAAATGGTACACCCACCAATAAGCCACCCCCCAAATTTTAGCAGCCATGAGCGGAATAAACCATCCTCAATTGAGTGGATTGTTTTAAGGACAGGGTTTGCCACATTACATAACTACAACCTTCGACAAAAGAAACGGCACCCTCCACATGAATATGCCATGCGCTGCCTCCAGTGGAGAAAGGGTGAGGTACCCAAAATCCGTCCAAGTCCACCCCAAGCTCCTCAAAGGCCCGTAAGGCTGCAAGGGCATTTTCTTGCTTGCGCCTTACCTGCCAGGCTGATCCTCAAGGCCTGAAACCTGAACATGACGCCAGCCAGGGGAATTCCCAATGCAACCACCAAGAACATGTTTAAAAATGTTACCAAATGGGTGAAATGTGTGGGACATGTTCCAAATGGCATCTTGATTTCATGAAGGATAACCATCTTCATTTTATGCCAAAATCATAGAAAACAACTCCGGAATTTCACAGGGCCTCCGGATCGTCCGCCTAGCATTGACATGCGAGGTCCAGAGCAGTAGTTCTTTCATGACAACCTCTTTCGCAACCTCGTGTTTTTCCCACCTCCTTACAGGCAAAAATATGGTGGATGCTCACCCACTTCCTCTTGGGCATTGATGAAACGCCCAGCATCTCGCACCTCCTCATCCGTGTCCTTGGATCTGCCGTGTGCCAAGTTCACCCTCTGCTTCAAACCTGCTGGTCGGTTCATAGAAGTTTTCCTATTGAATTGATGCAGTGTCCTCATTAAAATCATTAAACCATTAAAACTAGTGAGAAAATTGTAAAAATATTTTTTCACAATCCACCCGGGATTTTAGGCACTCAGATGACCTGTATGACTTGCTTGGCCAAGGCGCTGAAAGGCTATCAAGTTGAACCACATCGGACTTGGTTCGAAGTGGCTCCGACCTCTGAATTAGAATCCGACGCAAAAATCTCCCGATGTTTCCAGGATGGTATTCCGATGCTCCGGCATGTGCCTGTGTGTACATGCATGCGTGTGCGTGTTTGTGCATGTGTTTATACATATTGATATATATATATATATGTATGTATATGTGCGTGTGTGTGTGTGTGTCTGTTATCGAGAGAAGTTTAGAAGTCAAACTTCCGACAACATGGACACTTGGAAAAGCAGAGGTGCGAAGAATCAGAGAAAGGGGAAGAAAGAGGATCAGAGAAGAGAAAGAGTCGGAAGAAAGAAGATGCAGGTTTCTCTAAAAAAAGTAGAAAAGTCGCCAAACACTGTGTTTTTCCAATGATTTGTGGCTCCAGAGGGTCGAAAAGTAGGCTCGCTAAAGCAGCGGGTGCGGAGCCAGCTGGCCAGATGAGAGATGAAAAATCGCACGCCGTTGTGGCGCGAAGCACATTTCCAAGTCAAAATGCTGAAAACATCTCAACATCGGAGCACTTTTGGAAAATGCAATCTGGGAAAAGTGCACGCCGTTGTGGCGCGAAGCACGTTTCCAAGTCAAAATGTGCAAAACACCAGCTTCGGAACAATTTAAGAAAGTGCGATGTTCAAAAGGTGCACGGCGTTGTGGCGCGAAGCGCGTTTGGAAGTGAAAATGCTAAAAACACCACATGGACGTTAAAGCTTCATTTTGTGTGACAGGCGCAAGGGATTCTGCGCCCTGCTAAAAGTGATTTTAAAAAAAAAAAACGTTAAGGTTTTGTAGCGGTTTCAACAACGTTGGCAGGCGTGAGACATTTGAAGAGGATCTGCAAAGATGCATGTCGCGTGGCAAGCGCACTACAAGAGACACATGAGTCAGACATGTTAGGTCATGTGTGGTCAGATGGACAACGACAATCATAACAATCACAACAACAACAACAACAATAATAACAATAACAATAATAGTAATAATAATAATACAGCACAAATACAAACCCAAATACAAATGCAGCTACAAATGCTATCTTTACCTCAATAATTCTGCAAAACCTTGGGCCCTTGGGGCATCGCCGATGTGCGAAGCCCTACAACAACCAGCCGGCTTCTCCGGCTGGCTTTCGTAGTATTTGGAAAGACACAAACATAGGACAGAGGTAGTCGCTTGAGGTTGAGTTGGCCGCAGTCACTGACATACCCGATGCCGCCCCCATGCCTGAGCTCGCTGTTTCTATAGAGTGAGTTGGCAGATCTTGGCACATCTCGGCTATATCTACCACGGCTTGGCCGTGGAGAAAACGGTGGCAGCATCTCCCAACCCGAGATCCAACTGCGTTGCGAAAATCTCTGGGGACCAAGATGTCACGGATGTAACGAATGTCACGGATGAGGGTCAAAAAAAACAGCTATGGAGGATGATCATGTCATCTCTGTTTGGGATATTCAGGGACCAAGTGCTAATCAGATTTATCCATATTTATCCCCCACTTCAACTGTGGCACATTGCCTAACAATATCACATCATTGCCACTGTCTTGGGACTTCTGGAAATATAGTGTTCTTCCTGAGGTCCACCAAAGATCATCGTATGTTCAAAAAAAATTGACGCTTTCAAGCTCCACTACATGGACAGCTGAACAGCTGTCGCTCAAAGGTTGCAGGGCACCCATGTTTGCACATGAAACAACAGCGACAATTTCAGGAATTGGTCATGGCTGTGGCCACGTGTTGATTCTCTGCAAGTTCAAAAATGTCCGTGATGCCTTTCACTCCTGGAAGGAATCTCTGATGGCTCCTTCCATGAGTTATATACGCTTTACAGTCATTCTCCGAAACAAACTCAAACCAAGCAATGGGTCCCAGGATCTTGGGAATCCATCTCTTTCTGTAGCGCATCTTGTGCCTGCGAAGTGTCAGGGGCCCTTCCCCAAAATGTTGCTGCACTGCAAGCTCTTTCAAATAGCTGGCATTTTTTGTCCTCACATCAACCTATTCCCGCATTGCTAGATTTCAACTGAGCCCACCTTCCGCTTCACATACCGTGCAAGGGAGTACTGCATCTCCTGCCGGTAGACAAAAATATTCAAGAACTAAAAATTATCAGTCAGCTTTTGCTTTTTTGATGCTAATATGCACTTCAAAGCTGCATCTGATTGCATCATTGTTTGTGTGTGCAGGTGCGCCAGTGGAAGCACGTGAGCAAATGCACCTGCCAACCCTTCCACACTGAGTAGCCAGCGAAAGCAATCCGTTCAGCCAGGATGGCAACCCCCATCCCACTCCTCAATGTGCTTCAGCTGATCTCGCAGTTTGGCCTCACTGGGGAAATGGAGGCACCCCACGTAGGAAGGTCATATACCGCCCTTTGCCATAAATTCATATATATATATAATTAATATAATAATATATAACATCTTCCTTGGGAGTATGGCCCCCCATACCCCTGAAATTGTTTATGATGGTTTGTGATTGGGTAAATGTGGTGTGCTTCACTACTCGTCTTGACATATATGCCTGTGACATGCATGGGCGTTTGCAGTAGCCAAGCCCTTTCCCGTTGCTCGCAAAGTGGTAGACTGCCTCGCTTCAGCGCCAGCTATGTGGATGGTGCGCAGCTTAGAGTACAAAGCTGGGTGTGGTTGGAATTACACCATCTACACCATCTACACCATCCATTTCCAGAGGTTGTCTATCCTTCCAAGTCGCATTTTGCTGCGCCAGTGCGAAAAGATCAACAGATCGGGCGGGGCCATGAAGTTGTATACATCGTTCAGTGAAATCTTTCAAACCTGGAGCCACTGCCATTGCCGGTCCTAAAGTCACCCCTGTCTAGTCATTCCTTCAAACTCCTGTCGTTCAAACCGGTCCTCATCTAGAAAGGGGGGAACATCTTGTAGATGCATGTTCACACCATCTATACTATCTATACTGTGCAAACCTTGCACATCTGTGCATGGTCTAAATCTCTGCATTCATCCGAAGAAAAGGCAGAGACCTCGAAATCCACTCAAATATGATCTATTTCCGTGGGGGTGGCGAAGTCTTCACCGATTTAGTACCTTGCAGCAAACCCACCGGAATGATCGGCCCGATTTTACTTCAATGAGAACAAATTCCGCCGTCAACCTGAAATCATCGGCCGTATCGCATTTGCCCAGCTCTGACTCAATCATGGTGGAAAGTCTGGCCAGATTGAATCTGTCCATTCCCAAAGGGTGAATTTGTGAAGGGGATGCGGTCAAACAAATCTTGAGAGACCGCAAAATGATTTCAATAATTTCATTCCTTTCAAAGTTTTTAAATATGTCTGACTGCACTGCATGTACTGCAGATCAAGACACTGATAACATTGTCACCATCTGCATCCAGACTCGCAAAGAGGGTCCACGCATCTGCTGCACCCATCTCAAGCGACTCAAAGAAAGCCCGAACTGCTTCCTCAGTTGCGCTAAGTTCCGCAAAGTTGTCAGGGATTGATTCGAATTGGTGTCGGAATAGCCGGTAACAGATGGTAGCAGCCTTGAGGCGTGTCGTTTAGGTCAACTAAGGATCTGGACTCCAATGCAGCAGAGCCTCATCGTTAAAATGCTTCTCAAATTCTGCGATCGTGATCATTCCAAGCCCCAGATCGTCTATTCGGAAAAAGAGGTTGGAAACCAGCTCTTTGAAATCCTTCTTGGTTTGAAGCAGCGAATGGATGACCATCTCCTTAGCAGCAAATCAACGCCATCAAAATCAACCAATTTTTCCACGACACAGGACAGGAAAGCAACAGTCAGGCCACTTACGACAAGATTCATGGTCTCGCTCGGCTGCTTTGATGGCTGAATGACAGAACACGCCTCGGCTAAGGATGCAATGTGTGAACTTTGATCTGAACTGCCCCCAAATAGACAGCGCAGAGCGAGGGGGCAGCCACAGCAGCAGCCACAGCAGCCCACCACGAAAGCACGCCATGAACACCGAGGGCAAAGGCCCAACGGGAACAAACGACTCCATGGTGTCGGGAGGCCAAGGCGCCCAGACCACACCAAAGGTGCAAACAGCCCAGCGAAAAACCAACCAACACCGCAAAAAGGAAACCAAGGGGGCAAAGACCCAAACAAACCAAGCCAAACCCAGAGGGGAAGCCCAGGAAGACAAGGCAACCCCAAAGAGTGAGCAAGTGGGCAAGACCAATAAACCGGAAGTTGACTAGGACCATGATTCAAACAAGCACAAGTCATGGATGGACAAGAGACCAAAGCGTCTCTTGCACATGAACCAACCAACCATGCACAGCATCAATGTCACAAACTTGATTTGTAACGACCCAACCACACCGAGAAGACAAATACTCGGCAGGTTTAGGAATGTTAGAAGGGCGACGAGGACATGATCAAACGTGCCAAGTTCAGTGCAACCATCCCAAATGCACATGGTGGAAGGACGATGAGGCATCCGACCACCAAGAGCAGCAGGAGAGAAAGTGGCACCACAAGCCAAGGTCCTGGCTTCCGCACAGGAAGCAGCAAACTTACGGGTAGCATGCCAGTCAATCCGACGAAAACATCATGAAAGCAGTCAAGCTGAGCATCCCGTCGCTCAGACGCCATGTGACGACGCAGGCACCAAGCAAGCCAAGCATCTCGAACAGCATGCTGACGCTGACCAATGTCACCAGCAGAAGAAAGATCCAAACGGCAGCCCGAATCAGAATGAGTCCACGTCCATTCAGCCGTCCGGTCCCAGCCATATGAGGCCAACCAAGAATCAAAGGCATGAGCGGGAGAGCCGCGACAGGTAGACCAAGTCAAGGCACGAGACCTTTGCAAGCGAGAAAAAATCCCCACGAGTTGGGTGGCAAACAGAACATCAAGATGCATGCTGCATGCCCCCGCCAAGCAAGGCAGCACGCAACCAAACCGACGCAGCACGAATGCGACCACTTCCAACATGCACCAAACTCCACAACTTTTTAGACGAAGTCAACGGGGTGGCGCGAGCGATCCAACCATAGGCAACTTTAGCAACAGCAAATTGTCTACATGCACGCATGTAACTTTCAAAAGGAAGGCGAGCAAGCAAGCAAAGTAACGGTCTTACAACAAGGGTCGACTAAGGATGCAGAATTCAAATTGGAACAACGTCAAATTCGAAGGTCGCTGGGTTTGCTCAAATGATTCCATGGGATTTTTTATATTCCCTTATAAAGCCCTTACATAGGCCTTATTATCATATATATGTATATATATATTATATATATAATATGGTAGGTAGCTCCAATTTAGGTTCCTGAAATGGCCATTGAAATAACTGACCTCAAAGCTAGCGTGGTTAGGTACACAACATCACCAAATGTGTGGTTCCTTAATGCCCACTTTCTGACCTCGTTTGCGCAGAAAACAACCTCTATTCAATAACTCTATTCTCTTGCGAAAGACGCTAAAAGCAATGCTTTGGCAATGCATCTCCTCTATGTAGTGCGTCTATGTATCCAAAACCAAGCGCTGTATCTTGTACTGCCTTTCATCCTCTCCTAATCTAGTATATACAATCCAACTCAAGGATCTCCACACGTTTTGCTATGAAGGGAGCATCTTGATTGCCACACCTCTCATGTCTTGAAACCCTCCTGGACTGCAGCTTTGCTTCCAGTCATGACGTTCAACACGGCGAAGCCTGGCCACAGAAATCCCCACGACGACATGATTTCAGCCAAGGTTGCCACAGACATGTTGTTTTCTCCTTTTGCCTTTTTATGCAGCTGAGAAGCTATTGAACGCAATGTACAGGTAGAAGAGCCAAATCCAAATGTCGCCCACCGGAAGCAAAGTATCTACTGCTTCACTCCAATCAAGACCATTCGAGATTGAACGGAATAACGTGCCCATGGAAGCCTCATTTCTGTGACAGTGGCCAAGCTGCCAAAAATCAATCATTCTCAGAAAACCTCTAGCTGCAAGCAAAACTGATCTCCACACCGAGACACAGAAACTGATCCAAAATGCTTTTGTGGGCTCAGTGGATCATTGGCATTGCCCTCACGCAAATAGTCCAGGCAAGCATCTGTGAACAGTAGCCCAAACACGTACCTCCGCAAAAACCATTTGTTTCTTGGCATGTGTTGCAACCCTTGAGACAATTTGAGACATACACAGCACTTAAGCGATCCACTCAGGCGGCTAGTAAGCAATCTGTTTCCTGGCAGATGATCACCGTTTCTTCTTCTGCATCTACTTCTACTTCTTCTACTTCCACTGTTGCGAGTATGAGGATGACTACGACCCCCGACTACGACGGCTACTATGACCACTACGACTACTACGACTGCTCCTAAAACTCCTTCTCAACTAAAAAATGACTCACATCGGGAAACCATACAATCCATACAACACATATTTTGCCAAATGCCTTTCAGCAAGGCACATCATGAGTACCAGCAAAAGCATGGCCCACACGAAAGATTTGGTGGTGTCGACGAGGCAGTGCATCAAAGTCCGCAGCGGTCGAACATATTGCCTGCATCAATGGATTGGAAATGCTTGGAATATTGGAGCAAATGGGAGCAAATCAGAGCAAGATACAAGAAAACTCAACAAAAACCTTGGTGTGGGGACTGCATGGGGTTGAAAAGAATGCTCTCATCAAAATCATGGATTCGATCTTGCCCTTTCTTTCCCAAATGCGTAGCGAAGGATTCCCGTTTTTGACCATGGACGATAATGCGATCCCTCAACAAATGGAAATCAACCAAAGGAAGTTTGGCCGAAGCTACACCACTCGAAGAACTCGCAAGACGCGGGCCAACCGTGTGATCTTGACAAGTCGAAACAGTCGCAGGTTGCTATTGCTAAGTCCATTAGCACCCTCCAGCTCCTTGGTTCAGAGGGTCAGGCGGTCCAGCACCATACTCTATTGTATCGGAATTCCATCATCACATCAATCACTGCAAAGACCTTGTGATCCCAATCTTGCGCTTGCGCATCACACAATCTGTCTGCCTTGACAAGGAACATTTTAGACAGGGCACTTCTTGCAAATCAAAAGGCGTGAGGTCACCATCCACAGTACACTACCATTGCTTCTGTTTTATTGTGCCCAAATTTTACTTTCTCACAGAAAAACACTGGCAGCTCTTGCAGGCAAGGATCGAAGAGGCTGAAAAGGAGTTCAATCCATGTGGATGTCACCACAAAGACATCTAACCTTGCAGAGCCAGGGTTTCTAAGAAAGTGATACCCAGCTGGAACAATCCCAACGAGGAGTCGCTCACCAGAAATGAGGAAAACACGAAGCCTGAGGCGGCGACCAATTCCAACCCCAGCCAGGTGCGCAAAAATACGGAGTGACGCCGCTGGCCACCAATCGCAAAAGCACTTCCAGAAGGAACACCACAGCGTAAACCATATTGACCTTGGATCACAATCATATCAAATTTGCACTACAGGCAAGAATCCCGTTGTTTTCTTATGTTTTCTTGACAAATCAACTTGTCCAAAACACGTCTGTACAAGCAGTGCACAAAGAGGGTGCATTTCACCACTGTGTGCCGCTTTATGCCACTCCAAGACCTTCTATGTCAGGAGCAGGCCACTTCACGTCGATTCATTCCACTCCAGGACTCCAAGATTCTTTGAATCACAAGCCTGCTGCTTCTTCAGGCCGCTCTGGGACGACTTTTTATTCCAAATCAGGAGTTCGCCACGTTGTGCCACTTCATGACTCTCTACATCACAAGTCGGCCGCTTCATGCCACTTCCTACCACTTGAAAGTGAAATCCACACCTCCAGGCCTCAATGCACCTTGAAGCTTGGAGGGGCAAGATTGCGGAGGTATTGTACAATGATCGCGCCACACTAGGATTGTCTGTCCTGACCACTGACATTGTCTGTGCCACTTGGGCTGGTCCAGGACTTGCGGGTTCAGCTCTGGGCGAGCTAAGTTGACAGCTAGGAGGACTGCGCCAAAGAGAAAGTCAGAAACTAACGAAGGATAAAAAAGGGTGATTGGGAGCATGCTTGCAGCTGGCAGGGAACCCGCCCCACCCTAGCCCGCGACGTGGCAGCAACCATAGCATCAATATGTGCACAAACGCAAGAGAAGATCTGACAGCTTAGCATCAGCTATATGTGGAAGTCCAAGAGAAGATCTCGTAGCGTAGCGTCACGTACAATGCAAGAAAAATGTGCTAGCATAGCATCAATAAATCAAGCAAGTGTGCAAGTGCAAGAGAAGATCCCATTGCATAGGCATAGCACCAAGTATGTGTGCAAGTGCAAGAGAAAATCTCACAGCGTAGCATCAAGTATGTGTGCACGTGCAAAAGAAGATCTCATAGCAAAGCATCAAGTATGTGTGCAAGTGCAAGAGGATTTCTCATTGCATGGCACCAAGTACGCGCGCAAGTGCAAGAGAAAATCTCAGTGCCTGAGCATGAGCGTTGTTCTCTCACCCCACCTTACCCCACCCTACCCCGTCGCACCCTAGCCAAACCCTGTAAATCCACGTGTAAAGGCCATATCACGCCTCCATGCCTGTATGCAAAGTTAAGAACAAATTGCGCATGTTTACCCTGTCGGGTCAAACAAGAAACAGTCAGCGCCACCCATGGGAACAAACATTTGGAGTTGTATGTCAGACAGGAAACACCCTTTGAAACAACCGGGAAAGAAACTCCTGAATGCAAAAGGCAAGCGACAGCAAAGAATGTTTCCTGTTGGCTCTCAATCCTGTGTGGGTTTGTCGAAGTCATCTCCAGTTGCACTCCCAGATAAACAGAGTTGGAAAAAATCCTGGAATCGGCAGCCTAGCAACCTCTGGGTAACGCTGGAAGTCTAGTTGTGACTTAGGCCCTTCTTGCCTCTGACTGTTTGGCTAAACTGTTGGTATATGTTGGTATCCACACACTTTATTTCAGGAATCATAAGCCGGAGGTGGTTCCAAAGTTCCTGCTACAGGAAAAAACAACCTTTTGAAATATGTATATACATACATATATATATATACACACATCAGCTATACAATTTATGTATATACATTACTATACATTATGAATCATTATTATGAAATTATATGAAAGTGTACGTGCTTGCAGCCAGCATCATCAAAGCGAAGAGCAGGTCGCAGCTATTGGATTTCACCACCATGGCACATCTTCTTTGAAATTCGGAACAGTACGTCGGCTCGTCCAGACTACCAGAACCAACCACATCGCTTGATGACATCATCATCTGCTTCTTAAAATGGTCCACCCTGGAACCTTGACGATGAGCCAAATCATAGCTGTTGAGGCCAGCCTCTGAATCGATGTGTCCCACATTTTGGCCGCTTTCCGCTGGCGATCGAGACAACGTCGAATCCACCTTCGGTTGAAGAGAAATTACTTGCGGCATTCCCAAGTCAGAACTTTCCTTGGCAGGCAGCGGTTCTTGACAGGAACAGCTAATTCACAAGACACCTGCTACTGCTACCTGTAAAGCGCCAAATTCACAGAAGAGAAAAAATATAATGAAAACTCAATCTGAAGGAAAGCTTCAGACTTGGGATCTGATTCTTTGCGACTCACAGGCAGTGAACCTCCTGAGTCAAGCGCTGTCTTATCATCCACCTCTGGCGGGTCAAAACCAAGCTTTCGTTGTGGGAGGTTGGGCGACGAGGATGCCATCTGCAAGGCAGCAAAAGGGTCCTCTTTGGTGAAAGCGCGTGAGAGCCGTGAGAGCTTGGAACTCTGGGAATGCAAACGTGAGAGCTTGGATCCTGACCGCACTGCAGAGAAGCTCTTCTCCTTCTCCATGCGGCGCCCAAAACTTTCCAGCCGCGAGTCCAACTGCATCAGGAGATCTTGATGCTGCTCCTGAATGACCTGCACGGGGACACAGAGACTCAATATGATGCGATTCCTGGAGAAATGCAACAACTGGATACAACTGGCTGCTTGCAGGCCAGGCAAAAAGGATCCAAAGGCATCGAGTCTATTGAGCAAAACTCAACGAAAACATGAGAACATGGCGCATTGGCTGTATCATGTCGTATTAAACCGGCATGATCGACAAACAAGTCTCGTACTGCAGCCTTCTCAATCAGGTTCGGCAGAGACCCCAGAGAAAATTGGACCTCCTCCGCGCTTTCATATCTACTTTCGGAGTCCATTGCTTGGACTCACAGTTTCTTTGTTTGAAAGACCATATATATGTTACCTATGTTGTAGCTTCCTCTGCGATGCAAAGGTCCTTTATCTGCAACAACAATGAACTTACAACCTGGATCAACCTGGTATAGCTAAGGCTCCACACTGCAACGGCTGTGCAACTTAGTTGAAGACTGCTGGTCATATATCTGTCAACTGCATTTCTTCAGCAGAACTTTGAGCCACAACTGTCTCTTGTGCACCCAAGGCATCTGGTGGCTGGACAATTGAAAGGAGCACTCAACTGCTCAACTGAATGGTCTCAAGCAGGAAACGTTCTCATGCTTCTGCCGTTGCAAGGTCCGTTTCAAGTTTCAAGGCTAGACCAACTCCACCTGTTGTTCAAGGAATGACCTGTTCAGCACATGTACATCATGCTGGTTGGCTCATTTTCTACTCAAACTTTCTGAAATTGACAGGGAAAATCGGAAATAGGTAAAACATTTTTCTCATGATCGACTTCCCGTGGCTGATCTCTTCGCCAGCCAAGCAGTCTCATCCCTGGGTCCACGGACACCTTCAAAGGTTCGTCCTTTTTAGAACTGCAACTAATGGGGCAGAACGGGGTTCCAAGTTGGTCCAATGCCCAATCAACATCACTCAATCAGGTAAGCTAATAACCCCCTAAGAAAATGAATCGACAAGGATTTTGAATCATTTGGAATCAATCCCAACTGTTTCAGATTGTTGTGCGTTGTCGAAATCACATGGTAGGAATTCTATGAACCTGCTTGGATTTGGGAAGTTTGCCCCTTGCACCTCTGAGTCATCCAGGGTGTCCAGATACACCACGTCCGAGCTTGTCCGGATGGGTTCGCGTTTGGGCCTGACAATCAAATGCGGATTCAACCCAGAGCAGTAAATGGAACTGACAGAGCCTTGGACAAACAGTCTTGCAAGCAGATGGGGCATTGGAATGCATGGTGTCATCGATTAGTGGTCTGAGAGAACTAAAGAGTATAAATGCGCGCCAAGCAAGGTGATTTCCACCCCTGGAAAAAATGACCTTCAATCCTCGACAGTTCTGTTTTCAAGAACTTGCCTGATCCTGCAACAGCACAAACTACGAGAGGCAACTACTTGTCACGCAAGGCGCTTTCTGGAGAAGTCATCAGTCCGTGCTGGCAACATCTTACAACTGGTCACTCATGGAAAAAAATAGAACTTTGGTCAAGCACGCTTCAGAGGCCCTACCAGCAAAGACATGCGCAAGACTGGTGTGTGTGTGTGTTTTGCTTAGCAGTGTTGCTTTTGCTGTCGCACTTGTTACAATGGTCAAGGACAGGTTTTGCTGTCATCGAAGAGCACAAATTGCATGGTACGCATGGCACTCTTGGGTTGGACCTTTTCCGCATGAGGGTACCAGTGACGGTCATCTGTGTCACCAGTGGAAGTCCTGGTCCCAAAAACACTGAGGCACTTCTGGGTTTTGCACATCTCTGCAATGCGCTTCCTCTCTTTTTCCATTGCCTTGCATGAATTGTGCAAGAAACGGCATGACACAAACACAACTTAGGTGGCCATATCCTGGATTATACTCAACAATCTGATTTTTAGATGCGTCTTGCACATGGGGTGCCCCCCAATCAAGGCGGCACCAGAGCGTTAGCCCCTTCTATAAAGCAAATAGCGCTTATAACGCCACTGTGATGATCAAGGACAACAAGTGACAGAATAGACAGTGCCTCTCTGGTCTCAGCCTCAACTTTGCGGAGAGCATCCTGAGGTCAGGTCAATCGCGCTGTCAAGTACCGTCAGAGACTGAGTCTTGCAGTTTGGAAAGAAATTCGATGAGTCTGTGGAGGTTCTGCGAACAGTGCACTTCACACCTTGGACCTCTGTATGCATGACTTGTAAGTACTATTGTGGCCGAGCCACAAGAAAAAAACGAAAACGAAACATGTCCTTTCTTCCAAATGGTGAAATCTTGCGATACTACCTGTCATGTCAAGCTTCTTTGTGCCCAAAAGTTTGAAGCCAAGCAGCCAGATTTCTCCTCGGCTTTTGAGGGAGCTGCGCCAACAGCTGACGACCCCGCTCCTGAGCCGAAATGAAAAAAAGTAGAATCTCACCTGGAGTATTAGATATACATCATATATATATATACACATTATATACACATAAATATCATATATAATGTGTCATATGTAAATAATATTAAATTACCCATGATTTACCCCATATCAATATATACTTGGAGTATCATAGAGGATTTTTCTGCAAGAAACAGATGAGGAAAGTGATCTACATCTTCCATACTGAAATATGCTATGAAGGGATATGGTCCTAAACTGTCCTAAAGTGGCAAAAAATGAGTTTGCAAATATCAGGCAATCGAGGATGGGAGACGTTATTGGTTTTTCACATTTTTTCCATCAGTATATTCTTTAATTGTTTCGGGATGCACTCCAGAGCACATGCATTGGGTCCTTATTCGGTCAGCATTAGAGATATTCATGGACAGAACGGGTTTCTTCAACAGCCATCTCCCCCGTTGTAAGATGTTGGAACTGCAGTGGGCCACGTTTGCGAAAGTTCTCTCAATCTGAGATGTCTGGCTGGATCAAAGCGGAGCTCACGATCACCTGCATTCACTACAGGGCAAGAGTATGTTTCATCCATAGATGCCCCAGGTTGCCTTTTTCTCCATAGCAATGGTGGAAGTGGATTGGATTTGCGTACAGCGGGTGATGCTCACTCGGCTATATCTGCAAAACACCGTTGAATCCATCCTGCCGGCCCGGTGATGCCTTCTGGAAGCGAAACCCGATGGTAGTCCGAGTCGGCAGGGATCTAAGTTCGTCAGAAAAGCCCAAAGTGGACGCAAATCTGCGAATTCATTTATGGAGGGTGTAATGGGATTTGATAGAATTTAATGGGACTTACTGGGATTTGATGGGATTTCATTGGATATCATGGAATTTCATGATCCCAGGAATCAAAAACTGAATGTGAACTTGAAAATGTTCAGGTACCTCGGCCTCTCTGGGCAGCAGACTTCCTCAAAAGAACGCTCCTCGCCACTTGGGAACACTGCACAAACTTCTTGTAATTTTGCTCAACCCATCCTGCAGTTTAGGCCACAATTTTTTACTTCACACACTGTGACACACCCATAGGTTTTCACTGAGGGGATTCATCAAAACCTATGAACCCGTCTCGGGCCTTCACCTTGGGTTCTTCCTTGGCAGCTCTCAAGACCTGGCACTGTCGATCATCGGATTGGGGGAGTGAAAATTCAAAAAGACACGTTAGTGGAAAACAAGACATAAAGAAACTATTCAAGTAATCCCTTATCAATTATACATCATTTCTGTGGCTGTTGATCATTTCCCATATGAAATAGACATTTTCTGTGGCAGTTTGGGTCCCGTTGTGGTCTCATCTGCCCATCCAGTTGGAGTTTTCACATTTTTGACCATGGCGGACCTCGTCCCAACCATCTTGCTGGCACATCTGCCCATAGTCCTAGCCATGAATTTCCAGGCCTTCAAATGCTACACCCAAAAGTCCCCTTCGATGAGAGTCCCAGTCTTTAGCAGTTCGTTCTACCATGTTTTATCATTCAACTCGGCAATCCAGCCAGTCTCCAGTTCGCTAAGCATTTTAGCAGCTGTGGATCCAGTCCTTTTCCAGCTGCTGGAAAAACTCCTGGACAAATCGACATGAGCCATGATCAAAATGGCATTACGATGACTACTATTACAGTACTACTATTACTACTATTACTACGACTATTAGTACTCTATTTCTATCAATCTTAGCCATTACTAGTACTCTTGCTATTACTATTGCTACTACTGTTACTTTTACTCTTACGAGCACTATTCCTGTGATTGTTACTATTATATACTTGTTTAACTGATCCACGAATCTGTCAATCATGACTGCATCAAGAACGAAAAAATATTATAAAATGTATACATATATATATATATATTATATATATGAGGAGAAATATAGGGAGACGAAGGAGAGAAGGAGAGGATTATATGATATGAGATTTATATATACTTATGATTATATATAGATATTATATATATATAGTATCTATATATATATATTATATATATATATTATATATATATATATATATATATATTATATATTTTATATTATATATTATATATTATATATTATATATAAACATATTATATAACTATATATATATTATATAACTATATAATGTCCGAAAAAAAAAAAAAAACAGCAGAATATATGTAACGTACTGGGAAGTTTTACTTGTAGCACCGTCTACAGCATCGTTGCGTTGCTCTCCTCGTTTCGTTTTGCTGCGTCAATCGCTTCTGCAGCTTCCTTGCAGGGTCATATGTTCTTTGCTAGGGTAAAGGGATGCCTTTGGGACAACACTTTTGGGAAAGAGAGATGGCAAAAAAGTGACTTTTAAAAAGGTCGTTATCATCATCAACATCAGGAAGAATAAGAGCCAAAACCAAAACCAACACGCAATCTGTGCCACCATGCAGGCAGAGCAATAAGAATTAAAATCATTCACCGGAAATTCCGATGCTCCAAATGCTTCCACAAGAAACATGAAGAAACTGTTTTGCCCCGAAAATTGCACTGATTCCAGTTGCTTGCCCTTAGAGTCCTTACAAATCCTTACAGTCTTTACTTTACGGTGACCTATGAGGTCCTCCTCACGACCGATTTGATCAAACTTGGAGTAGCCGAAGTTGTCCACCAGGATTTTGTCCACTGGGACCTTGGGCATCTGACAGGTCTTTTTCCACGGTCCCCTTTGCTTATGCTAATCCTAAACCCACACATTACATCATATTATAATCATAGTACACATCATAATCATCATAGTACACAGATCACGGGCACATTAGGCCTGACTGCTGATCTTTGGCAGCTCCTTCGGCTCCTTCTTGGGGCCACCCTGCAGCAACCTGACACTAGGTCTGCCAGAGACCAGCGTCAGCCGAAACGTTGCAGAAAATCCAGTACTGAGGTAAGAAAGAGAACTGCCCAAGATCAATCGCCAAGTCACAGCTTCATGGACTCCCGAACTTTGGCTCTGGCATCTGGTGGCCGGACCCCTTTCAGCAGGCGTGAGACTTTGGGACCACGTCAGACCAAGGACTCACCCCTGAGAAGTAAAAATATGCCACCTGCTACCACCACCATTTCTGGAAAATGCTGGAACGAAGGCTCAACGCTTTCGGTGGAGACTACCCAGACACCTGGTGCCCCTTGTGCGTTCTTGTCATGTCAGCGTTTAAATAGTTGAAGAAAGCGTCGAAACTTCAACATCTTCAATTGTGCATGACTAAAACGCCAGGGAGCCTGCCTAAACTGACAGGAACATTCCCTGCAAGGCACCTGCCGTTTCTGCCATAGCCATGACGTGTTGCAACGGTCGTTTTGCGGCTTGGTAAATTGGGCACAGCTCTAATACACCGCGTTATGAGGAAGCTTTGTGGACGCGAGGCAGTGTCAAACAATATCTGTTTTGGATGTCTCTGCAGAAGTGGGATGCAATGTCCAGGCGCATCTAGAAAGACTGTGTGAAATTGCTTAAAGGTGGTGAGCAAATCGTGCATGTGGCTTTTGTTTGCAAAGACTTCGGCATGACAAAGAACAATTAGAAGCACCACGCTTTGTAGAAAATAGGACCACGCACTTTTGGCAACAACATATCGGGAGAAAAGCGACTTGTCATGTCATGTTCAGGGAGCAGTCAAATTATGTCAAATTACCCTGCTTGGAGTCTGTGTTTTGAAACTATCAAGTGCAAGGCTGCACATACATTCAGCCCTTTATCTTCCTTCACGATGAGTGCAAGCAGTGCAAGTTCATCAACCCTCGACCCACCTGGTCACTAAGCTTTGATCGAAAAAAACGCAGCACCGGTAAACCTTTTCTAGGCCGCTTCGCTTGTGAAAGGCCTGACCCTGGTCGCCCAACGACTGTCACGCTGGAACCAGCTGAGCATCAGAATACCTTCGGCAAGGATGAGTTGGGCAAAAAGCTGTCGGTCTATAACTTGATATAACTTGGAATAACTGGAACTTCAAAGACGTTTTGCCCAGCAGGCCAGCTTGGCTCAGCTGGTGTGACTTGGTCGTGCATTCGCAGGGCTGCATGATGTTTGAAAGGGTGCACCTACTCCAAGTCCTAAGCTTCATAGTCGCTTATCTGATGCAACTTTGCAGAACGGGTGACTTTTCATGACTTTTCATTCCTCCAAAATTCCCAGAGACTTCCCATCCCATTGCCTTTCCGGGTTGCCCCAGGTTTGCCTGGCAGCGTTGCGATTGTGGGCTCAAGGCCACCATCCATGACCGCAACTCACAGCGACCATCGGCAATGTGTTGCACCTCCTCAACACGCTCGCCAGGATGTCTGAAAAGACAACTGGTACCTTTGCCCAGCGCCCAGAGGATGTAGATGGCTTCCAAAAAGGATAGCAAAACGAGTTCTGGAATTAGCCATGCACATGATGATAGCGTTGCCATTGCGTTGCCAACAATTCGGGATCTGTTTGTCTGTTTGGTATCCCCCAGGCGTCTGTGACCTCAGCTGGGTCCACCAGACGAGTACAGCTGGCGCCCTGGTTGCATTCTTGCAGCTTGAACTTGGCACGAACACGCCTGGCTTGGCGGCCCTTGACAACTGGCCAGTGTTGGAGATTCCAACAGAAAGCTCGGGGGTAGATCACTTTGATCACTTGCCATTGGAAATTTTAAGATTGTGAACCTCGCTTGGTTTCGCTCCTCCTCAACCGTCCAAACTTGGCAGCTGCACATTTCCTCCTCGGGATCCATGATGTGAGCCTTTTCCAGATGCGGAAGGCCACAATCAAGTGGCTGTACCATGGCAAAGGACAACCCCCTTACTAAAATCGTTGATGATTTGATAGTATACAAATGTACACAGTCTAGCGCAAAACATCGCAAAACCATACAACATCATACAGCTGACACGATTTTTCAGAATTGTTCGCTCCATTCACCATGATTTCAAACTCCTGGCAGGTTACCTCCTGGCAGGTTCCAATTAACATGCAGCCCATGGCTTCATGAGGCACAGATAGGCACAGTGGGGGCCTCTGGACAGGTGCTGCCACGATCGCATCTGGCCCAGCCTGGGATCGACTACGACTGGAAATGGAATATATACATAATATATACATAATATACATAATTAATATACAAATATTTATACGATTCCCAACAAAATGTCAATGTTGATCTTCAAAGAACTTCAAATACTCAACAAGAACGATGGCCTTTGTTGTGCAAGGCAGAGACTGACGAAAGCTGGGATGCCAAGCAAAGGTACTGTACGCAGACGCGGCCCCCTTGAGGATTAGAGGTCGCTGGTGTTGGGATCCTTGGCCAATTGCGATGAGTTGACTGAGTGGCTGCAGATGGAAACCGATGAGTTGACTGAGTGGCTGCAGATGGAAACCCGTTTGAACCAGTAGAAAATGGACGTCTCCAAACCACTTGGTTTTGTCTTTGAGACATAATCTGGTGACTCTTCATATATTTAGATCATCCAATCTATCAGATTTCTTGACTGGGAATTCCTCAAAGTTGCAGCACCACAGAAGAATACACTAAATCCATCTAAATCCAAGACTGTCGTTTGAAGAAAAGATTCAAATAAAAATAGCATACACAGCATACACAGCATACACCACTTTTGAATTTTTGGAGTGGATTGCCCATTGTGGGTCTGCTCGGTCTACACGGAATTCCCTTACGCTGCCGGACGGAGCATTGATGGACGGCCGAAGCCCAAGAGCTGGGGCAGAGGGTGGCCTTGACTCACCAACGGAAAACAGCGGAAAACAACGGTGAGCAACGGAAAAGAATCCTCATGCTCAATGCCATGCTTTGCGAGGGAATCATCATGCTTCCTGTCTTGCTTTGGACAGTTCAATAGGAACATGGTGTATCTGGCACTGGAGCGCCAAACTCTTAGTTTTCACACAGAGCGTGTGACGTATGCCAGTCAGTGAGAAAACGAACGCTGGATCCTTCTGAGCATGACACGTAAAGGTCGACTGCTTCGGCAGGACATTGAAGCCCAATGCTGCAGCAGCCGCCACACCTGCCTGAACAGAAGGCTGTTGGAAGGCTGTTGGAAGGCTGTTGGGCAGACGCTTTGTTGCTTTGCTGAGCTTCTTTGCTCAGGTCTCTTTGAACGTCTTCATATCATCCCAGTCTTTAAAGTCACTCTAATAATTCTAATACATTTCACGCCGAAACCTCTGCTAGCTCGACACTGAGTCAGCACCTGTGCTGTCGTATCTTTTGCTTTGCGGGCCTCCGGGCCAGCACATGGACCAATCATCTCAATGTGAACCAGTCAGCAAACACCCCAAGCAGGGGGCCATAAGATCCATAAGCCCATGGACCAGGACAGCTTGTAGACTTGCAAACTTCTGCCGGGGCATTCTGTTAGATTGGAAGCAAGAGTTTCTTGTGGCTAATCTCTGGCGATTGACCCTCGTCACCTGCACTGGCACTGGAGGTGGAGCCGACCTGACGGAATGCATCTGAGAGGTGCCAATTGGACACCACTCATGGCACTCACGGCATCCAAGGCGATTGTGCTACAAGAAAGCCGTTGAGTTGCAAGAGTAAGGGATTCAAAATGTCAGAATGGAGTAGGAAATCAAAACACTCGGTGCGATCCAAGTTTTAAAGGAATCGAGTATAACAACTTTAAATCCTTCAGAGTCCCACCAGCACACTGAGAGCCAAGCAGATCGGTCGCGGTAGTTTCTTCTTTGTCTGCTTTTTCTTTCTCCTTCTCCTTATCCTTGTCCTTCTCCTTGGTTTCCTTTTCCTTGATCTCCTTTTCTGTAGTCTCTGTTTCTTTGCTTTCTTTCTCCTTGTCCTGGGTTGCCTCTTTGGCATCCTTCTCCTTGGCTTCCTTCTTTCTCCTCCTCTTGTCCTTCTCATCAACAATCTCAACCTGATGGAATCTCTTGGGCCAGTGCATACATTATGAATTCGATTGAAATTCGAGCTTGAGATTCGCCTATATAATATAATACGTATATGATTACATGTAAAATAATACAATATTATATATATATGTGAAATATGTTCAATGTGTATAACATAAATACATATAATATAAATATAATATATATATAATATATAAATATATATAATATAAATATATATAATATAAATATATATAATATAAATATATATATAATATAATATATATATAATATATATAAATATATAATACAAATATACACATATTTGCAACATAAATATATATATATCTAACAATTATATATATATATGGTCACCGACAGAATTATGGAAAAAAATAAAACGTTCAACTTAGACAGGCGGCGCCTGCGTCCGATTTTTCCATAATTGGATTTTTCCCCATAAGGGTTCAAAATATCCCGGAAGTGATCCGAACCTTTTTTTTTTCCATAATTCTTGGAGGTGGCCATTATTTCCATAATTGATTTTTCCTGTAAAATCAGGGGGCTAGGGCAGATTGACCGGTTTTTCCATAATTATTTTTTCCATAATTATTTTTTCCATAATTATTTTTTCCATAATTAATGTTTGGGGCTCCACCTGTTGGACATGTCATGGATCCACAATTCAAACCCCTTTTTTTGGGGGGTTATGGAAATATGTATGCAAATGCAAGTATGTAGTATCAACCCAATTGGTGGCTTGGCAAAAGGATACATCCCGCATATGTATGTACGTACAACAATGAGTTTTGGTGGTGCAATTGTATATCAATGGAAGACTTAGGGGCATATACCAGATCTTTAGACACATATTTTCTATAATTCAATATTCCCCCTTAAAATGCATTCAAATTGCGAACATCACATAATATTATGTATATCAATGGAAGACTTAGGGGCATATACCAGATCTTTAAACACATATTTTCTATAATTCAATATTCCCCCTTAAAATGCATTCAAATTGCGAATCGATGGACATACAGTCACCGACAGAATTATGGAAAAAAAAATAATTATGGAAAAAATAATTATGGAAAAAAAAAAGGTTCGTAACTTTTCTATCATAGACAGGCGGCGCCTGTAAATTGAAACGTTTTTTGTTTTTCCATAATTCTGTCGGTGATTGTAATATATATATATAATACACATATATATATAATATAAATATATAATATAAATGTAATATATATATATAGTATAGAAATATATATAGTATAGAAATATATGTACGATATAAATATATAATGAATATAATATTTTATACTATACTATACATAGGTAATGTCAATACCCCTTTTGCTTTTGTGTAACCGTCCGTTTTAGGAAGGGAGGTTGGGGCATGGGAATGACCAACATGGCCAAGGTCTGTGACACCGCACCACAGGCGGCTCACGGCGTCTTTGGCGCTTGGTGCCTCAAAATTAGCCCCCAAAGTCACCATGCTGAGTGCAACAAAAAATGGGTTTGTCTGAAAATAGTGTACCCCTACACCCAATGGTTAATGATCATTATCCCTACTAAATGGCTATAATTGGGGGTATACCCCATTTTCAGACATACCCAAATCAGTGATCAGTGAAATTGAAAGCTGAATCGGCCTGTGTCAGCTTTGGTTTCCACTTTTTCGATCGCTTGTGGTGACACCTCGCATGCCACCACCTCACAGACTGGTGCTGGTTCGATCCATCAAGTTGGTCACTTTGTTGGTGTCCGGTGTCCACATTGGAGTGTGAAACATGCTTCCTTTCAAAGTGACCCTCTAAACTGGTGGTCTGGGGGCCGCTAATTTCGAAACCTCTGGCAATTATGTGGCAGGTTGGGGTCATTGTCACCCTTCATGACATCATATGACATCATATGACATCCATAGATATCCATGATTCCAGTCGTCAGGTTTATCACTAGCCTCATCGTCATCATCATCGTCAAGGATGTCGAGAGCCTCACCAGTGGCACAGCTCCGTGGCATTCCGACCAATACGTCCGATACGTCCGATACGTGCTAGGCGAAGAAGCTGAAAATGCAGATTTGCTACTGATAGATCTTCACAAATCAGGGATCACAGTGTATGGTGAGGGTGAGGTTCAGACCAGTTTGAAAGCATTTGATTCGATTTAAATTTAAGTTTTAGTGATCTAGAGTTCTGACCCTGCTGCTTCGGTCATTTGGAAAAGGCAGCTTTTCCCATTCATAGGATTGGGTGGGAGAATATCTGCTCTATCTTCGCAGAGTCAACCACCTGCAAGCTGCCACCACAAACCTGGTACGACTGAAATCTATTTCTGAGCCAACTACAGCTGCCGCTGCCAGAGCCTCCATGAGTTGCAACTCTGTCACTCAAATCTGATAACATGGAAGGTCCGCAATTGATTGCTGGGCACACCAGGCCTTGATGCTTTTGTTCGGCTTTGACGAAAAATGCAAAGGCATGCTCTTTCATTGAGGCACTTCAGATGATTGAGTCACAATGAAAAAATAAAATAAAAGTAGTCATCTGAGTCTGCAAGTTGCCACTTCAAGCTGCAGCCATGAAAACGACTCTGAGCCGCTCTACCTCTTTGCCTCTGACAAGTCATATATTCATGAATCCCCAAATCCTATCCTGTCAATAGCCTGTCATACAATGGTCGACCCAAGAACCAAAATGGGATCATCCACCTGCTCATGCAGCACGGGCACCTTGGGTGGTGCTGCGGACTTGGTCGGCAACAAAGCCTTCATCGCAGCCTGTTGAAGGCTCTCCACTACAGTAGGCTTTCACCCCATAATGTCCAAAAATGCTCAGGAATCCTGCAAGTCATGCAAGTCATGCTCCAATGAAGTAAGTTTATCATGGAGTCAATCTGGTTGCTGAGAAGCGCAAGGCAAACTTCAAGTCATGTCAATCTTTGCGAATTCGAAGCCTCAGGATTTGCCACTTGCGCTGGGGCCTCGTGCAAGGATTCACGTTTTTTTACAGCAGTTGCTTCAACTCCCAATGGCCGGCCGCAGAGACACCAAGACTCGACCAACTCGACCAAGTCCCTGACATCTGCAGGCAGCATCATGGTCAAGCTGGGGCTTCGCGAGCGTCCACCTGCGGAACCCCTCTCTGAACATAGCTTTGCAGGAAGTATCCAAACTTCCTGAATGCCCAACACCAAGGAAAAAGTGCGGCATCACTCAAAAGCAGGATAGATCCTCGCTGGAGCATGAAAGAAAGCATAGTTGCACAAAGCGTTGGCCAAATGGGCAAACGAGCCTTTCCTGCGTTTGCTTCTACTTCGCTTTTTGATTTTTGTGACCTCTCAGATGCACAGGAATTGGCAGGAATAAAAATGCTCGATTTGTGTATCAGAGTCTCCTGCTCAGATCTGCATCCCTGGCACGGATCCAATCGCCCTCCAAATGGCATGGTCACAAGTCCAGCTTCACTTCAACCGCCCAACTGCCGCACCTCCTCACTTTCGGAAGAGCCTCTGGACATCAGGGTGCTGGGCAAGAGGAAGCACGCTATGATCAAGCTATGTCTTGCCAGCAGACACCATCAGCCATTGCTGTCGGAAAAGATGTGGAGGCCAAGCCTTTCTTCTTCTTTTTCTTGTCCTCGATGGCTATCGGCTTGTCCTTCTTCGGCTTCCTGAGATTCTGGCTGTAAGAAGTCACCCAACTGTACATATTAGGAACCGTCACAAGAAATCTAACCAAAATCGTCGACTTCACACAAACTCCCACCATGATCCAATCAAAATAACATGTGCATCTCCAGCAGCAAGCTGTTTGCGAGCAAGTCACTTCTCCTTCTTCTTGACCTTGCCTTTCAATCCTCCAGCAACGAAAGAATACAATCCTAAACTCATGCTGCCAATGGCTCTGACGGCTGTGTTGAAAACATTTCTCGGAAACTTCAAAGGTTTCCTTCTTTATTATTTTATCTCTGGCATGTACATAATATACCTTGGAACGCAAAGGAAAATGATACAGTCCGTAAACAGACCTTGCCTGGCTGGTGGCTTTCAATCGACTCTGCTGTCCACACCTGACACTTTAAACAAGGTTCGCAGCCAATGTTTCGAAAGAATTTCAAATGGCCAGTCTTGTGGGTTTCACTGAAAATGTGGTAGATACCCCCGACATCGCAATTTTGATGGGAAAACGATAATCCACCAGATTTTGGGTACCAAGAGATTGCTGAGTGATGCTGAGTGCGTATGGCCCCCACTTTGTAGATGTCAAACACGGCCTCTCTACACCCTACACACTCTCGAATTTGTCCAGATGGGGACTCCATTCGAAAAAAGTGGGAGAAATCTGTCAAGCCATCCCCGCGTCCTTGACTCCAACACTGACATCGTACCTGTACCAAGACTTTGGGACTGAAGTAAAACATGACTCACCACAGGCAATACAGCTGTGCTATGTCAGCTATGTGAACATCGACAGCCATTATCAGCTAGCACAAGAACTAATATTCTGCCCATATTCCAGAATAGCTTGGAATCTGTTGCTAAGTGACCTACAAGATCTGAGGCGCTTCTTTAACATGGTGGACCCTACAAAAAAATAAAAATAAAAAGGTGTTTTTCTCCACAAAAGCAGATTATTCAGATGTTTGTTGGGTGGGTACCTATTGGGGGTACTTTCTGCCCAATGCCCCAGTCGCACTGATCCAGGACCGGTCCAGCTTTGATGATCAGATTGATTCTGGAAGCGCAGATGCTGTGCCCAGCGTGTCACTAGTGGATTCACCAAAGTTTCGTACGGAACAAATCACAAAATCATGCTTTGAAAAATCCCCCAGGTCTTATAATCCCCCTGGTTTTGGAATGTTTTGGACATCTCCAGTTGTTGGCAAATCTTGGCATTCCCAAGACTCCAACAGGTCGTTCTTCTCAACGGCCGTGGAGATCCTTATGGAAACCCAAAGAGAAACCTGGTGGATTTGGACGGAAAGTGATGGAAAGTGATCAGACATGTCGGAAATGAACCATCTCTTGAAACCGGATGGGTCCAAGATTTTTTCTCGCAAAATCGAGGATGATCACATTTTGGGGGTCAAATCCAATATTGTCATACTTGGGGGGAATGAACATTCACAACTCCCACAACTCCCACAACTCCCAGCCATTTTTGGTGCTCACCAGGGGTCAAAAGACCGCCCCAACGGACGAAACACCAAGGGACTGCGTGAGCGGGACGCATTTCTTCGCCGCCAGGATTCGCAGCTCCTTGACCTGGGAAAATTCATGGTGGATTCATGGTGGATTCATGGGGAATACAAACGGAACATTCATGGGACATTCGGGGATAACGGGGAATAGTCATGGTGATTATACTATGTTATACATTTTTATACATTTTTATACATTTTTATACATGTTTATACTGCTAATCATGGGGATAATCAACAAGCAACATGGCCGCCGCCGCTGTGCAGTTCTCAGAGTGCAGCCGAGAGTTTGCCCAAGATCTCCCATTCATCCTTCGCACAGGGTCAATGCTCCCAAGGAATCTGGATAAAATACGGAATTCTCAACTGGTCCAATGCGAGACCAGCTGGCCAAAGGGTACAAAATGGAGCAAAATGGATCAAAATGGCTGCAATATGCTGCAATACATTGTATTTTTGAAACTTCATCTGACCTCAGCTGTCACTTCCAGTGTTCCCCCCGATCCCGCCTGCTTTTCCGTAAGCTTTCCCATCAACTTATCAACCCATCAGAACTACTGTCATCCCATTGGAAGCCAATGGAGATCGGAATCAGCTACGATTCTGCTGTGCTATTTGTATCTATTTGTCATGTGAAAAGATTACAAACCGCTAAAGTAACCAAACACTCTGAAGAGTTTTTAAGAATCTTCTGGATCTGTCTCAGCAGCTGTGGGTAGTTTAGTGCTAGTTCAAGGCTGAGTTCGACGCGGGGCAAAATAACTTTCTCTCTCTCTCTCTATCTCTCTCTGTGTTTGTTTTGCAAAAACTCTGCCAAAGGAAAGCATGCCTGTTCCAACCAGTCAGTGATCATTGTCTCAATCTGAACTCCAATCAGTGGACTCAAGTTGACTTGCCCCTCTTGTGTATTCCGTTCATTCCATTTGCGTTCGTATCCACAGCTATACCTTTAGCTGAGCCAGCAACGGCTCCAACGCAAAGGTCTCGGCTTTAAGGCGCTCTTCGCAGTACCGAAGCGTAAGTTGATGCTTTGGATGGCGACTTTTCGCTGCGGCAGTCTCAGTCCAGGAAAAGGAATCCTTTTCAAGGTCCTTTTGCACCCAGAAACTTTGAAGGGAAACAAAGCTCTTCAGCTGCAAATACACAGAAAGTCAGTAAGATCCTCCAAGAATGATTGCCTCACGATGACAAGAGCTGAAGCAGAGGTTGTTTGATGTCTCCTTCTGTATTTGATTGAGTATCCCTTCATTGTGTGAAAAATGGCAGTTGAAAGGAATGCCGGCTCAACCTCAGCAGTCTTCTTAGGGAAGCCTGCAGCAATCGTGACTTTCTTCCATCTTCTCCGATGTTTCTTTTCCGTCATGGAGTCTTTCCGCCGGCAACAAAAACATGTTCAAGCGAAGTGCATCCAGAGACTTCTTTCAAGTAGAGGAGAGGCAACAAATGTTCCAAGTGTCTGACAGTGTCTGGCCATTATGGAGAAGAGTGGCCAGAAGTGATTGCCTCCACCCCAGATATGGACTGCCAAAATGACAACTGTTGAAATGACATCTACTTTGGGACTTTGGCTAATTGGATGGTCCTGGATGGTCTCAACGAAAACCAACAATCTCACGGGATGCTCGACTTGTCAATCATCAAAGGTACAAAGTGCATCAAGCGCTGTAGACACCTGTACACACCCGTCACATTGACAACGTCAATGCAGTCTCCGTCCAAAAATCTGAAATGTTTTCTAGTCACATACATGTACAGACATCATGTTCCTCTATGCATCTTTGCATTGCAACCGATAGATTGGAATCACAACGTTGACTCAGGGGCAGTCACAAGGATCAGCATTGCCCAGAATTTATGTACCCTGGGTGGCTGCAACCACGACAGCTCCCAGTCCCACTGGTAGGCTGCCAGTGCTCTTGGAAAGCTCAACCTCATGGATCTTACGGCAGCGAATAGCACAAGCAAAGACAAAATGTCACTAAGCCCGTTTTTTGCGGCAGAAACCCTCTGGAGTCTCTGTAATTCGCTTTGCGAAAAAGGACAAAGAAAATCAACAGGAGTGTGGTAAATCCGGATCCATAGAAAAGTTGATTGTGGCTAATTGTTGGGTTTACTGTACACCATAATCAAAGGTGCAAAAGTCTCCATCCGCGATGCTGGGACTATCTGCGGCACCTGCGCTTCGCGCCGCTTCCGCCGGCCCTCTCGAATTGCCTGCACCTAGATGCAGCACTGCAAACACTGACTCGATGTCGTGGGACAGGGGAGAGCTCCCCAAACGCTCAAAACAAGTTTCCCCCCTCCCTTTCGTTTCCTTCCTTTCCCTTTCTTTGCTGAAACAAAAAGCTGGTTGAGAAGAAAGTTATCAGAAGATACCTTTGATATTCTGTTGATATTTTTTCTTCTATCTGTATGTTTTTGCAGACTCGCGCACCGGTGTCCGGGGCTGAGGGATGCTGACTGCATGAATCCGATGCTGATGCACTTCATGGCGTTTCGCAAGGATGATCATTTCCTCTCTCTTTCGTTCCTGGCAAAGGCGGCGGAGGCAGAAAAATCTACAGAAATCCCACAGAAATCCTACACTCTCCTTCTCCCTGGCTCGGTGTCTTTCCACAGCATCTGCTTGAGCCAGCTCCTGGAGATGATTGCAAAACCACCCCTTCTTTTTATGCATGGATAATCCGCTGAAAGCCTTAGAAACAAGCTCTTTGGGTCCCAGTTTGTGCATTGCTTATTCTACTTCCTGCATCTGATATCAGCCGTTTTTCAGCCTGCAAGAATTGTTTATTTATTTATATATATATATATAATTATATATATATATTTCTTTTATACCCAGTTTAAGAGCATGTTTCGCTATTTACACCTCAAATATCCTCAAACCTATGACACAAGATTCTTTAAGCATGACCTGAATCCAATTCTGCAGGGGCAAATGGTAATTGGTTTGGGCCCTCGTCCTGTTCTATAACAAAGAGCTTCCGCCGATGGGCGTCCACCTTTGACAAATCTCCACAGGACTCCAGGAAGTCAAGGAAGTGAAAGGAAATACAATAATAACTAACTGCTATTGTTTGAGAAATAATAACAATAACCAGAGTCATATACGAAGAGTTACCAAGACCTGGATTTATCTCACTTCTGCCTTGAAAGGTCACTTAGGTCACTTTTCAAGTCCCACAAAGACTCATTCCAAACCATCTCACATGCCAAGTTGAGTTAATCAAAATGTGTTTGTTCTCCTGTCCATTGCACTCAAGCAATATATAGATGATGAATTTATCGTCAAAAAAATCCAGGGGCACTGAGGTGATTTTGATCTCTCAACTTCCCAGACTGTCAGCCCTTCCTGGCCCAAAATAATGCATCGTTGTTGACCGAGGTACATCAACTGGCTTGCCATCGTTATCCAGAAAGCCAGCCGTCTGCATCACATGCCTGTGAGACTGTGAGATCTGGCAGACCAGATCCAGGAGAATTATGCGATGCATTTTGGAGCATTCACAGCAGCCCTGCCTAATGCGCGGATTCACCCAGAGGTGCCTGGCAAAAGTGCAAAGAAAGTGCCTTCATATTTCAACTGAACCAAAACTCCTTCAGGATCAGTAAAATCGAAATGAACGAACGAACAAACGAATGAATGCATGAATTTGTGGTCAAGTCTTGCAGATACTTTCCTGGACAATTTGTATCAAATAGTTTTAAAGTCAGTTTTGTGAACATGTTTTGCCATCAAGGTTTTCACAAATGAACGATAATATGCGCCCTAAATTCCAAACAATATTTTGTCGTCCATATCAACGTCTGTATTGAGACATACTCCTCCACACTGCCCAGATTTTGGATAAACATGCAAGCGTGGCTGCAAATGTTCATCAAACATTGGTTTGTACCTGAGTTCAGAAGGCCACATCGAAGAAAACACACTGATCCCAATTATATAAGTGATTTTCTTAAACTAAGTCGAATGAATGGAAATGTGAATTTGGTCCTGATTGTCTTCTATTGCTACTCTGACACCACCTCCTTGAGCTACTATTGGTGAAAGAAAAAATAAATTCATTGTCAAATAAGTCAATGAATCCAAATAAATCCACACACAGTAATTAACAATTTCACTTTTGCTTAGGATGGCAATGATGGCCCCAATATCCACCCAAAATCATCCACGAGGAAGGTCTGACTGACCGAGGCACTCTGGAAGAGGTGCTCGCTGGGTGGAGGAATGGAAGTCCAGCTCCCGAGCACGCAAACCTTTCCTGTTTGATGTGGAAGAAGAAAACTAAAAAAACAAAAAGCAATGCCATGCGAAAATGTTTGATGAATTCGTTTGGGGTATGTGAAATAGAATGAAAAATTAATTTTAGGATGAAATCAGTTTCACCATGGTATTGATCACCAGTCACGAAGTGAGCCTCTTCGATGGTTCCCGGAGGCCTGATCAGGAATTGTCTTGCGAATGTGTGAACCAAATTTATCACTGGTTGGTTTTGGTGTTGCAAAAAGTCAACATTGAAAATGGAACCATTCCAAGCACTACCTGAAGGGTGGTTGGCAGGTGCATGATTATCCTTTATTTTTTCCTTCAACAAAAAATATGAAAAAACAATATCTGCCTCACCAAAATTGCAAAAATGGATCAAATTTTCGCATGATTTGTACACCCGACTTGCCTGGAATGAGGCCATTTGTTTCCACTGCCATGGCACTTTGTGAAACAATTTTCAAAGATGTTCAGGACACATGCACCAATGCCATGTTGCAGTTTTCCGCCAAATACAGATACATGCAGACAAATCAAAATACCAATCACACAGTCACACAGTCACACTCAAATAATTTTTCAATTGACAAGAAACGTGACACCAATTTGTGATGTCATATGAATGGTCGATTTTTGGTGATGTAAGATTCCCATAACAGACCCAATCCATGACCTTTTGCTCTGACAAACAAAACCGGCGAAAAATCAGGTTGGAAATGAATTGCGTGCTAAACAAGTCGCAGCAAAACCACATCCAAAAATCAACAGTTGAAACAAATAATGATTGCAAAACAATGTTTCGGGATCATCGGAGCTAACACAATCCAATTTTTTCGTGGGATCACAAAGATTTCATGATGCCGTTCCAAGATGATGTGTTTATCCAAATTGATTCATAAAATGTGAACAACATTGTCATCAAGACATGTAAAATTTGAATGGCAAACCACTGATACTTTTGTTAACCAGGATATTTCTGCAAAGACAGTTGGTCGGTCACAATTCGTTAAATGTATACAGGTTTTCGATTTCTGCCTTCAATTTGCGAAGACTAATTTGGGTTATATTCGGGTTTAGTGTGATTGGGATTGGGTCCGATGGTTTTTGTTGATGTGTTTCATGTGGATTCGCAACCACACAAATTCTGCATCATGATTCTCAACAATAGATGGGTTTGTTCCCAAACCGCTGGTGCCAAAAAAACACGTGAAAATGGTTTCGACTCAACACGGGTCTTTCGTCACTGTTTTCATTTTTTTTTGCCGTATAGTTTCTTACCATCAAACAAAGTTTAATTCGCAAATTTCCCAATTGCGGATGAAAGTCCATGGTCACCCTTGTAATCGTGTCAGCCACGGAAGTAGCTACGGCAGCTGGCAGCAGGAAAAAGTAGATCACGGTAACAATCCGTGCGCGGGTGATGCAACCGACGTGCGCGAATCATTGCATTTTTGCGGGTATGGTCATGGTTGCCCCAAGGGTCGCCAAGAATGGTCTGTGTTTCCGCGGGTGGGCCTCGATTTGGAAGAATTGTGGACAAAAACCTGCAGGTGGCCAACGAAAACTTGCATTTTTTTTTTGGAACCGAAAACGCCTCAAAGATGCAGTATCGGCTGAACATGCTGCGACAGGCATGTAACTGTTGTGATCTACTGAATGTACATCAAATGGTAACTGAGTGCAAGGTGAGTCAATATTTTTCACCCCACCTCAGCTTGCATTTTCAATGCTATGCTGTTCTAATGCCCCTCAGGACTGTTCAAAGTCCATTGAATCTACATTCTTGGGGCTTCTGCGCAGTGATACAAAGTGGCACAACTGCCAATGATGAGAATCCTGTGTCTCATCTTAATGACAGCATCGTGTGGTGCCAGCAGAAAATTGGTTTCTCTCACTGGTAGAGTTCTTCAAAACTCTTGCAGTTCTTCCGTGGTCTCTTCGTCAGCAGACTCAGTAGGTGGCCGTCCATAGTGCAGCACGGCCCATTCGTCTAACTTGCAGTTGGCCACGTTGAAGCATGTAAACTCAAGCAATGCACTCTGTTTTCAACTGGGGCAGCGCAGACTGGCTAGGCTGCGGGTTGGCCTAGGAAGGTGAAAAGGGATGGGAAAGAGTCCAGCATTTGCTGGGGGTGGGCGCTTTTCAACTTCTTAAAATTAACGGCGGACCCACCGCTCCCACCCTCTTGAGAAAGAAAAGACTTCAGTCATTGAACGTGACCCGAAATCCAAGATTTCTTAACTGCATTGTGAGACAATTCGAAGACTAAAGTCTGCTTCATCGTCTAACTTGCAGTTGGCCACGTTGAAGCATGTAAACTCAAGCAATGCACTCTGTTTTCAACTGGGGCAGCGCAGACTGGCTTCCCCCATCAACTCTGTGTTGCCGCAGTGAGGAAATTCTGTAAGTTGTTGAACCATGCCACTGCAGCACTTGACTCATCCATGCAAGGAGGCAGCAAAGGGTGTGATGCATTGCGAGATGGATAGTCACTGACATTCGCTTCTGTCGGCACTCGCGCGTACCAGGTACAAAGATTGTTCGAAGCCTCACGCTCAAGATGGTATCTCATCAGGGCAGAGGCATGAGAGCTCAAGCAAGCCCCTTTGATCAATGAAAACCTGGCACTGTCGTTGTCACCAAAACAAATTTGTAAACCATCCTTCATTTTGTCAGACCAGAAATCCAACGCCAGAATTGATGCAGCCAACTCCAACTCATAAATGATCGTTTGCTTGACATCCGATCCAAAAAGCTGGCACACCGACGACTGTAAAGGGAATCCAAACCAGCCCACGCACTCACAAGATTCATTGAAGATAGCTGCACCTATGCCACCCTCCTTAAGCTCCGGCTCGTAAGCCGCATCCGAGAACACAAACCATTGTTGCACCGCCTTTGCAGAGACGATGCGGGGAATGCCAAGGGATAACCTTTTCATCATCACTTGAAGTCCAAAGGCAAGCTCGGGAGAAAGCTTTGCAGACCTGCTGTAGGCATGTTCCGACAACTGCTTCAGCACCAAAAGGCCTAGGCGGCCGTGTAGAAAGGAATCTGCAAAGCCCAGTTTGCCACGCAAGATAAGTGCATCCTGCTTACATAATTCTCCAGCTTGCAAAGTTGACACAATCAGTTCTTGCAGATCTTGGATTCTTTGCTCTGTGTTGCGCACTGCAAGCACCCTTTCACCTGAGCTCGCCAAATCAAATTGTACCCCAAGCGCTTTGCAAACTGTCCCAAAGGCTGTGGCTTTTTTGCCATCCATATCAAACCTCCAACCTGTCAACATGAAAACCAGCTCCATGGAGTTTTTTGCAGACTCAACGCTTCCTGGTAGCGACGCCAGAATGTAATCGTCGTAAAAGTTTGTCGTCAGCAAGAATAACTGACGTGTGCAAATCGTGTACAGCATCCTGGCCAGTCTAAGGAAGCTGTACACGCTATGCGTCGCTCCAAACGGCAAAGTGACAAGCTGGTATGTTTCAGGTCGATCTGTTTCGCAATTGTAAATGCAGAAGTATGAGAAGCGCAAATGATCTTCTCTGATCGGTACCTGCCTGTACGCACTTTTGAGGTCGTACGTCTTTGCGACCAGCGCACTGGCCTTTGACTCATCATTGCACCTTCTGAAGAATTCTCTGATGACCGCTGCAAATGTATCCACCATATGCAAATCAACCTTGTTGTGTGTTGATGCAGTGTCATCGATACCAGAGATCGAAAAATCGTCGATCATCCTTGTCTTTGCCTTTTGAACCAGCGGAAACCTTCGTGACACCACTCCACCTTCCGGAATGGAGTCCAGGGGCCCAATGGCCCAGCCTCGCTTCACTTCCTCCCTTGTTTCGCAAAGGAGCTGCCGATCCACCTCCAAGTCACCTGAGCTCTTACAAACAGCCAGTACTGCTTTGTTTCTCATTGGCGCCTCCTTCAGCAGCTGTGACATCGTTAGCATGCAAGGCTTGTAGAGCTCCTCAAAGACGTCACTCCGGGGTATTTCACCTGCCAAAGGTGATCCATGTCGTAGCAAGTCCAGCACGCCAGAATCTTCGTACTGCATTTCCGCTAGGATCTCACCAGTTAATAAGATCCTCTTGCCACAGGTGGCTTGCCTGACATGTGGAGGACGCAAGGCCGCGTCTGACTGTTCTGCCAACACTCATCACTATCCACACGCAAAGACTCACCTGCAACCCCCATGTCAGAGTCTGCAGCGAAACATCCACGTAAAAAGCGTGAATGCTTTGGCACAAGGACTGCTTGTTGTTGTTCAGTCCGCAGCTGAATTGAAGTTGCGAGCTTTCCCATAAGACCACAGGGAATGTCAGCAGGCTCTTTGGCGTAGAAGACGGCTGTCTGTTGAAAGTCGGGCACCAAATGTGGAACTTTGGCACCTCGTGGCTGGCGACCTGCTGCAATCTGTGCATTCTTTGCTGAGAGTAAAGGATGGTCGACCATATCGTGTAAACAGTTTGGTCGCAATTGCACACCTTTGTTTGCAGCCACTTGCAACACCACTTGTACCAAAGCTATGCAGAGCTTTCGAGGGTACTGGGATTCTTCTGCTGTTGCCCATATCTTTTGGCCTTGTGCGTTTGTTGTGAATCCCCAACCAAGGTGTTTGTGAGTGCGGTCGCAAACAACGTCCATCTGAGAAATTTCAGGAAAGGTGGCAATGATCCTTGTCCACTTGTCCCGCATTGATCCATACATGCATGCCTGAAAATCTGTAGCAAAAAGTGAATGAGCTCGCAAGAGATCCAGCACAAAGGGTATTACCCAAAGATAAGAGCCACGTGGATTCTCCATGGTGGCCAAAATACCTCGTCTCAAGCACAATGCAAAAAGATGGCAAGTGTACCTGAACAGCTCATTTGCAATGTCAACCCTCCTGCGATCTACTGGTCCAAGCGTAGGTAATCCCATTGGATGTTCCAAAGACCTCAAAGGTTGCGGTGCAGCTGTCAGTTCGGGTCGGGGTACCTCCCGTGCCCTGCTCGTCGTTCCACAAACTGGGGCAAAGTGCACCCATAGCAAAAGAGGTGAAGAAAGCCACTCTTCTAAGAGCTCCCTGTCAGCTGCTTGCATCAAATCTAACTGATAGATTGTACTTCTTGAATTTTGCTTTCCAAACTTGTCGACTGCAATGCCACCAAGCCCATACTGCTTAGCCACTGACGTGAGGACAGCTCCACCAGCAAACACTTCAATCATGAATAACTGCTCAATGTGGAGTCCTTTGAAGTCCTTCTGCACATCAGGACCTAGTCACTTGTGCTGTTGCAACGAATGCGGTTGTTGGCACCGCGGTTCTGCACAAACATGCAATCCTTTTGGGCACCGATCCCCTGGTTTCACCGTTGATGACTGAGCGCAGCCAGCAGCTGTATTGAAAGCAAAACAAATTGGCTCATTTGCAGCAGTCTTGTAGTATTTTCCCCGTAGTTCTTGGGGCATAGGAGGTGCCTTTCCTTTGCCCCCTGCCTTTCCTTTTGATTTGCCACCATGCGACTTTCCACCCGAAGCCTGGTAAGGTGCAGGCCTGGATGGTGCTGCAGCTGTGCTCTGTATTGGTTTTGCCAAAGGGGCAAGGTACAACATGATTGCAGGGTCCAGCTTCAATGCTAGCAACGCCTCCCCAAGCGGGAATGTTCCATCTGCTGCCTCACGTGTTGTTACACCCAACGTTGCAAGCCTTGCCCAAGCAGCTTTGTCACAACTCACGACTTGTGACAAGTTTGCACGACTGTAACCTGGTGGAACTTCGCGGTGTAGTGATTCAAATAGAAATGTCACCCAGGCATTGTGTTGCTGAAACGACATCACTCGTGCAAATGCTAAGGCGACGGCCCTTCTGCTCAATGCATAGTGCAGCTTTATCTCAGAATCAGTCTGGCAAGTCAACTTGTCATCCTGTTTAAGGATCAATGACCCTTTCTCCAACGTGAGCTCACGGGCTTTTGGAGTACCCTGAACCTCCATACTTCGTGAAATGCAAATTGCCGGCTCCAGCCATTTGACATTGTTGCTATCAAAAATTGCACAACACTTGTCCAGCAAACTGTGGGACGGTTCAAGCTCACCACTGATTTCAAGTCCTCTGAGATCCTGACGGAGCCTTTCCATTCGCTGGGTACGTTCAGCGAAAGCAACTTTTCTGGGTTGCGTTTCATCACTCTGATCAATCTGTTGTCTCAACGTTGCAACCAGGTATGTATGAGCCTCAAAACCAAGCCTCTTCAAAGCTGCAGTCTCTGCTAAGGTCGGTGCACGGCCCAACGTATTCTGCAAGAAATCTGTCACTTCTTGGTTTTGTATTGGCTGTCCAGGCTGTCCAATCACAAATGCCAGCTTTGAAAGGCAGTCTACCTGAACTCCAGCTAAGGTTGTGACGAAACCTTGTCCCATGCCTAATCTTGCACATCTCTCCTCAAAATGCGCTGTGCTATCAAGCAGGGAAGTCATGTTCCTAACAAACGCGCAACGAAGCAGTGAAAAGAAAATCAAAACACATGTCATGCAACATGAAATCATCACAAAAAGCAACTGAAGTTCATGCAACTGCCGGTCAAACGTTTTTTAAATTAAAGAATGGGAAATCTTTGCAACTTTCTGCGGATTTGTTCTTTCTTTACTTGCAGCTTTCTGCATGGGGAGCTTTCTCCACCTTGAGCCGCATTCAAATGAACATGAAATGATTTGCGGCTTTCTGCATGAACTTGTTGCAGCTTTCTGCCAACTGAGTGCCTTTGCACAATTCAACTCAAACCACTGCGGCAATCAAACTTTTTCTTCCACTCAGGCGGCCTGTCGCTTGGCTCTGCCCAATGCATTGTCAATCGCTCCGGTGAGCTGAGAAATTGTTCTGATTCTATTTGAGTCCTTTGGAAAACATTTCAAACACTTCGGCCAGCGCACTTTGATCTCTCTTGGCATCAACTGAAAATTCGCAGTGAGCTGAGCGCCACACGCGGCAACCTTCTGGCCATCTTTGACTCGGTGCATAATCGCACTCTTTCGGTGCTTGTAAAACTGCTGGCCCTCTGGCACCCTGTCAACGTATGCATGGGCATCAGGCTGCTTCACATTGGCCTCATCGCTTGAGGACGTAGTGGTGTCACTTCCGCTCTCGCTGCCAGACGAGCTGTCCAGTTCAATGACACCAGTGTCCACAACCCCGAGGTCAAAAAGTGAGATGCTTGAAGCAGCTGCACAAATCTGAGCCTCATCAAGCTGCTCTTCCTTGATGCTGTCCATGTCACCTGCGACATTCACTTCCTCCATGGCTGTCTCAACAACATCCCTTGGCGCCTCCAAAACAGGCACAGGAGGGAAAGGAGTCATCGGCTGTTGTCCGACTACTCCAGGTTTTGGAGTACGAGCATATGGCGTGGCATATGGGTTTGGTGCCGTTGCCTCATCATCCAGGCCCAAACCAATCCGAACACGATGAAGCATCATGCTCAGTTTTCTCAATGCTCGTGTCTGCAAGTACCTGCTATAGACCACCTCCGACCCTTGGAGTGCAGATGCATGGTGGCCCAAAACGGCACGCACCTCCTTGTCCAGCCCTGCCTTTGCTGCCCAGACCAGCAATGTAGTTTTCATTGAATGTGCCTTGAAGCTTTCACATCCATCTGTGCCCCTCAGGAGCAATCGCAACCATTCGGCAGCCTCCTGCGTCGTCAGAGGCCTAGCACCAAAAGATCCTCCCAGGCGCGGCGCCGGCAGCAGTGGACCCAATGGCACACGAAACAGATCCAGACCTGCCATCCTGTACACATCCATGAAAGTTTTGACCCATTCATCATGCGTCACACCCATCCATGGCACCACCAAAGGAAGGTACTGTTCTCTCCTTGCTCCAATTGCCGATGTCTTGTGCTCAGCTGTATATAATGTAAGAAAGCCGTTCCTGCCTTCTTCCACAACCACATGATGGATGTACCTCAGGTCAGACCACCTTGCACGCCCATAAACGCAAATCAGCATGGCTCCAGCTCCCAACCTGTCAGTAAGGCATCCAGAGCCCTCCAAAATCTCATGAAGGCGTTGCAAGTTGCACAATTCAAGTGGTGCAGCTTGTCGAGTCGGACCCTTCTGCAGTTTCTCAATTGCAGCAAATCCCAAAAGCCTTCTTGAGTGCAGCACCACATCAGACTCTCTCAACTCCAGGGTAAACTTCATGAATCTCACTGTTTCCAAAAAGGCAGAGGCATTTGTAAAACCACGTTCGTTTTCACGTCTCAAATCACGCAGCCAATGAAAGAAAGCCCAAACATCTGTTTCTGAAAATGGCAGGGGACTCACAAGAACTTGTTGTGCATCACTGCGCAGCTCTGCATGCCACTTGAAATACCTCCGTAAGCTCGAGGCCCTCTTCAATAGAGTCTGTGGACTCTCGATTCCGAAACTTGCCTTTAAAGTCTCGTAGGCGCAGGCTCCGGATGCATCTTTTTGCATATCCCTTGCCAAGATCTCTCCAACTCCGGTTGCATACCAGCTGCATGACAACAACTCCAACCATTGACCGCAAGCAAGTTCCAACAGCCGGTTTTTGTTTTCGAAATATTCCAAATCCTGTACATGTTTGACCACCTTGTCATAACATGAATCTAAAGTCTGAGTTCTAGCACCTTCAAGCGTCTCAGCTGCCGCGATCACTTGTTCCATCAAACCACTATCAGGTTCAGGCAGTTGATTCAAAGGAAGCTCCAATAAATTTGAATGCCCAAAAATTTCAGCAAAAACTCCAGTCTCCCAAGGCAGCAAAAGATTTGAAGGCCGCTGTGCAAACTGTGAGTGATTTGCAGCTACTCCAAGCTGCCACTGTCCATGTCCAACAGTCGGCTGAGGTCCAAGCTGTGTCGCAACTGCAGCAACCTCCGAGTCACGCGCCAAACTAGGGCTTGGGCACTCAGACGCAGCCTGCTCTTTCTCAAGAGTTCCGCCGTTGTCCACTGACCAGATCACATCAGGTGACTCATGTCCGATCTGTGAAGCTTCATTGTACATGTGAGAACTGAGGGGCAAATCACTTGAAAAAGAATCACCAACGTGTTCATCCATGGAGACATGTAACCAGTCACTAAACTGCTCCAAGCCAGCATCTTGTCCTGACTCTAAAGGTCCAGACCATCCAGCATCATCCATGGCATGCCCCCCAAAGTCGCTTTTCAACTTCTTAAAATTAACGGCGGACCCACCGCTCCCACCCTCTTGAGAAAGAAAAGACTTCAGTCATTGAACGTGACCCGAAATCCAAGATTTCTTAACTGCATTGTGAGATAATTCGAAGACTAAAGTCTGCTTCATCATCTGGATCGCTGACCTCGCACTGTTCTGCATCTCTATACCTTCTCAATCTCTCTGACTGGGTCTCTACATGCATCGACTCATCAGAGTCAGGGTCAGGGACTTCAGGAGTTCTGAAGATTTCTGCAAAAGTTCGCAGCAAATCCATGGTCATCTCAACTCGCTGAAGCTCCAAAAGTTTCAAGATGCACTTGTGGTCTCCTCATGGCTGTTTGAAAGGAGATTGCGTTCATCTCTTCCCAGATTGTATGTCGGTGAATTGTCATCTTCTGAAAGTTCATATTCTCATCGCTCAATGAGTTCAAAGTTTTCTCTCGATCTTGTAAGCTTGCAGTTGGCAGGTGATGCAAGCATGATTCAAGCCATCGTTGCATCTGTTGGTATCTCATTGCAGCACCTATGTTTCCAGTCTCTGTTGCGCGGCGTAGACGTCCACGCACTCGCACCAGTGTCCATGTGACTAGGCCTTCAAGGCTTGTATATTCATGAGTCACCTGTGGTCCAATGAACGCGGTCAGAGTGTCAGGAAACAACGGTACCTGAGCAATGTTGGGGTTCTTGTCAGAGCGCATCATGTACTGGGGAGGACCACCTTTGGGAGTCCAAAATCTATATACATTTCCAACCCCAAAAACGGGCATCAAACAAATCGAACAATTTAATATGTCGCCCGGACTCCGCAAGAAAGCGCAAGATGCGCAAGATGCTGTTTTGAAATTTTTGAAGTTTTCAGTTTCAGTCGCGCTGACAAGGCGTTTGAAATTTTTGAGGTTTTTGAGGTTTTCAGTTTACTATGCAATTTACAAGATGAACCGCGGCTTTGAGATTTTTGAGGTTTTCAGTTTCAATCGCACTGACAAGGTGTTTGAGATTTTTTTGTCCAACGGGGACTCGGGATACTATAATACTATTAGAAGGGGTCCCAAGCAGGTGGCCACCAAGGGTCCGGCCATCATTCCCCCGAAAGCTCTTAGAATTTTAGTCCGGATCTGTTCCCAAGTCCCTGCCAAGGTACAAAGTGCCCTTCTTGTTGCATGCGTTAGGAGTCTAGAGGGACGAAGGGAGGGGGAGTCCAAAAAACAAACAACGCATCAAAAGACCAAAACAAAACTGAGCAGTGCGACGCCCAATCGTGACAAAACGATCCACTGCCAACGCAAACGCAATGTCGCAGCAGAATCAGCACCTCACCCACGCCACGCTGCGAAAGCCTGCGACAACAACACCCAAACAATCCAAACAACATAGTGCTTTGGCAAAGATGGGCAACATGCAGGCGGGGCTGGAGACATTGAATCAGCAACGGTGTTCCCCGGGATCCTGCCATGCTGTTGGACTTGCAAAAGCACTGCGGTTTGTTAAAGCCGTGCTAGTTTTGGCAAAAAAGGTCACTGCAGCAATCTCATTTTCGGGGCCGTAAACACATTAGCTTTTTGGACTCCAAGAAGTGGTCCTTCCCAGTTGCGTTGAAAGCTTTCTGCTCAAACAAAACCTTTGATCCACTTGCGTCATGCGAAGAGCTTCGTGTCTCGAGCAGCTTGTAAGGTTCCACACTGCCAAAAATGAGATTGCCACGCGCTTTTCGCTTTGGACAGGGCCATTCCGAGACTGTTTTCAATTTCTATTTTAATAGCAGGCGAGACAAAAACGGACGCGCCAAATCTACACGTTGCAGCGTGTGGCAACCCTGTTTTTGGGGTTGCGACATGACGCTCAGAACGCCTCCAGACCGCATTTTTTTTTCCTCGAGTGTGGCCGATGTCGCACTGTGGCTCGCTCCTCGTGAGCATAAGCAGTAAAACGTCAATTTGTACAAGGACCAAAAGGGTCCGGTAATGCAGGCAAATCACAACAAACCAAACAACACACAAACCAGCCAGACGACCCGCAAATCCCCCAGCCAGACTTGCGTTTCGTCAAGAGAAACAACAAACCAGACACACAAAAGGGGCCGGAGCCCAAACAAAAACACCCACCAAAAAGATTTGCCAAAGGACACAGTGGTTTGACCACTGCATCACTCTCAAAAACATGCGAAAATGAATTAAGAACCACGACATTCAAGAAGACATGAAGGCCTAAACAGTTTGCCTGTCTACTTTGGCATAGATATGCCGAAGCTGTACATGAGCACGGGGCTACAACTGTGCCTCTCTCAGCGTCCTCTCAGATCAGCTTGTCCAGAAGGCCTCCATGGACAGAATCACTACTGTACAAGAAACAAATTGGGACGCACAGAGAGAAAAAGCATGTGTTAACGCTTACGATCATGCTAGTGCGTCGCAAATCTGCTTGCAAAACATCTGCGGGCAGCAGCAAAATTTTCCGATGGCTGGCCCCACTTTTGGGTCCAAATCTGGACCCCAAAACGGGGCCCAAGCAAAGACCTAAAAGAAGGAATGAAAATGTGATCCAATTCTGGACCCCATTTTGGGGTCCATATTTGGAGCCAAAAATGGGGTCAGCCATCGGAGAATTTCGTTGCTGCCCGCAAATGTTTTGCAAGCAGATTTGCGACCCAGCAGCCTGAACATGAATGTCAACACATACCTTTTTCTCTTTGTGCGTCCCAAGGCCGCTTGCTACTGTCGAGGTCCCTCTATCGCAGCCATGTTTTGAACACTTTTTTCGGCTCTGTTTTAAGGGCCATGATGAAGCAGGTTTGTTGGCATTCGAGGCGCTCCGAGGCTCACCGAAGCCTGCCCGAGGCCGCCCGAGGCCCGAGGCCTGCCCGAGGCCAGGCCTCGGACGCAAAACGTAATGGCACGAGGACAAAGCGAGGCTCACGGGGACTCGAATCTATATAATACACGTCAAGACTGAATGATCTGAAACAAAAAAACGCTGGCGATGATCACCAGCCAAGATATCCATTGCTTTTATGAAAGCCTGCAGTCCAAAATGTGGACACATGCCCTGTGTGGGACCTTAACTTCAAAGCACATGCATATTTTCGTCCCTCGATATGTTCCGTTTCTCTTGCGAAATAAAGAAGATACCATGTGGCCGCCATGGCCTCACCTCCATGTGATCCTGCATTTTTTCTCCTGTTAGTTTTTGCGCGGGCAGCGCAGAACCCCCACACCCCCGGCGGCAATGCTACTGGTGGAATGCTGTAAAGAAGCATATGACACCTTCAGTCCATCTCACACTGACGCAGCATTGCCGCTGGGGAGCGGGGCGTCTTCAACAGATCTCTTAAAGCGGCAGGACCAATATTTCAAAAGCTTAAGACCGTGGCAGGCGCAGTGCTTTGGCAGCTAACAACGCCGTCGCAGGCATAATATTTCAGAAGCAAACATGGCCACATCACAGCTTAAACCCTTTTTTTTTCCGTCCAACGCCTTCATGGCTTCCGCCAGGTCGTTACACACGTTCAATCGCGGCAAACAGGTGAATGTAGTTTACATGCAAGGCTGTCACTTGTCGAAAGCCACAAAAGTGCCGGTTGTGGACCGGTACGCAGTCCAGAAACTGTCCCAGCGAGAGAACAGACAAAAAAGCAAACCAAAAAACCACAAAGCAAAAACAGCAAAAACACACAACCAAAACAAAAACCAAACAAAAACGACAGAGAAAAGTGGGATCGCAACCAGCAATGGGAATTACATGCTTGATGACATCTTATGTGTCATTCAGAGATGGCCCAAAACAAGAAACAACACAGAACAAGCACAAAACACACCAAAGGGCCATGTTGGTGGGTGAGAGAAGCAACAAAGCTCCATGCCGAAAACAGGGATCCCCCCAGCCAGGATCCCCGGGACATCACAGCTTAAACCCTTGGCAAGCGCAGCATTTCAGAAGTAAACAACCACACATCTCAACCTGTGGCAAATATTGCAAACAAACATGGCCACCTCACAACTTAACCCTGACACCTGCGGTACTTGACAAACAAACATGGCCACCTCACAGCTTTTCCTGGACAGCTTACACGCTAGCAGGCGCAGTAATTCAGAAGCTAACATAGCCACTACACAGCGTAAACCCTGGCAGGGGCAGTTTTTGACAAGCAAACATGGCCATCTCACAGCTTAGCCCGAAGTATTTGACAAACAAACGTGGCCACCTCACAGCTTCAGCCGTGGCAGGCTTTAAGCTGTGGGGTGGCCATGTTTCCTTTTGAATTACTGCGCCTGCCAAGGTTTGTGCACAGAAGCCGTGTAGTGAGTGCCACAACTGGCGGCTACACGCTCACCCTCTGTGATTTTGGCGCGACGCAGAGCGCAAAAGCGCCTGCCAGTAAGATCGGCACTTAAACGCTTCGCACTGTGAAAACAGCGATTTTTAGATGCGACCGTTTGGGCGTGTAGTACCCCACTAAACGCTCCGCGCTGTGGCCGGAGACACATTTTCGCCGTTTCCTAGCGTTGGGTTGTAATTATTTCTTTAAGATTAATATAGTTTGGAAAAAGAGCCACTACACGCTACACGCTGGACCTGTTTTGCTGGTTTTTTCCACGGTAAAAGGCGTGTAGTGCCACTGTCGTACTAAACGCTCACCCTCTGCTTTTTTTGTGGACGGCGCCAATTAGCTTTCGCCTGGTCACCACACTTTGAGGCTTACCTGCGGACCAGCGGGGAAACGACCTAAACGCTCATTCTCTGCAGGTTCAGTGTCACACACGCCGTAAATACCGCACCTGCCACCAAAATCTGCACTAAACGCTGTCAGTTTTCACACCGTGACTGCTAGAAGTTTTGCACATGCCAAGCAAATCAAATCCGCAGGGGCGACAGCAAAGTTAGCGCACTTTCTGCAAGACGGGAAAAAGGCATTTGCATCCTCTGTTGCAACTCCGGTTCTCGACCATGCGAACTTGGAGCAAAACAAA